TGCACTCTATATCACCTCCCTGGTCAGGATAAACATCGACTGCCGTGTCATTGTATTTGTCAGCAGTCGACAGGTAAGGAACGAAGCCACACGTATCGAGTAAGAACCAGGGCAAAGTCTGAGAATTCAAAACCACCATGACAATCCAGCTCTACGTCGATCTGAGATCTCAGCCATGCCGTTCTCTGGCCATCTTTCTAAAGTTGATGGGCATTCCACATGAGCTCCAATACATCGACCTCTTTACGGGTATGCTCTTTTCGTTGTGATTTGTTTTTTGTGAATGAGTGGCTATGAATACCCATTTAAAGAGCATCGTGTAATAATGGACCAAACACAAAATCATCGGGGATGAAATAGACCATTTTAATGTATAAAGTGTCTCATATAAAATACAATTAGTTTCTTTGATGATCATATTTTACCTGACTGTTAAGAAAGCATGTATATGCTTCAATAATCAACCAGGGTACCGATGACTTTATAGGTCCTCTCCAAGGCACTAAGTAATGCGAATTAATGCCTAACGAAAGGGCACGAGCTAGAGTATTGACTTAGTTTTAAACCCGGGACCTCGATCGCGTTTACGAGACCACTGCTCTACCACTGAAAATGATTGTATTTCGATATTCAGAATACAAATTGCATGCATGATTAAGTTGTTGCTAGGTATATAGGCCCAAGCAGAATGTCTTACCCTGCCAAAGAATTACACGTAATATATATGCATTTGCGTTCATACTATTAACATACAATTATTTCAATACAGGTGTATGAAACATTTGTATTGAGGCACCTCATTTGGACGTATGCATTAGCTTTGGTTTAATATATTACGAAAATGGTCTATTGTAACACGATCACAAAGACTTTCGAAGAAAAAAACTTCATTACACTGTTGTATAACCCATATATAGTTACAAGTTCTGATTATAATACGTCCTTTTCCTGTTCGCATGTTCCAATAGGGACAAGGTTATTTGGCCTTTAGTATTATTTCTCGAAAATCTTTGGGTACTTGTTTTGCGTTCATTCTTGCTTATTTAGAAATTTTCCTCTTTGGAATTTAATTATTTGACCTCGTATAAATTTCAACTTTAATACATTCTTAATTGCCTTATCAAATTTCATGAAGAGGAAGTTATACAGAACATTTATATTTGCCCAGCATAAAACAGTTTACAGGGTTAAGGTTGTAATTATTTTTCTTGAACCACATCTTTTTCTTTCCGCATACATCATATATTCTCATCAGTTGATGAAAATAGTGGGTTACATGTATTTACCAACAAATAAAAAGTATACAGGAGTAGGGGTTTTCTTTAAAAGCCTTGCATGACATCGATTAGGAAGCGATGACACCTCTCCTTTTCTCCTGTTTTTAGACCCGGTGTTGTCATTCTTCTCATGTGGTGATTATTTGACTATTATTCAGGTACTCAATAAACCATTTTCGTAATGTAATCAAAATGAATGCATACATCTTTCTTAAACACATCAGAGATTTCTGCTTGGAATCCAGGAAACAGTCTTGGTCCTTTGTTAAAGGTCTCTGAAAAGATTCCTCCGGAATTCTTGCATTAACAGAAAAGGGTGTCGTCTTTTCATAGGATAGACAGAAGGCAGAAATACTAAACGAACAATTCCGTTTAGTCTTCACGACGGAGAACTTACAGACTCTACCAAATCTTCCTCAGTATAATATCTCTAGTGTGTAGAAAAAATCTTCATACAAACTTCAGGGATTGAAAAACTCTTGGAGAACTTAGATCGAAAAAAGCCACCGGGGCCGATGAAATTTTCCCCCGTTTTCTACTAGAGTTTTCTCATGAACTAGCGCCTTTTCTTGCTAAAATTGTTCAAGCATTATAGACCAATATCTCTCACTTCTGTATGCTGTAAACTATTAGAATATGTTGTACACTCTCATATAATGAATCATCTCGAGTCGTACAATGTACTTACTAAATTTCAACATGGATTTAAGAAACAACTAATTTCAAACCACGCATGACCTTACCCTTTCCTCCGAAAAACGGACTCAGACCGACCTACTTGTTACTGACTTTTCTAAAGCGTTCGACACTGTGCCCCATCCTCGTGTCCTCCTTAAACTTAATCAGTATGGAATCAATGGGAAAACCAAACGGTGGATCTCATCTATCTTACAAGATAGGTACCAACGGTTAGTATTGGGGGGGGGGAGAACATTCACAGTGGGTAAGGGTTTTGTCGGGCGTTCCCCAAGGCATAGTACTGGGACCTTTACTCTTTCTAACCTATGTTAACGACCTACCAGACGAGGTATCCTCAACTGTACGACTATATTAAAGCTGACGACTGTATTATATTCTCTGACATTAAAAATCAACTTGACGCTACCAGACTACAGGACGACCTGGACAGACTTTCTGCATGGGTGAATAAGTGGCAAATGCAACCAAACCCCCCAAAATGTCATGTTCTAAGATTTGCTGCTTCTAGATCTCATGTTATAACCAAGTACACTATAGGAGGTACAGTATTACAGAAAAACTTCTCTCACTCATACCTTGGTGTAGAAGTCTCCCGTGATTTAAAGTGGGATACACATATTTCGAACATAACATCATCTGCCAATAAGGTTAATGGATTCCTTCGTAGGAGCCTCATATCATATACTAAACAAACTAAATCCGTAACTAACACAATACTAGTCCGTTCAATCGTAGAATATAGTTCTAGTGTCTGGGACCCATATTCAAAATTACATACCCATGAAATTGGAAAAGTACAGATAGTGGCAGCCAGAATAGTATGCAATGACTACAAATGACTACAGGCAAACTACAAGCGCTACAAAACTTATGGGAGTAGGCTAGGACCTGCTTTCTACCCGAAGGTAAATTTCGAGGGTCTGTATATTGCACAAGGCCTTGGGGGAACTTGGCCCTGCCAGTGTCTACTTGCGTCCAGCTACCCGAGCCACCAGATCCATACTTCGGGAAACTTTTTCAATACTCCACCCGCACCAATTGTTTTAAACACTCTTATATTTCACGTACCATCAAGGTCTAGAACTCACTACCCCCCGACATCCAAATGACCTCAGACACCGACACCTTCAAACTACAAGCGACCAAGCCACAATGACTAAATATTATGCAACAGTGCGCACCCCCTCATCCTCCTCGTTGTTTCCCAACGGAACGTTGAGGAGTATACCAAAGAAGAAGAAGAAGAAGTGACTCGTTAGAAATCATTTCAGTCACCTGTTACGAATAATCGTATATCAATATTCAGAATGCGAATTGCATATATTAATTGCTAGTTTGCTAGGTGTTATAAACATTATGGTTTGTCCTACCTAACATAACGGAAGGTATATTATTCGCATTCTGATGATTGAATTACAATTATTCGTACCAGGTAAAATAATTTGTAACTAGGCACTAAACAAAGATTGGTGCTTTAAACTTTATTACATTACGAAAAATGACCGATTAAATGCAAACAAACATGGTTTCATCTGCGTACCTGGTATCGTGCAAAATGCCAACTCATCGTTTCAGCAGCAATCCTCTTTTCCTCTAGTAGACAATGATCAAACTGTGTACAGTATATATATATATTGTTACGCAATGTAAACAGGACGGAATTGAAAAGGAATTGCTTAATTAGTTATGCAATCGTGGCAAAGTCCAGTTTCGAGCACCTGGAATCATTGAGAGTATATAAAGCATACACGATATGAGTCAATATGAACACTTAACGCCGAAAACATTGCTTGTTATATATCATAGCATAATGTTTATGCGTATCAACAATATCAAGGTCTATATAATTTGAAGGAAATTAGGACTGGGGGTTGCGATGAAAAGAAAATTAGGAATCGAAAAGAAAAAGCCCGTACATGGACTTTCCAGATGATTCTTTTCTTTTTCTTTTCTTTTTTAATAACGGGGTAATAGCACAACCCTCAGTGTTATTCGATGATGATGAGGAGGTGTCCTTATCGGGATATGGCCACTCAAGTTTGTTTTATTCTGTTGATTTTCCTCACCACTCCTTTCCTTCATGATGTTTGCTGATCCCCCACACGCCCCAGTCAAACCTCCACCTCGGTCCGGGGTCTTAACCTACCGACAGTCAATAAAATCATGACTATTTTATTTGGAGGTAATGTAATCATCATTATGTCGATTACCATTCGGTTGGCTTTTTCTTCTGTGTCGACTTGTCGAGTGTGACTAAGGTGGATTATTTTGGTCATCGCTATACTCTCTTCTTTTCTTTTTAAGCATCAATGAAAGAAAATATGACTGGGACGATACACGGAAACAGTACACAAGTGCTTTCCTTTTGTTTTCCAGGGCTGGTCCCATGTCAATAATGTGATAACAGTTGAATAATTCGGTCTAAGTTTAGAAAATATGTGGGATCCGAGAAAAATAATGCTGAATATTCATTCTCATAAATCGACTAGCATACGTTCTACAAAGACATAGTTTAGGTCGTTATCATCGATTGTCCTCAAATCGTTGCTTTGTATAACCATCAAAACCTGTTGGATATTTTTTCCCTTGTCCTTCCTAATCTTTTTCTGTATGGGCAGAAGTATTGCTATAGTCATTCGCAATCTCACAAATGTAAATATTTTCTTTGTACCCGTCTTAGTATGGAGTACTTTGAAGATCATCTTGTTTGTCAAACCTGTCTGAGATCAGTCAGGACATGAACAGATTCTCTGTTTAGCGTAACTAAGATCATATTAACAACCACCTGACCTCTCGTTTCGTGTAAGCTCTTTCTCAAACACTGTGACTGTGCAGAACTGCCTATTGTGATTCTTGTAAAAGTTCCTTTGCTTAAAATCTTCCCCTATTGTGTCTTTAACAGTCCATAACATGATAATACCAATGCCTTGGAGGAATACATTTTCAAAGGAATACGTGTTTACATTTATTTTAGAGCGAGCACAGAAGTCCAATACGAGAACAAGTTCTCTCTCCGGACAGTTCTAGGGCTAAATAAATAAGCATACACTTATGAATTATAGGTCGTGAATTTCCTATCATCGTCCCGTTAACAATCCATTTGGGTAAAAATGTTGCCAATGACAAGGAATTAAGAATAACCATTTACATGTAAACGTGTTTAATTTTATTTTGAAGGCGAGCACAAGAAGCCAGAGTACGCGGACAAGTTCCCTCTCCAAGTAGTTCCAGGACTGAAAGATGGCGATTTCTACCTCGGTGAAATGTAAGAATTGTTTCTTATTTGCTTTTCCCTGCCCTGCGTGTGTTTCTTACGTGACCTAGATTCCAAAGGTCTGTACTGTAGGTGTCAAGTGTATTGTATCATGACAATTGTAGGAATAGTGCAGAAATAGAAGCGCTATATAGGCCTAGAATGATAATAATTTAAAATATAATATATAAACATAAACAATATAACTCTTGCACCTAGGACGTACCGGGAGTGATAATAGAAGTAAGATTAAGATTAGGAGTCATAGTACGTGTAATGGAAGTAGTAGTAGTAGTAGTAGTAGTAGTAGTAGTAGTAGTAGTAATAGTAGTACTATAAGTAGTAGTATAAGTCAAGGTAGTAGTAGCAGTAGCAGTAGTAGTCATGATAGTACATAACAGTAGAACTACATGTAGTAGCAGTAGTGACGATGGTACCTGTAGTTGTAGCAGTAGTAGTAGTAGTAGTATAGTACTAGTAGTAGTAGTAGTAGTAGTAGTAGTAGTAGTAGTAGTAGTAATAGTAGTAGTAGTAGTAGTAGTGATAGTGGTACTGGTGGTAGTAGTAGTAGTAGTAGAAGTAGTAGTAGTAGTAGTAGTAGTAGTAGTAGTAGTAGTAGTAGGAAGAAGAAGAAGAACAACGGTCGTCTTAACTTGAGGTAAAGGAAAGGTGTATATATCAGAAGTAAGACCAATTCTGAACAGCAAAAAATAACCTTAAGAGGAACCTCACCCAAAATAATCAGTGAAGGTATTCTGATGAGATGTATTCCTGCCCTTTGATGTACGATATTCCTTACGAAGATGAACAAAAGATATTTTAATGAAGATATTCTTGGCATGATGTGATGCGTTTTAGCATGACGTGGGCGCAGCCATTTTCTTGAAAATGTGACGTACCAGTTGAAGTTGTACATGCATTAATATCAGAGATGCCAACCAGTACGATAAAAAAAAAAAATTTAACCCGTAAAAACAGCGAATCGCATAGAAATTTGTTTTTGCTTTACTATTTTCTCATTAATTTTTAATGAAAGAGTAAACATTTTTCTGAAATTTTACTGGCCAGGGCCCGACGGGCCAGTGGTAGTGTCGAGTTTTCGTGAAAATCTGATTTTTCTCTCCTCAATCTGATTTTTTAGGATACTCAGTTTGTTGTTTTTGGTGTCAAAGTGTTGGCATCTCTATATGCACCAAGCTTTAGCTGGAAAGACCTTTGAAATCGAAACTTAGGAAAATCAAAGCTTAGAAGTTTGAAATTACATTTAGTGAAAATTATATAACAGATGAACAATTGTAACTAATTAATTTAAAAATACTAAATATAGCACTTAACAAATCTATTTCTATTTATGAGAAACCTGAACCTCAGAAGAGCACAAGTTATTTGTGCAATTTGCGTTCTGGGAATTGCTATACAAAGGACAATAGCAGGTGAATGAATGCTCCATCACCACTCACACCTGGGGGGGGAAGCATCCATAAATTTGAATATATTTACTTGATAAATGACCTCACATAGTACGCCACGTTTTTAAGAAAATGGCATTGCCCTGAGAAATTGTTTCTGAGAAAATATTTATTTGGGTGAGGTATTGTATGACCTTTTGGGGTTATCTCCCCTATATTTGTTTTGACTACACGTTCGCAGAGTCGCTATATTCCGTTCTGTGTTTCGTATTTTGACTTTTTCGTTCGTAGAGTCGCCATATTTCCTTTTGTTTTGTTTCGTATATTGACTTTATGTTCGCAAAGTCGCTTTTCGTTCTTTACTGAATTGTTTGGGCTATTCTCTTTGCAGGTTCGCTATATTCCGTTCTTGAATTCTTTTCGCAGGGTGGCTCTGTTCCGTTCTGTATTTTTTGTTGTGTCTATTCTTTTCGTAGGGTGGCCATATTCCGTTACCTGACAACCAAGTATGCCGACAAGATTGAGGATCATTGGTACCCTAAGGACATGAAGTCTCGTGCACGTGTGGATGAGTACATCGCCTTTCATCATACAGGCACTAGGGGCAAGTGTGTTGCTATCTTCGTGGCTGAGGTATATAGAAACTATACGTTGTGACGTATCAAGTATCAAGTATCAAGTTTATTTGTCTTCCAGAAATCACATGTTAATACATGGCTCACATATAATACAGTATAAAAGTACAATTTAGAGGGGGGAAAAGACGAGGAGGCATTGGTTGAAGCACAGCTTGTTAGGTTGAGGCAAGTCAAATGCCCAATAGTTCATTGCCGGTTAATCGCTGGGAAATTAAGTTTTTCGAGCAAAAGCTCTGCATATTTATTGATGAGCTTACTTGATCGTGATAAACATTGATTTTTTGCAAGAAAAAACTTTTTTTATCGGCGATAAACTGCGTTTTTTCGATTTAATGGTCATTTTGGCCTTGGATGAACGTCCTCAGAGGTTATGTTTTCTTTACAATGCCATATTTCCCGTCTTTCCCTGCCGAACCATTTCCACCCCCGGCCATGAACCATACCTTCATTCCGGCCGGCCGGCCACTACCCTTGTCTCCCCTCTCTCTCTCTCTCTCTCTCTCTCTATCTTTCTTTCCACCTCACTCCACCTCTCTTTTTCTCTCTTATCTCTCTCTCTCTGTCTTCTTCCCGGTCCCCCTTAATTTATCTTTATCTGTCTCTCTGTCTGTCTCTCTCTCTCTCTTTCTCTCTTTCTCTCTTTTCATTCTTTCTGCCGAATACATTATATCTTCTCAAACAATCCGAACTTCTCTGTAGTAAAAAAAAACTTGTACTCAGTACTACTGACATCCTGTACCCCCCTTTTTAGCGAAAACTCTGTGTTTGATCAACCTATTGAAGCAATTGTTGTGTTTTCACTGCCCCTCTCCCCGCCCCTCCTCCACCTTCATTTGCCAAATACACTGTCAATGACTGTATATAATGAAAAATATTTTTTTTCAAATCGTTAAACAATGTTAAATCTGAGATGCATGGCCATAGGTGTTTTCAGTGTCTGTGATATGGAGTAATAATGAAGCCCTAAAAGAATTGCGCTTCAAAATGATCCTGAAGTGACTCAAAACAGTAAAAATCTTTGAGTGACCGGTTTTACCATCAGCCAGGCGATCGGCTTGTAAAAGTCATGGGGTTTCTGACTAACCTAAAAGTTTATAATCGTCATTGCAGCATGAGCTAAATCCAGAATTATGTTTTAGAATCCGAGAAAATGTTACCGAGTCACTTTAAGGAAAGTGTTTTGCCACGCTATAGAAATATTGGATATAAATTAACAAATTGTAATGTTTTTATTTCTTGGTTGGTAGGTACTGGCTCCTGCTTTTAGTGGGAAGCCAGTGGATCAGGAAAAAGTCAAGACTGACGCAGAGAATCTCAAGCAGAGTCTCGACAAGATCGAGAGGAGTTTCCTTAAAGATAATGACTTCCTCTGCGGCAAGGAAATATCAATCGCCGATATCATGGCTGTGTGTGAGGTAATGTATACCTTTGTAATTTAAAGGCCTTTCTTGAAGTGTGTAGTAGTCTAGTGGATACGTCACGAAATTATGGATCTGACACTTACTTTCCGGTTCGAGTCCCGCCGCAGCACTAGCTTCCTTTGAAAAGACAGTAATCTACATTTGCTACCCGCTACTCAGGTGTAGTAAATGGTTACCTGGTGTCTCAATTAGGGCAGTTGGGCTAAAGCAATATATGTTTGGTATGGGGTCATGAATTTGATTCAAATGAACGTATTGGAAGCACACGCGATTTTACAATATTTAATGACCGTTGAGCAGTTGAAATCGAGTCTGTGATGAAATTATAAATAATAAACTCTTTATGTTGTGTAGCTCCCTCTCAATACTGATATTACTTTAGCTTTAAAACAATATTCCTTGACTACAATCGACTGATTTGCAAGTCCCGTTTGGAAAGTATATATCAGAACTGCATATTCTGATATCGATCTGGTCGCAGCTACCATGGAATGGTCTTTTAGGCGCTATTTTAAATTTACCGGTGCTATATTCAATTTCAATCTCAATTATTAGTATTAGTATTAGTATAAACATCATCATCATCATCATCATCATCATTAATAATTTACCTGATATTGCAATCAAAAGGATCGCCAGTGATTGTTTAGGAATTAGGGATAAAACCCCCTCCCTTCAACTTACATATCAACAACTCTGGAACAACCTGCAATTATTAGTCGGCAAGACAGATTTCCAAATTATACTAGTAAATGTTTTCTACCCGACATTTTCTCGCAAATTAGTTTTTCATTAAATAAATCGAATTGTTTTAGCACATAGTTCATTCAAAAAGTGATAACCAATGAATGCATCGAAAACGGCGTAAAAGCCAAAGTTCGCCAGTGGGGGTGGTGGCTGAAATGACTTGACCAATTATCAATTTTCCAACTTCTAATCTGTATTGTAAATTGAAATAGTAATTTTGTCATTAAAATATGCTAGATCTGTATTTGTAATTCAAATAAAGCACCTCACTGGTAGCGGTTGCCCAAATACGAGGGGGTGGGTGCCTTGTGTCAGGTGGCGGTTAATATGGTTAATTTTAAATATTCGGGGCAGCAAACCCCCCCCCCCCCCCCCGATATCCCGCCCTCCACGTACGCCTGTAATGATAGACCTGTCAGAAACTCACACTTGGCAGAAGATTCACAATCGTGTTTTTTGTTTTAGTATTTTGTCTGTCATATAACATCTTCTTTCTTTTTCTTGTTGTCAAACTTTGTCTACAGTTTATGCAGTTCACTGTGAATGGTCGTGACATCTTTAAAGACAACCCCAAGATGAAGGGATACATGGATAGAGTGAAGGCTCGTCTCCAACCAGCTTTAGATGAGATCAATGCTAAGTTATATGCGTGGAGGGATTCGCACGCGAAGTAGACTTTCCGAAGATTGAGATTATGACCCGTTCTCCTTCTGAAAACAAAACTTCATTTCGTACTGCCATCATTAAGACCCAATTCGCACAACGATCCTGACATCAGGTTTCAGCCAACATCGCAATTGTATAAATGGCGAAGTTGCAAAGCTAAGCCCTGCACCGTAAGGGCTCATTCAGACATGACGCAAAGAGCACCCGCAAACAAAAACCGCCGTTGTTTTTTGAGTTTACAAGAATGGCAACTTATAGTACGCACAACAAAAGATTTGCGCCTATTCACTGAACTCCGTGTTATAACCTGCAGGAATGTGCTGCGTATATAGGCATGATTAGGCATCATATACCTTATCGTGTCATATCTGGATAGGGTCTAACAGTGTATTTATAATACTATTGAATTGCGACGTTCAGATTGTAGTGCAACTGGTTCTATTTGTGGTTAGATCAGGGGGTGTTTCACAAAGACCAAGGTTGACTTTAAGTTGGACTTAAATATGGCAGGCCGCTCATGCCACTGTTTTCTCTCACCAGTATAATCGTAAGATACGATTATTTCCTTCAATAATGAATCATCAAAAAATTCAAATTCTTTAGATTTGTAACCATGATTTGTACGCCCCTTGAGATACCAATACCAGTAAAGGATGAGAGCAAACAGTGGCATGAACGGCCTGCCATAGTTAAGTCCAACGTATTTAAGTGGATCTTAGTCTTTGTGAAACACCCCCTGGGTGTATTCATATACTACTATTTTCATAATGGCATTAGATTTATTCAGTCTGTTCCTAGCTTCACTCATACAATGCGATCTTAGTTTCTTGGAGGTTTTATTTTTCATTTTCTACTTCCCTTAAACACTGTAAAATACATGTAGAATGAAATAAAAATGTAATAAACTTGACTATAATACCAACGAACATAGCATGTTGTTACAATTTAATATTGGCGTCATTTCGATTGTGCTATCCCCCACACTTACAAAGCCTGTGAAGACAAATAGCGCATGAGCCAGTAATTCAACTAAATGGATCCGGCTGACGCATCAAATGACAGATCGTGTGCAGCATGCATTACCCAGTACACAGTCAAACACCTCTAAATACATGTTCATTTTCACTGAATTTGGTAGACAATCTTGAGTTTATAGTATTAATCCTTATTCTTTAATAAAGTCTATACTTGAGAAAACAAAAGATGCGTATTACTTTATTATTTACATGTCTTTCCCATGTGAACAATATTTGTCTAAAGCTTTGGAAGGAGAAAAGCCGATTGCATCTAGCGTGCCACTTCGAGACTTGCTTGCCCAGTGTATTTGGCTGACTAGAGTCACAATTGTATCCCGTTCAATTTTTTTTGTTTTGTTATTAGGCCTTTGATCGAGGTCTAAAGATATGCATAGACCTTTGTATTTTGTGTATAAAAAATCAACCAACATTTTTGTCCAAAGTATAAGGTAGGAAAGCTTGGAGAATATTGGGAGCTCTAGAGACTCGATGAGAAAGATTTCTAAGGGGAAAATGGAGTGGGGTATGGGGAGCGAGAGAGACTTAGAAAGTGATGTTAATAGAACTGGTGATTTTGTAAGACAGCAAGAGAGAGAAAGAGATTGAGAGAAATGAGAAATAGACAGCGAGAGAGAGAGAGATATCGATGGGAAAGAAAAATAGAGAGAGAGACAGACAGAGTAAAGTGATGTGAGATTCAACGAGAGCCGTAACGGGTTCTCCTATACGAACCGAAAACACATCATTCCATCAATACCAAGCTTGAACTGTATGGTATACAATTTCGTCAACGTAGTCGACTTATTTACATTGTAATATTTTCAGTGACCTATAACCTGGTTTCGATGGGTGCGTTATGGCATAGGCATAATAATACTGAACCAACAAAAGCCGTTGCTTCGAGGACGTAGCGATCATAGATTGGGTAACCTTTAGTCTGGGAGCCTGTCCTGAAATAGTCTCTACATCAGACAATAAGATTCTACCCCTAAAAGTAATACTTAAATGATTCTTAACTTTACCGTTGCCCGTTGGATTTAGCCCCAAGATGACCTGAACAAAGTGGCAATGCCGAACGATTTCACCCCCATGATCTGAAGCCCACGCAACTATGCCCAAAAGGGAGTGACTGTACATTACTATACTCGAAAAACTGACAATTTTCTGTTTGGATATTGAGCAAAAAGGATTGGCAAACCCTTACAAAAAAAAACCATGGTAGTACCATGGTAGTACCATGGTAGTGCCATGGTATGGTACTGTACCATGGTAGACGGTATATTGGCCACGGTACATAACCATGGTACTACCATGGTAGTACCATGACAATTATTACGGTAGTACCACGGTATAGTATACTACCACGGTACTGTACCATGGTACTGGACCACAATACCGTGGTATATACCATGGTACTGTTCCACGGTAGTATACCACGGTACTGTACCATGGTACTGGACCACAATAATACCGTGGTATACCATGGTACTGTACCACGGTAGTATACCACGGTACTGTACCACGGTACTGTACCACAATAATACCGTGGTATACCATGGTACAGTACCATGGTATACCACGGTATATATTGTGTTCCAGTACCATGGTACAGTACCGTGGTATACTACCATGGTACAGTACCATGGTATACCACGGTATATATTGTGTTCCAGTACCATGGTACAGTACCGCGGTATACTACCGTGGTACAGTACCATGGTATACCACGGTATTATTGTGGTCCAGTACCATGGTATAATTTACAAATCTACTACATAATTAAAGCACTTTCAACACAGTATTCCTCATAATATTTGCCAGCCCTTGTTAATTTAATTTTGAAATAGCATGCTAGTGGTCTGCAAAATAGATGCAAAAATGACAGGAGCTGGCATGTCCACTTTCAACTCAATTATCCATTCAGCCGCTTATCTCGCAAACACGATCTGTTAACAAAAGACATCACAATAATGTTGATCATTATTGTTGAATGATCATATGACGTATCAAACATCAAACAATGGAAACAATATGTTTACTTTAAAAAAACGTTTATTCAAACGAGCTAAAATCTAGCTCGCGTAAAATATATAAAACAATTTACAGTCGAAAACTGAAGTCTATTTCTATAGCGAAGACTGCCGCTTGTAACATCATTATACAGGACACTAAACATTTTCAGCACACAACAATATTTTAAAGTGGTAAGTCTATTTCTATAGCGGAAGACTGCCGCTCATATTCAAATTACATAGTACATTATAAAAAAACTGTCCTTCCAGCGGAGGTGCGAGATTCGTTGACGATGTCGTACTCGAATTCAGTCGAAAGATGAAATTTGAAGAAACAATTGGTGACTAGGCCTTCTTGGCAGATCGTAGATGATGTCGGTGATCAATGATCATAGTACAGTTCCAAAATGAATGATGAACGACAGTCAAGAGTCGGCGATGTCGATCGGATGTGGAGTCCGTGTTCGGCGATGGTGAAACGCGGTATAGAGTTTGACGTCGAGGGTGATTGAAGACAGAACGATAGGTTAGGTCATCATTAATCGGAGTCAGGATCAGACCTGCAAACGACGAAACGCAAATCGAAGAAGGTTAAAAGGAGGTTCTTACCTTTAATCAAAGTTTGATGAGACTAGTGTTCAAAGACAGAAAAAACGTCGATAATGCCAATATCCAATTGATTATTAGAGTTCGCAACAATCTTCAAAGTTCAAACGCGAAAACGGAGGTCGACGTCAAAGACATGGTGATGGTGGCGTTGATGTATATTGGTGAAGATGATGATAAAGAACGAGGTCGATATGGAAACTACTCATTTGTCATGTTGCGTCTATATCTGTAATTTAAAAAAGACAATTTTGAATTAGAGTCTATAAAAAATTTAAAAAATTAATATCAACAACTGTCAACATAAAATCACACAGTCACAGACGCAGACATGACATCGATTAAGCGTAATTCGTTAATATGCTGGGTTTTTATGCAGTATGTTCTAAAAAGAATAAAACATTAAATCCTGCGAGCAATGATACTATAATCACAGCAGAGTTAATGTGTATGTAAATGGACAAATTTTGCTTCGAATGATATCTGCCCCATAAACCCATCAAGATCCTACATCAAATTACGTACATGGGATCATACATGTTCAGTCTTAATATCCTGTCGGAATGTGTTTTAAGTCCCAGTTAACACTGTCATAAATAACTATCTAGACATCGAGTAGATCTATGTACATAAAGTAAATAAGGTAGATGATTCTTAAACTTACCCATACTGTTGTAGATTAGCAGGAAAACTCAGTATTCAGCATTATTTTGCAGAGAAAACACCAAGATTCAGTCTAGCTCCTGTCTAGGCAAAGCTACATTGTGAATTTATAATGCACACAGATATAGTGTAGCTTGTGCGTGCACTATTCCCAATGCAAGCTTTGTACAGCGATCCTTTGACACGTACACAGTACACATAGCTAGCCATTCAAAATATGCGGGGTTATATTGCACAACGGTTCCACAGGATTGGCTGTGTGTAGTACGTGGTGTGTGTGTGTGTGTGTATGTGTGTATATGTATATGGGGCCTGTAGGTATGACCTTCTTTATGATATTTCAAGCTGTTGCACAATTTCTAATGTACACACCATTGATAAATGGCCAAATGAAAATAAGTTTTCAACTCCTGCTTTCCCCTAATAATAATTGCAGACGTTTTAACTACATTAATGAATTTGTTAAAATAATAAACTTAAGTCAGATTGCTAGATGTATTTTTTAATTGTCAGTTTTTCATTTCAACTAAAATCTTAGAAAACTTAAGGACTATGAAATTACATAATTGTACTGGATTCACGCGATATCATTTTTTTAAATACATTTTTTTCTTTCTACAATTCTTATATTTTTGTTTGAATATTTTTTTATATTCATAACAATTTTGTTTTTAATGATACTTATGAGTTTTTTTTTTTTTTTTTTTTTTTTTTTTTTTTTTATAATTCTTTTCAAATATTTTTGAACAATAATTATTATAATTGTTTTGATTTTTCTTCATGATTCTGAAATATTTTTATTTTCATTTTGTTATTAATTCTTATGTTTTTTTTTTGGTTTCATGCGTCCGCTAATTTGTTGTTGTTTTTGTTTTCAAAATTTAAAGTCCATTCTTTGAAACAGATTTTGTGGGTCGGTGGAATTGTGTGCACGAGGTAACTTTGAGTAGGTCTGTAACACACTCGGTTATACTTCGTGTGTTTAAACCATGCCAACAGTTACCTTGAGCAAACGATTCGGTATATCAATAAGTTATAAGGAAACTGAAAAAGAGCAAAAACAAATGACAAACTAGTGTCAAACACAGAATCATGTTAACCATGGTAGTACCAAGGTTAGTACCATGGTAGTACCGTGGAAGTCCGGTAGTACCATGGTAGTACCATGGTAGTTCCATGGTAGAATCATGCGTACCATGATAGTACCACGGTTATTATGGTAATACCATGGTAATACCATGGAAGTACGGTAGTACCATGGTAGTACCATGGTAGTATGGTAGCACCATGGTAGTACCATGGTAGTACCATGGTTATTATGGTAATACCATGGTAATATCATGGAAGTACGGTAGTACCATGGTAATACCATGGAAGTACGGTAGTACCATGGTAGTACCATGGTAGTACCATGGCAGTATGGTAGTACCATGGTAGTACCATGGTATAATTATGCCTACCATGGTAGTACCATGGTTATTATGGTAATACCATGGTAATACCATAACAACCATGGTAGTACCATGGTATACCATGGGTTTTTTTGTAAGGGAACGCCCCTTGAGTTCAGAAGGAACCTCACAAAATATTCCTTTAGGAAGGGGGCTGTCCTGCCAAAACCACCTCAAGAAGTGTACACCCCCACGCACACATCCTTTTTTTAATTGTTTTTTTCTTTAAGGCATTAAAACATTACTTAGCGATAAACTTCCTCAAAATTATTGTATTTACATGTTCACCAGGGCCCTGTCTTACAAACTTACAATTAATTTGCGATTGATATAAATCGCAACTATGTACATAAGAGATAGGAGACTGCAAACTTGCGATTGACTGGAGGACTTGCGATTGATTTGGATCATTCGCAACTCTTTGTAAGACGGGGCCATCGAAACTAGATAAGGGAATGTGTGCTTATTATTGATTCTATGTTAATCGTACCGTGTTCACTTTTTTTAACCATATTGATATGTGCCCCTGTGATACCAGCGTGTGTGTGAAAGGTCGCCCTCTTTTATCATTTTTCAAATAAGTACAATAAATAGATAACATTTTCGAAGTGTCTTCCTTTGCCGATGTTTATCAAACAGTAGGGAAATTTGTAAATGTGACTTTCTGCTTGTGTACCTGCATATGTTCACTCGGAAAATCTTATGCAAACATTCAAATTAAAATATAAAAAAGGGTTTAGATTATCATCGGGAAGTTAACATGACCCAACACATAGATTATGGCACATGAATATATGAAATTAATATTAAGTATAAGTAGTGTTACTCCTTTTACTCATTATTCATACACTTATCATTTGTTGTGAACTGAATGAGTTTCGTCAAATTTGTAAGAATTGAAAGAATAGCAACACGTGACACTTCAAGACATACCCAATTTCAGGGGTATATTATTCGGGGATTTGTATTTTAAAAAAGCCATGTTTAAAACCATTCATACCCTAGGTTCATAGTACTCTTTATCACTGTCTATGTTTACCTAACGGTGTGTCCCTCTCTTTCTCTCTTGCCTGTCCTCCTTTCACATTGCTTTCACGCTCTTCGTCTCTCTCCACCCCCCCCCCCTCTTCTCTCTCTCTCTCTCTCTTTCTCTCTCCTGCCTATTTTAGTTTTTTTCTTCTCTATCTCTATCTATCCTATATCTCTCCTTCTCCAACTCCCTCTCTCATTATTTTTCTTCAATCCATATGTTTCCAAAACAACTAGTGTTTCAAACGGACAAACTGATGTCAATAGAAGAAAAATGTTGAACAATAAGATAACAGAAACATAATTTTAGTAGACACAATAGATCTCAAAATCTATTTTACGTGTCTTTTCAACACACCATGCAATGTAAAATATTTCTTGGAAAATATTTTAATATAGGCCTACAACAAAATTTGGCAAATTCCTTTAGAAAACAAGTAACAACATACGAAAGATAATCAATAGTCGTACTATCAAAAAACAGTAAAATAATTAAGGGAAATCTGATTTGTTCGACAACATTATATTTTAATCATACTCCTCTTTTTCAGAAAAATGTAATAAAACTACTGTTAAAACAACCCAACAATTCACATTTTTTAATGAAGAATTAAAGAAGTATTATGCATAACAAAGTTTATGAAATTAATGTAAGTAAATATAATTTGGAATAATTATATGTAGGAGTGTGTGTGTGTGTGTGTGTGTGTGTGTGTGTGTAATTGGGTTTTTACAGACGTGTATCAATCAGATATGATTATTTACGTCTGGGACCGACCTTTAACGTCTCTATCCGAAAGACGTACGAATGTTGATCACTACGTTTATGTCTGTTTTTTTCACATTGTCATGTAAGACTCTATCTCGAAATGATTTCCCTAATTTATTTACAATAAATTGGATATCATTCAGATTTGTACAATGTTTTTAACTGTTGATAGTTATTTAATTTCATAATTTATTTTTTTTTTCCTTTTTTTTTTCTACAAAATGTATTTCCTTTCCCGTAAGATGTTACTGTACTGTAGTAACATGTTTGATATCATCGAGATGTAGTTTTAATCTTATGCACAAGTGGGTCGGGGTTTAACTTTTCATCATACCTTCGTATTTCGTGTTCCAATAGAAACGTAATACTTAACAATGGAGGGGGCGATAGATAGTTGTCTTCTTACCTTTTTTTGTATCTGCTTCTGTTTAGACGATTTAACATGGCTTGAAGTTATGCAAAAATAAAGAAATTAAAAAAAGGACTACCTAATCGTTTATTCGTTATACTTTTAGACCCATATATATTGTACACACGCAGATACAAACCTATATGTACCTACAGCGTCATAAGACGGACATATGTAGTGGGAAAAAAAAGTCATTAAGTAGACATGGTCATTAGCAGGACATTTTCATGTCCTGTTAACGATTGGAAATTAGAATTACTGCCCTTAACGTACCTTGCAGGCAGAGGAAAGGTATAGACCTCCCAAGAAACAATATGTTTATTCATTAGTCATTAGTTTAATCAGTTATATCGTTTTGAATCGTTAGGGTATACCTCTTTTTTATGATATCCTGTTAAAGTACCAGTTAGGGTTATATATAGATTTCCTGCTAATACAATTTTACCAAAACATGACAACGAATTTTGAATATTGATGTATATCAAAATTATTAAACCGTGTAACATCATCAGGTAACCTAGTTCTACCTACTGGTGCTATAGGTTATTCATATTTCAATTTTATTTTTAATTTTTTATAACCGTTCTCTGTCACTATTCAGTGTCTTTTTTTAATCAAACATACCCATATCTTCCTTCGTTCCATATGGAAAATGATGAATTTCTGTTTGTGCGTTGAGTAGTTAAGTAAATATTATGATTTCGATGAGACGTTACGAAGAGAAGGACCCGCTACTTCGGTATTTTATGTTGCATTCCATCATGTCTGACTATAAGCTTGGCAAACTTGACCGAAATTGATAAAAGTGGACGAATTATGAAAATAATTCAGATTTGTCATGCTCATATTCGCCCTATAATAATAATAATGAAAATTTATAATGCGCCATGTCTGTCGAAATTGACACTCCTGGCGCAGTTGTGAGAACATTGTATAATTGTGAGCAAACGTCTATCCAGTAATTTAAGAAAGAAAGCAAAGAATACATTAGTTTAAGTTTAACACACTTCAGGGCATAATTTTGCGACAATAGAATTACAACATCAATTTTAACATACAAAGCAAGGTTACCCCCGCTAAAATATTGATTGATTGATTGATTGCTCGATCGATTTTATTTATTTACCTACAGCAACAGCAATACATTTTAAACAATAATTTACATATACAAGAAGAGAAACTATTGGTTGGTAAAAGGGGCCAGATAATAGCACATGTCCTAGTCGAGTCTAACCCCTTAAACAGCTATACAATGTATTTTGGTACAAATCAGTTAAGAGAACGTAACAAAACAAAATATAATGAATTTACTTTTACAATCAATACTTTAAAAAAAACACGAATCAGTACTCGACAATGTCTTACAATATACAAACTAATAATGTAAATTACAGGTAAGAATTGAAAAATATTGGAGATATTGTTGTTAATATCCAATACAAAGTATATTACACTAATAAAAAGTTATATAAGGGTAGTACAGAGTAAGAAATAATCAAACAAACTAATATGTTGAAGTAGAAATGTTTTTAAATGATATTTGAAATGTGGGTGGGGTTCTCATTTCAGTGTTAAGGAAAGAGTGTGTTCCACAATTCGAGTCCAGAACTACACATACACATACGTAAATATCCACAATGAAATACGACATTCTTCTGTTTGACGTACCACTGCGAATATTTACATTATGACGCATTATAACGGCCATTTATGATTACAGACTTATGCGAAAAAGAAGGTATTATACATATACGCGTATGTGCTCGTTTGAGCTTGTTTGGGGCGTGCATTGATGCAGGTTCATTCCATAACATTCTCTGTATCACAATGGCGCCGGTTGGGTGTGTGCGATTTGCTTCATGGTTAACATGTCTTCTTGCAGTCTTGCAGTTGAATAGCTGCTACGGTCGTAAGCCATTTTCAATAGGTTTCATATCTTATGAATTTGTACAGTTTCATTTGAATATTTTTTATTTGCTATAGTAATCATATATTACTTGACCTTACAACAATCCTTGTTTTCAATTTTGATTTTGAATATTTGCAGTATCTTGACCAGCCACATTTGATTATTCATAATTTCATATATCATTTCCGGCAGTTTATTTGAACTAGTAACAATTTTTACTACCAATTTTAATATTTAGTATATTTACAGTACTCTTGTCCAGCCACTTATGATTATTTGTATTCATATACATATTATTTTCCGGCAGTACTATTCTATTGCTTGCTTTTTTTTTTAATATTTATCTTGATCCTGTTATTTCTTGTTTGTTTTTAAATATGTCTTTTGGTGTAACAATGTCATTTTATGTCACAAATTATATGATTATTTAATGTTTTTACATTGTTTCACACGGCCCCAATGGAAATCAATCTTGTTACTGTTTGGGCTTTTTTAACCGTGTATAAATAAAGATTTCAGTTCAATTCTAATAAAGGGACTCGGTAACATTTTTAAGATGAGAGATAGCAGTGCTAAGGTAGTGACTTCAATGCTAGATGTACATTTAAAGATAATCTGAAAATTTGAGTGAAAACGGACCATTATTCATGGTACAAATAGGGAAAAACTGATCTGATCGATTACTTAATTCTCCTAACTATATTATTACAATTTAATTACATTTTAGGTGAATGGAAATCGTCACAAAGCAATAAAATGGCTCTACATTCCATTCCAGACATTTAAGTGTTGACAGATTGTTTATAGCCTGTTTTATGTCCTTTTTTCATGGAAAAACGGTCGGGCAAATTCAAAAAAGGTTGGGAGAATTTACTGTTAATCACTGTTAGAGGGTGTCATACATCGACCTTTTCAAAGAAAACCATAGATATCTTCGTGGTTTGAGAATTTTTTCAGGATTTTTTGCATGTCAGAGGGTTAGTACAGTAGAAGGAATATAATAACATTATATACAAAAATTAAGCAATTTTTTCATCAACCTTCAACAATGTTACCAAGTCACTTTAACATGTGAAATGTTATTTGATTTGCAAATACAATTTATTTTGGCCGTCGTCTTAAGCCAGGAGATATATTTCGAACGTAACATTTGTTTATGATGAAACGTCTGATTTAAAAACATGTTTAAGAGAATGAAATGTCTCTTTTATAATTTGTGGTACTTATTACGCAATACATATAAAAACCTGTTAAGAAGAAGGAAACAAATCAATGAGTGCTATGACAATTCAAATCTTCAAAATAAATTACAAACACTATTTTATTTGTTCTATTTTATTTCTGAAACCCGTCATCGTGAAGAAAAGAACTCTCAATAAATTTTTATTTCGATTATTTGTATTATTATTTGTATATTGCCGTGACGGAGGAATATCAACATTAAATTATTTGCTCTATAATTATATATATATATATATATATATATATATATATATATATATTACCAAAACACCACAACGAATTCCAATATTAATGTATATCATAATAATTAAATCTTTTTACATCATCAGGTAACCTAGTTCTACCTACTGTTGGTACGTTGTACCTATACAACGAACATATCGGTTATTCATATTTTCGTTTTATTTTAAATTTATAATTCCATTCGTTATCATTCTACAGAGTCTCTTTTTTTTAATCAAACAGATCTCAAACAGATATTTAGAATTATCTGATATATTACAAAAAGAAGGATTCGTTACTCCGAAATTATACATTACATGTCATTCTGTCTGACTACAAACATGACGATCTTGATCGAAATTGACAGCAAATTGACAAATCCATAAAAATAATGCAACTTTTGGATGCTCATATTTACCCTATTCACTCCCTAAACTTAAGTAAATATCGAAAATGAAATAACAAATTCTTCTGTTTGACGAACGACTGCAAAAGTTTACATTATGACGCATGACAACGGCCATATTTGATTGTATGGATTGATGGAAGAGTGCTCAAGAACTTTAAGCCTGTTCGAAAATTTCCCCGTCCTGCAATTAGACGGAGTGACAACGTACTTTAACCGAGGAGAACGTACTACAAACGAACTGATTACCGTACTATGAACGGAATTGCCGTACTTCGATCCTACTTCAAACGTGTTACAACGTGCTGTGGTCGACTATCAATTAGGCCTACTAGCAGCATAAGCCCCCCCCCCCCCTTCACACCAAACTAGTACTCACTACGCTCTGGAACCGTCCTAGAAAATCGTAAAAACAGGTTATAGTCGGGGTAGAATGTGTAAATAATGTCTACAATCCGGTCCTAGATTGCAGGACGGGGAAATTTTGAACAGGCTCCAAGTTCTAGAGCACCCTTCCCGTCCAAGCCAGTCCGAGCGCGTCCATGAAGTTATTAAACAGATCGTAAATAGTTGCTACTTCGTTCACTCCGTTCCCACACAGTTTGAGCCAGTTTGGCAACATTTTAAAGAACGTAGTGAGAACTAGTTTGGTGTCGTGGGGGCTTCACTTGAATGTCTTGATCTGCAGAGCTTGATCGTATTGGGAACGAGGTAGAACTAGTTAATAACGAGTTTAAACTGACAACGGACTGGCTTGGACTGCCTGGAAGTGGCAAATTTACCCGATCTGAACTTGATATGAAATGACTGTGGACGGGGCACGGACGAGATGGACGTTTTGAGGACTGTTTATGAACGAACTAGGATCGTATTATAGACATGATTAACGCATTTTACCCCGACCACAACCGATTTTACGATTTTCCAGGACGGTTACAGAATGTAGTGTGAACTAAGTTTTTCAATAGCTTTCATATCTCGTAAATTTATATCCTTTCAATTGATTATTTTTTTATTTTTGTTTTGAATATTTGTAGTATCTTGACCAGCCACATTTGATTATTCATAATTTTAAATACAATTGTCGACAGTTTTTTTTTTAACTGGTAACACTTCTTATAACCAATTTGAATTTGCAGTATATTTACAGTACTCTTGTTCACCCACTCATTATTTTTTGTATTCATATTAACTTTCTTTTCCGGCAGTACTATTCTATTTTTATTTTTGTTATATATGTTGATCGTGTAATTTCTTGTTTGTTTGTTTTGTTTTGTTTTGTTTGTTTGTTTGTTTGTTTATCACACATGATATGTTAATTTGATGTATTTACATTGTTTCACATGGCCCCAGTGGAAATCAGTCTTGTAACTGTTCGGGCTTTTTTAACCGTGTATAAATAAAGATATCAATTCAATTCTATTAACATGTGAAAATTATTTGATTTACAAAGACAATTTATTTTGGCTGTCCTTGTCTTAGGCAAGGAGATATATTTCGAACGTAACATTTATTTATGATGAAACGTCTGATTTTAAAAAATGTTTAAGAGAATGAAATAACTGTGTTTTATGTTACTTATTACGCAATACATATGAAAACCTGTCAAGAAGAAGGAAAACATCGATGAGTACTATGACAAAATAAATTACATAAACTATTTTATTTTTTCTATTTTATTTCTGAAACCGGTCATAGTGAAGAAAAGAAACTCTTTTTATTTCGATTATTTGTATTATTATTTGTATATTGCCGCGACGGAGGATTATCAACATTAAGTTATTTGTTCTATAATAATATATTTATATATTACCAAAATTATTTATCATTCTGCAGTCTCCATTTTTTTAACCAAACAGACATCCATACCTTCGTTTCATGATTTGATATGGAAAAAATAATCTTGTTTGGAGACCATCACCATCAAATAAAAAAATGTGCATATGAAATGAGAAGATAATTTGATTTATCTGATATATCCCAAAGAAAAGGATTCGTTACCCCGATAATATACATTACATTTCATCCTGTCTGACTAGAAGCATGACAACCTTGACCGAAATTAACAGCTAAATGACAAAATCATGAAAATGATGCACATATGTGATGCTCATCTTACCACTCCCTACACCTCAATATCGAAAATGAAATTAACAATTCGTCTTTTTGACGTACCACTGCGAAAGTTTACATTTTGCTCTCAAAACAATAACTTGTACAGGTCCCTCATTTTGTAATAGCTTGGACGTAAAAATCACAAAGCTTACGTCTATGAAACAGGGAGGCACTCGTTTTCACACAACGCAGGCCTCAGTCATCCGCCTTGGTTGTATTCGAGCCCAACGTGGTTTGACAGGCAACTAAGCCAACTCGCCTCCTCGCTATTATCTATGCATGCGTGCAAAACATAGCTTTTAACAAGCTATGCCAGATGTACCTCTCATTCAGTTATTTTCTATGATATTTCCCTGCTCTTTATTTCATGTAGAGGCACCCTATAGTGTACGACTTGTGAATGGTACATCGCCCGGTGAAGGAAGAGTAGAGGTTTTGTACAAAGGCCAATGGAACACCATCTGTGATGATTTCTGGAATCTTGAAGAAGCACAGGTTGTATGTCGTCAGCTTGGCTATGGCACCGATTTTGTCGTAGCTAGGGGATCTGCCTACTATGGTGAAGGATCAGGACCGATTCGACAAGCCCAGTGCTCTGGTCTGGAGTCTAACTTGGGCTCCTGTTCTCTGACTTCAGGGGATTCCGAATGTAGCCATAGTGAGGATGCAGGAGTAAATTGTGGTAAGCTTATACTTCCTTTTCGCATGACGAGTAATTACTACACTCAGCAAAAAAATAACAATGGCACTCTATATTTTTCTAAATTTTTCAATTAAACCCTCAAAAAGATATAATTAGATTTGTAATTAGATTACAGGAAAAATTCATACTCAACCAGTATTAAGTTTTGGGTTTGTCCCATAGAATTAATGTTCGGATTACGAAATACGACTTTCTCATGTTCGCACATTTTAATAGGTGACGCATTATAAGCTACGGTCACAAAGGTTCGTACGAACGATGCGTTCGTACGAATCTCCCTGTTCGTAGGAATTCCAGAGTTCGTAGAGATTCGTAGATGGGGTATATTTTCTTACGTCGTTCTAACGGACTTCGTACGAACGCCGTTTAATTTGTTTCTCATTTTTCGTAAGAATGCCTTGGGTTCTTCTTACGTCAGACTTACGGCCATTAAACAAGTTGTTTGCTCTCGCAAGATGATCCTACGTGTAACTGACGGCATTCTCAAGGTTATTCGTAAAAAGATTTTACGATTTTTAAAATATTTTGTCAGTTTGCAAAAAAGCGCTGCATAAATAGAAAAACATGTGTAAGTACACCTAAAAAAACACCTTACGAACGCCAGGAGTAGTTCTTACGAAAGCTATACGAATCTCTGTTCGTAAGGCGTTCTTTAGGATGCTGTAAGAGCCCGCTGTGAACAACTTCAGGCATTATTAAGATCATTGTAAGAAATTTGAGGCTTCTAAATTTGTCGCTCGACCCTACAAAATGTACGAAGAACTTGCGTGGTTCTTACGATGAAATTACATCGTTCATACGGCCGCCATACGAAGAGAGGTTTTCGTTTAAAGAGGTTGAATAAAATCTTGGACAAGACCATCGACCAATCTGCGAACTTACGAACGGTCTGCGAATGGTCTACGAACGCTGGTTTCGTATGGCCTAGTAAGAAGATCTTACGAAATGGTCTGAAAATCGTTCGTACGGCGTTCGTAGCAGCCCGTAACGTAAAGCTTTGGTCACAAATGACGTAACGAACTGCTACGAGCGCCGTACGAACGATTTTCAGACAATAGAAATTCGGGAAGACAATCGACAAACAGGGATATTCGTACGAAATAATCGTTCGTACGAACCTTTGTGACCGTAGCTTTATTGTGACCGTTGCTTTAGACTCGAACCCACCTTGGTTTGACAGGCAACTACTAACGGTCATAAAAGTTTGTACGAACGATGCTTTCGTACGAATCTACCTGTTTTTCCACTATCTTCCCGAATTTCCATTGTCTGAAAATCGTTCGTACGGCGTTCGTAGCAGTTCGTAATGGCATTTGTGACCAAGGCCTTAGGTCTTGGTCACACATGCCATTACCTTGCGATGACGTTTGGCACCACCCAACTTGCTTCCTCGCTTAAGCCTCGGTCACAAATACCCTTACGGGCTGCTACGAACGCCGTACGAACGATTTTCAGACCATTTCGTAAGATCTTCTTAAGAACGCCGTACGAAACCAGCGTTCGTAGACCGTTCGTAAGATCGCAAATTGGTCGATGGTCTTGTCCAAGTTTTTTTTTAACATCGTACGAAACCCTCTCTTCGTAAGGCGGCCGTACGAATGCCGTAAATACACCGTAAGAACCACGCAAGATTTTCGTACATTTCGTAGGGTCAAAGGGACAATTCGAGAAGCTTAAAATTATTACAATGACCGTAAGAACGCGTCAAGTTGTTCATAGAGGGCTCTTACGGCGTTCGTAAGAACGCCTAACGAGCGGAGATTCGTATGGCCTTCGTATGAACGACTCATGGCGTTCGTAAGGCGTTCGTAAGGTGCTCGTAAGGTGTACGTATACAATTTATGCAAATTTTGAGTTTTAGCGGTTATAAAGCCAAGCGCGCGAAGTTCAAATCTTCACTCTGTTCATAGTCAAAGGCGACGGAAGTGGGGGGGAGAGGCGGGGGCAGGGGGGGGGGCACTCGCCCCCAACCAATAAACGTCTTTTTGCCCCCCCCCCCCCCCAAACAAAACAAAAGCCCCACCCCCTCCTCCTCCCCTTCCCCCAAAAAGAAAAGCAGTAAAGGAGTAAAAATGGTTTGTATTTTTAACCCAAAAGAACATAACAATAATAAAAACCTGAAATAAATCACATATAAAATTCCATTCAAAGAAAAGGAAAGATAAAAGGAATTTAAATTCTTAAACATTCCGCATGCCACCTATCTTTGTCAATGGGGGATTTTATAATAGCGATACGAGCATATCGTCGAAATATTGTGAAAGGATGGGAAAGCATTTGTGTTTTTTGTTTTAGGGGTGAGAAGACATGAGCCCCTGAACGCTGGCGTACTGATAGGGGGTGGGGGTGGGGTGTTATTTCGTATTCGATACCAGTGATTTACAAATGTTACTGAAATGACATAATTTTCCGGTATTTTTTTCTCAATCATTATGTAAGTCATACCTTTTTATGCGTTTGTTGGAAAATTAGAAATTCCCAAATTTACAGGCGGGCGAAAAATATGCTTATTTAAAGTCTTTATGTCAGGGCCTGCAGAACAGCTGGGCTCGGGGGCTCGAGCCCCCTCACTTTTTGAAAACGTATGTTAAAGAGAAAAAGAAAGAAAGAGAGAAAAAATAAGTGACCTGTCAATGTCATAAATAAGGTATCAAAATATACTGATCTGACCGTAACTAAAATGCCTAATAAAAACCACAGAGCTTACAGGGGCTCCTCCTTCGGACCCCACTAGGGGCCCTAAAGCGGTTCCCTGGATGCTTATCTGACCATAATTAAATACCTAAAACCCCTGAGCTTCCGGGGTCTCTGCCCCCTGGACCCCACCAATGGCCCTAAGGTTGACCACTGGATGCTCATCTGACCGTAGTTAAATATCTAAAAAAAAAACTCTGAGCTTCCAGGGGCTCTGCCCCCTGGACTCCCCTCCAATTAGTGACATGCCAGTGTCACAAATAAGCTTACCTAAAGCTTATCTAAATATGCTTATCTGACAGTAATGTAATGCCTAAAATCCCTGAGCTTCAGGGGGCTCAGCCCCTTGACTCCTTGCCGGGGCTCAAGCCCTGGACCCCACGTCAATATACGTGTAAGAGTGGTGGTGATGCAGAAATTTCTTCTGCCCCCCGCCTTCCAAAAGTTTTGGGTTTGTCCCATAGAATTAATGTTCGGATTACGAAATACGACTTTCTCATGTTCGCACATTTTAATAGGTGACGCATTATAAGCTACGGTCACAAAGGTTCGTACGAACGATGCGTTCGTACGAATCTCCCTGTTCGTAGGAATTCCAGAGTTCGTAGAGATTCGTAGATGGGGTATATTTTCTTACGTCGTTCTAACGGACTTCGTACGAACGCCGTTTAATTTGTTTCTCATTTTTCGTAAGAATGCCTTGGGTTCTTCTTACGTCAGACTTACGGCCATTAAACAAGTTGTTTGCTCTCGCAAGATGATCCTACGTGTAACTGACGGCATTCTCAAGGTTATTCGTAAAAAGATTTTACGATTTTTAAAATATTTTGTCAGTTTGCAAAAAAGCGCTGCATAAATAGAAAAACATGTGTAAGTACACCTAAAAAAACACCTTACGAACGCCAGGAGTAGTTCTTACGAAAGCTATACGAATCTCTGTTCGTAAGGCGTTCTTTAGGATGCTGTAAGAGCCCGCTGTGAACAACTTCAGGCATTATTAAGATCATTGTAAGAAATTTGAGGCTTCTAAATTTGTCGCTCGACCCTACAAAATGTACGAAGAACTTGCGTGGTTCTTACGATGAAATTACATCGTTCATACGGCCGCCATACGAAGAGAGGTTTTCGTTTAAAGAGGTTGAATAAAATCTTGGACAAGACCATCGACCAATCTGCGAACTTACGAACGGTCTGCGAATGGTCTACGAACGCTGGTTTCGTATGGCCTAGTAAGAAGATCTTACGAAATGGTCTGAAAATCGTTCGTACGGCGTTCGTAGCAGCCCGTAACGTAAAGCTTTGGTCACAAATGACGTAACGAACTGCTACGAGCGCCGTACGAACGATTTTCAGACAATAGAAATTCGGGAAGACAATCGACAAACAGGGATATTCGTACGAAATAATCGTTCGTACGAACCTTTGTGACCGTAGCTTTATTGTGACCGTTGCTTTAGACTCGAACCCACCTTGGTTTGACAGGCAACTACTAACGGTCATAAAAGTTTGTACGAACGATGCTTTCGTACGAATCTACCTGTTTTTCCACTATCTTCCCGAATTTCCATTGTCTGAAAATCGTTCGTACGGCGTTCGTAGCAGTTCGTAATGGCATTTGTGACCAAGGCCTTAGGTCTTGGTCACACATGCCATTACCTTGCGATGACGTTTGGCACCACCCAACTTGCTTCCTCGCTTAAGCCTCGGTCACAAATACCCTTACGGGCTGCTACGAACGCCGTACGAACGATTTTCAGACCATTTCGTAAGATCTTCTTAAGAACGCCGTACGAAACCAGCGTTCGTAGACCGTTCGTAAGATCGCAAATTGGTCGATGGTCTTGTCCAAGTTTTTTTTTAACATCGTACGAAACCCTCTCTTCGTAAGGCGGCCGTACGAATGCCGTAAATACACCGTAAGAACCACGCAAGATTTTCGTACATTTCGTAGGGTCAAAGGGACAATTCGAGAAGCTTAAAATTATTACAATGACCGTAAGAACGCGTCAAGTTGTTCATAGAGGGCTCTTACGGCGTTCGTAAGAACGCCTAACGAGCGGAGATTCGTATGGCCTTCGTATGAACGACTCATGGCGTTCGTAAGGCGTTCGTAAGGTGCTCGTAAGGTGTACGTATACAATTTATGCAAATTTTGAGTTTTAGCGGTTATAAAGCCAAGCGCGCGAAGTTCAAATCTTCACTCTGTTCATAGTCAAAGGCGACGGAAGTGGGGGGGAGAGGCGGGGGCAGGGGGGGGGGCACTCGCCCCCAACCAATAAACGTCTTTTTGCCCCCCCCCCAAACAAAACAAAAGCCCCACCCCCTCCTCCTCCCCTCCCCCCAAAAAGAAAAGCAGTAAAGGAGTAAAAATGGTTTGTATTTTTAACCCAAAAGAACATAACAATAATAAAAACCTGAAATAAATCACATATAAAATTCCATTCAAAGAAAAGGAAAGATAAAAGGAATTTAAATTCTTAAACATTCCGCATGCCACCTATCTTTGTCAATGGGGGATTTTATAATAGCGATACGAGCATATCGTCGAAATATTGTGAAAGGATGGGAAAGCATTTGTGTTTTTTGTTTTAGGGGTGAGAAGACATGAGCCCCTGAACGCTGGCGTACTGATAGGGGGTGGGGGTGGGGTGTTATTTCGTATTCGATACCAGTGATTTACAAATGTTACTGAAATGACATAATTTTCCGGTATTTTTTTCTCAATCATTATGTAAGTCATACCTTTTTATGCGTTTGTTGGAAAATTAGAAATTCCCAAATTTACAGGCGGGCGAAAAATATGCTTATTTAAAGTCTTTATGTCAGGGCCTGCAGAACAGCTGGGCTCGGGGGCTCGAGCCCCCTCACTTTTTGAAAACGTATGTTAAAGAGAAAAAGAAAGAAAGAGAGAAAAAATAAGTGACCTGTCAATGTCATAAATAAGGTATCAAAATATACTGATCTGACCGTAACTAAAATGCCTAATAAAAACCACAGAGCTTACAGGGGCTCCTCCTTCGGACCCCACTAGGGGCCCTAAAGCGGTTCCCTGGATGCTTATCTGACCATAATTAAATACCTAAAACCCCTGAGCTTCCGGGGTCTCTGCCCCCTGGACCCCACCAATGGCCCTAAGGTTGACCACTGGATGCTCATCTGACCGTAGTTAAATATCTAAAAAAAAAACTCTGAGCTTCCAGGGGCTCTGCCCCCTGGACTCCCCTCCAATTAGTGACATGCCAGTGTCACAAATAAGCTTACCTAAAGCTTATCTAAATATGCTTATCTGACAGTAATGTAATGCCTAAAATCCCTGAGCTTCAGGGGGCTCAGCCCCTTGACTCCTTGCCGGGGCTCAAGCCCTGGACCCCACGTCAATATACGTGTAAGAGTGGTGGTGAAGCAGAAATTTCTTCTGCCCCCCGCCTTCCAAACGTTTTTGCTCATTACGCCATTGCCCCTGGAAGGTGAGCCCCCTGGAATGTTACTCCGTAAGAAAGACGTAAGAATCTATGCCCTATCTACGAATCTCTACGAACTCTGACATTCGTAGGAACAGGGAGATTTGTACGAACATTTGTGACCGTAGCGTTATATCTATGCATGCGTGCAAAACATAGGTTTTCAACCAGCTATGACAGACCTACTTCAATCATTCAAATATTTGTTTTGATATTTCCCTGCTCTTTATTACATGTTGCAGAGGAAACCTATAGTGTACGACTTGTGGATGGTCAATCGCCCAGTGAAGGAAGAGTAGAGATTTTGTACAATGGCCAATGGAACACTATCTGTGATGATTACTGGAGTCTTGAAGAAGCACAGGTTGTTTGTCGTCAGCTCGGCTATGATACTGATAATGCAACACCAAAGAATTTAGCCTACTATGGTCAAGGTTCAGGACCGATTCTACTAGCCGAGTGCTCCGGTTTCGAGAATACCTTGAATTCCTGTGCTCTGTATAAATTGGATTACGTCTGTAGCCATAGTATGGATGCAGGAGTAAGATGTGGTAAGCTTTTACTTCCTTTTCGCATGACGAGCAGCTACACTCAGCAAAAAAAGAAAATTGATACTCTCTTATGTTCAAAATGTTTTTATTAAGTCCTCAATTAGATATAATAAGATATTTATATCGAATTAAAGTTAAACGACATCAATTAAGATCAGGTTTTACACTTCCACGTGACTGTGTAGAACAGGTGTCACATGCATATTCACCTGTTCTACATATTTTTACATAATAGCAGTGAAGGGATGTTCTTTTGTCCGTCATGTTCATAGTGTTACCTCCTGCATCCATGTTTATCGTCGTGTGCAATCTAAGATTTCTAATTGTAGTCAACATGGGCAGTTGAGTACGTTAACACGCATGATCAGTCGGCGTTCGTCGTATTCTCGTCCACTCAATCTAAAAGTCCCTATTAATGAACATGTGCATCTGTAAGACATGACAATAGAACCAAAGAATAAAAAAAACATTGAGAATTTGTATTTGTATTTGTATTTATTAACATTTATTTCCTTCTCAACAGCACAATATAAAACACAATGTATATATACATGATATATGTAACAATTATTTCAACATAGAGTATACAGTAATTAATTCAGAATGATGAGTTCTTGATGTTATCCGTTGTCTCAGGACTGCATGACTTTGACTAGCACGGTCACAATGCTTCTCCTTTCCACCCAAGATTATGGACAAGCCATAGGAACCCTCCAATGCTCATCAACATTGTAACTGCCAATTGGCCAATTATTTGGGGCAATTTTTTTTCAGAGACCTATCAATTGTTAAATGGCAATATGATTCACATTGCGTATCATCTTTATGAGGATTAATTTGTGATTATTTTGAAATATTTAAGATAAGTTTAAATTGAAATATTAACTTCAAAATCTTAACTATGTGTCGTGTCCAACTTTCTTCTCTTTTTTGCTGACTGTCTTTCAGCAAAAAGATAGGGCCTATGATTATAACTATTTTACATACGTGTACACTAAAACTATAGATAATTTGAAGTGATCGGTGCCATCTTTCTTATCACTCTAAAGGGGAAAAACAAATATTGATCTCAAAAGTGGCATGGGAATATTTTTATTTGGGGGAGACATGAGTAACTGGTCCGCAATTATTTCCGATTAAAAAAAATCAGTGGCACTTTTAATACCCTATGGTATGTCCCATAGAATTGATGCTCAGATTACGTAATACGTCATTCCCATGATCGCACGTTTTAATATTTATAAATAACTTTTGAAAAACTATATTAATATTTGAACTTACCAAGATTTTATTGTATATATTTAATTAAATTCAATTCATTTTTATTTGCACATTTGATAAAAATCACAATAACAAGCTCAAACAATACAAAATCAATTCAAACAAATAACACAACTAAACAGAAGTATCAAAATGTGGGGGACAATCAAATGCCAAAGGCATATCAAAATATTGTCTCTAAGTATATAAGTAATTCAATAGTATTTAGTGGTACAACAGGAAGAAAAGGAAAACAAGGCAAACGTACCGTTTTACAGACTCAGAGTATGTATTATATTTAATAACATTAGATTTGTATATTGTGTTAAACTAGATAAGGAAGGGCTATTCTTTATTTCGGACCTATGACTATTCCACACTTTTGGAGCGCTATATTATTGTGGTACGGGAAAATTCATACTTATATTTTGACATTCGAATGTGGTTGGACTGTCGGGAAAACAATCATTTACAAACATTGGCAGCAGATCTTGCAAGTACGAAAACATAAAACTTGCTAATTGCAACTTGTGTATTATTTTCTTGAACTTTCAACTGTTTCCTTTCACTAATACAGGATCCGTGTATGCTAACGGTGCTGAACCATTAATAATTCGTATTGCTCTTTTTCGTAAAATTGTAAATCTATTGAGATGGGTTGAAGCACAACTACCACAAATAATGTTGCAGTATGTTAAATAATCATAGACTGATAGATAGCAATAAGAATATGGCGAGGTAAAACTTTCTTTAATCGATTTAACACTTCAATGGATTTTGATACTTTACATACTATCGCAGAAATATGATTTTCCAACCTAAAGGGGGTGTAGCAGCATGACGAGACTACGTGCCTTTCCCATGGCCTGACTCGGGGCCAATCGACGCGACCGCAGTATTCACGTGCGTGCAACTTACGCGAAACCGAAGCGTGAGGAGAACTTCGGTCTGCTTCGCGAACGCTAGCGCGCACTGACCGTTAATCAAATCCATTCGTTTACGTGTAGTTGTACAAACGAAGTCGTAGATGGCGCTAACCAGTATTTGCCATGCTAGACCCCTATAATATATCATTCAAAACAATCCCTAATAAATTAGAAGAATATACCAAAGGAATGTGGCAATGGTCAACGATTACAATCATATAAGTTATCTGTATTCTTGCGTTGAAAAAGCATACATCATGTTTTGGAAAGATTAATTTTCAATTTGTTAAATGCAAACCAACCAGAAAATGTTTCGAGCTCAGTGTTCAGAGTGTTACACGGATAAGCCACATTGTCTTCTGATAAAAAAAATAAGTTAGTATCATCGGCGTAAATAATTGCATGGGAAATTTGCTCACAAACTGAATATCATTTATGTATAGAATGAAAAGAAGTAATGGCCCTAACACACACCCTTGTGAAACACCGATGTTTACATTCCTGGTAACGGAGGATTTGTTATTAATTGAAACTTATTGCATTCTGTCATTTAAATAACTCTCAAACAAATCTTGTGCGATGGATGCATTATGATACTAACTAACTAAACATATGATTTTAGTAAATGCGTTACTCACTTAACCTGATCAGCTTTAAATGGGTGGTTGTGGATGATAGATTCTAGAAACAATTGCTCGGTCTTCATATTGATTGTAAATTATCATGGAATATCATATTGATGTTATACACTGTATTTATTTCCAATAAATACGTTAGACAATAGTTTTTCCGGGGACCTGACATTCTCGCGAAGAGATAGACTCCTTACATTTTTGTCGGTGACTAGTTCTAGTCACTCTTATCTATTATGCTTTGTCATTGGTTATAATTAATTTAATGTATAACTCCTCTCTTAATTGGTCGGATGACGTAAGGGTAATTTTATATATCCCATCTTGTAATCTTGGTTTCTTCGTAAGGGTCCTCCTGGTTGGCTGGTAATATCATGTGATATGTAAACCTCGTCGGGTATTTAAATGCCATGTGCGGGATTTTGTAGATAAGTTTTATTTCATTCCGTTACCATGTTAAGATGTGCTGCTAGTTTTACTCGTCGATAGGGCCCTCCAGCCTCTGAGAGAAGCAGCTTCTTTAAATTGTTCTTACTTCCAGGCAAGTATTCATCTCTCCCGTACTATATCCGATACAGGTCCCTCATTTTTTTTAATAGATTGGACATTTTAAAAAAATAACACAGCCTACGTCTATGAAACATGAGAGGGGCACTTTAACACACAATGCAGTCTTCAGTAATCCGCCTTGGTTAGATTCGAACCCACCTTGGTTTGACAGGCAAATAAGCCAACTTGCCTCCTCGATTTTATCCAGGCATGCGTGCAAAACATAGCTTTTCAACCAGCTATGACATACGTATCTCTTACTCAGTTATTTTCTATGATATTTCCCTGCTCTTTATTTCATCTTGCAGAGCTAGGAATCTCTAATGTAAGACTTGTGAATGGTCCATCGCCCAGTGAAGGAAGGGTAGAGATTTGGTACAATGGCCAATGGAACACCATCTGTGATGATTTCGGGAACCTTGAAGAAGCACAGGTTGTTTGTCGTCAGCTCGGCTATGACACTGATAATGTAACACCAATGAGTTCGGCCTACTATGGGCAAGGATCAGGACCAATTCAAGGAGCCCGATGTTATGGTTGGGAGGATACCTTGGAATCCTGTACTCTGACCTCAGTGGATTCCACATGTGGCCATTATCAGGATGGAGGAGTAAAATGCGGTAAGTTTATACTTTCCTTTCGCATGACGAGCAGCTACACTCAGCAAAAAAAGAAAATGGATACTCTGTACTGTTCAAAATGTTTGATTAAGTCCTTAAATATTAATATCGAATTAAATAAAAATTGGTACTTAAACGACATCAATTAAGATCAAGTTCTGAATTTTAACGCTTGGATGGGCACAATCATTTTACAGTTTAAAGGTCTGATTACGAAAATCGCAAAACTAGAGTGAGTAGCCTGTAAAATAGTAATGTACATGTGCATCTGTAAGACATTATGTTTAACAATAAAAACAAAGAATGACATACATTGAGAAGAATGAGCTGTTGATGTTATCCGTAGTCTCGGGATTCCATGATATTGACTAGCACGGTCAAGATGCTTCTCCTTTCCTCCTAAAATCGTAGACGAGCCTAGGATACATTCAATGCTCATCTGTCAGAGACCCGTTTATTGTTACACGACAATGCTCACTCGTGGATAAATAGTATGATTCAAAATTTATATCATCTTTATGAGGCTTAGTTTTTGTTTATTTTGATGAAATGAAAGATTAATATAAATTAAATATTTACATGAAAATCTTAACTATAAATCGTTTCCACGGTTTTTTCTCCCTTTTGCTGAGTGTATTCCAGCGAAAGATAGGGTCTATGATTACATCTATTTTACACGTAGAATTGATGCTCAGATTACGTAATACGTCATTCTCATGATCACACATTTGAATAGGTGACGCATAAGGCTATTAAAGTTGCCCTAGGTTAGTTTACCTAAAGCAGTTGTTCCTATCGGATTCGGTCTATACTTGGTAAATGAAATTCAAAAAGATCGTGAAGGCAGTTGAGGGCGTTGTGGAAGGCGATCAACCGCCCCAGCCCACGAGATTAACAACATCTCGCCGGCCTCCTGACAAAAATTGGAATAGTGTTCACTATACCGACAGCCCATAAGACCTGACAACCCACGAGATCGACATTGTCGATCTCCCGGCCTTTGGTCTACTGGGATGACCCCGGAATGACCTTCTTGTACGTTACCTTGAACATTGATACAAAATATATGTTTATTCTCGAACTGATTCTTATGAAGGTGTAACGTGAGCAAGGAGAAAATGCAAGTGACAACGTTCAGTGATTTCAGATTGCATCCCTTACAAATGAGATCAAACAATGATAACTCTGAATGACATTTTTCCTCGTTTCTGAAAACTTACGAATCTTATGGAGATTGGTATTTGTTGTCAACCCTCTATTCAATTACAGATATTTCCATTGAAAACATATTAGGGACTGGTACAATAATGTTGATATTTCTTGTGGTACTATTAGAAATTATACACTTTTCTCTTCTTTTTTTTTCTTCTTTTTTTTTTTTGGGGGGGGGGGGTTCATAGATTTTTAATCGGATAGTTCCATGTGGGTTTATCATCTATCAGTGAATTCCTCGTGTGTAATGTATATCACTTTTTTCCGTATTCCTGTGATACAACTTCAAACTAGTATTTCCAACATGACAAGTTACAAAAAGCGTGTGAAAATTTGGATTTGCAGTCTCTGAGTGTATTCCAGCAAAAGATAGGGTCGATAACATCCATTTTACACACACGAGCAATCAACACTATGGATAATTTAAAGTGATCGATATCAACTTCCTTATCAATCTAAAAGGGAAAATACTAAAAATTGATCTCAGAAGAGGCATGGGGACTGGCATTGGTTAATTGGGGGAGGCAGGAGTTACACGGTCTCGATTATTTCTGAAAAAACAACTCATTGGCGCTTCCAATACCCTAGGGTATGTCCCATAGAATTGATGCTCGGAGTACGTAATACGTCATTCTCATGATCACACATTTGAATAGGGGACGCATAAGGCTATTGAAGTTGCCCTAGTTTGTTTTTTCGAAAATAGTTTCTATCGTGTTCAATCTATACTTGGTAAATAAAATTCAAATTTCATATTATTTTTATATTTTTGACTCTTTTCTTATCCCGCATTTTGCTTTAACCAGTGTTTATCCTGTTTCATATTCACAATTTTGATTGACACGGACCTGTTTATGCAACTCTCTCTCTCTCTTTGCCCTTTCACTCTTTTTCTGAAGGGGTTCTCTCTTTGTTTCTCTCTTTTTCTCCTTATATCCCTCTTTTTGTACCTCCCTCCTCTTTTTTTTGTGTGTATTCTTTTAAGAATTATCATCTTTCTTTAATCGATCGGATGGTTCTTGAAAGTAATATCACCCGTGTGTTAAGTAAGCCCGAAATAACAAAGTAATAAGAAGGCATTTCCAAGCATAACTGAATGATTGTCACAAAATGTTTTAATTTTGAAAGTAAGAACATTATGATTATCGCAATAAACATCTGTTTAAAAAAATGTATAATATGTAAACTAATTAGATGTATGCCAACTTGCCCAGCCGTTGAGTTTCGTATCAATTAGATTCATAGAATATTTGATTTCATATCATTAGGTATAAAGACACCAACAGGACAAAAACAACTTGTCTTTTCATCCGGGATAACCATCGCCCAAACTCTTAGTTTTAATATAATTTGTTTTCGATGTTGCCATAACAAGATGCAGGCGCGTACACAGGGGGGGGGGGGGGGGTAAATCCCCCCTTTGATATTTTTCTGTGTGTAAACCCCCCCTTCCCCCCCCCCCCCATAACCCCCTAAACCCCCCCCCCCTCCCTTTTGACTTTTTTTTTTTTTTTTTATTTATTAAAAAAAAAATTTTTTCCCATGGCTGACCTAAAAAGCTGACCTTACCCCCCCCCCAACGGAGCAAAATGTCAATTTTTCAAATTTCGAGACCCCCCCCCCCCCCCCCCAAAAAAAAAAAAAAAAAAAAAAAGTGTCCTCTTATTGCAAGTTATGTAGTCCCCCATAGAAATTATCTATGAAATAATGAACAAATTTAATTTTGAAATGAATCTACTACTAACGTGCTGACGACATGACTACAACTTATTCAGAATTAAAGGCCTTAAAAATAAAAGATGAAACCTAACTTCACTTAACCTTGGCATAAAATTATTTTTATTTTTCTCGTTTTTTAATGGCAACACTTTTCGTACATAACTATAGGAGGCTATTCAGTCAATATATTAGAAGATCTTCTGTTGCGCAGCAGGGAGTGATATTTTTCGAAGAGTTGCTCTATTTCCATGTTTTCGTTCAAAAAAAATACCTTTCCATATAGTTCTCTATTTTTAAAACGAATTCTATCGTATGCAGTAAATCCATAAACTATATACAAATAATTGAAGAAATAGTTTTACATACAGAATGGTTAAACAAAATAATAATCATCACGACCGTAAACTTTTTGGCAGATAGAAACAAAAGATGAATGACAAAATTAGTATTTCAAATATTGAAGATAATTCCAAACATTAAATACATGACCGTGTTGGTGGTGGCACGTTTCCAACACTTCCAAAATTTTGTCTGAAGTGAAACCATTTTTGTTTTAATTTATTCTTTTTGAGTTTTGTTTTGTATATATATTTTTTCATTTCATAATAACGTTTTACAGTTAATACAATTATATAAAATGACGGTAGTCGATTTCGTAATTTGGCCGAAAAATATTTCTCGTCTTACAACCATCAGAATATAGTTAAGTGCATTAGTATTATTATTGCTACCACAAAGTCCAAACAATTCATTGTTTTTCGTAAATATTGGTGTGAAAGGACTTTAAATAATTAGAGATATTAATCCATTGGAAAATGTGAGCCCTTTTAAAATAAAAAACTTTGAACTAGTTATGTTCTATTATATTTGCCTTTACCCTCATTATGTCTTCGATTACAAATTAAACGGTTGCTAATCATGGTCATGATCATTGGAAAACTGCTTCCAAAAGAATCAGAAGTGACACATGTCAGTAAGTATTGTTATATTGTTCTAAGCCATCGCTTGAACTTATTCTAGTAGATTGTAAATTATCATGGAAAGCGCGTAATAGAATGATAATAACGATTGCCTTAGTAAATTACAGTAGTATGCTGCAATACTTGATTAAATGTGCGCTAAATACTTGTTCATATTATATCTTCTCATATGATTATATTCTATATGTATATTTCGCATTTAGGGAACACTGTCTGTTGCAGCCACAATGGGATTGATCCATATTACTTTGACTTGAAGTTAACGCCCTTGTGACCCCAAATAGACGTCATGTTAAACGTGTCCGTTAATATTGTTGTACATTGTGTCACCAGAATTCCATCATGAATAATGTGACGTATTAGTCATTCATTATTAATAATATAACATGGCCTGGGCTTAATCCTATTTTCTACTTTTATAAACTTTTGTTATTACACTGTCGCTCAATTTTCAATAATTTATTGCATTTAACCCCGGTGCCTAACATTTAACAAAATTATGTGTGCCCATGCCTTGAGCCATAATGCATGGCCGTCCAAAGGATTTTTTTATGTTAGGGACCGGGGTAAAATGCAATAAATTATTGAAAATTTATTGCATTTTCTGTTTTTTTTTTAAATTTATGGAAACTGCCCCTTACCCTAGCCCCCGCTGCGTACAGTCATGGTTCAGTGACAAAACAATGGCCTCGTAACTGTGAGGCCCCAGGATCAAAACCGTGTCGATGTGCTATATTAGTGCCCTTTTGTGGGGCATTAATCCTCATTACTGTCATTTATGACTTAAGGGCATAGGTCCCCTAGTTGATAGGCATAGTAGCAACACATGCTTTAGCAGTCACGCAAAACACACATTGGCAAATTATTATTCAATAAAATCTGAGAATGTATACTATTATCTAGATCTATTATTTTTTTTTTTTTTTTTTTTAATAATTCCATAAATTGGAATTAAAAAAAAAATCCACCTTTATGATCGACAGTGTATCTATACAATTCAATATACTATAACTTCCTTTGTTAATAATCATGATTGTTAATAAAGCGATATTTAAACAAGTTTATATTTCAAATTTCTTAATTCATTCACGGTTTCCTTCCTTTAACTCAAATATAAATAATATTTTCATTAATAAAACATAATTTAAATTGGACGGACCGTAAAACTTCTTTCAAAAATTAACTCTTCAATTTAGACATTAGCAAAGCCATTTACTTAGTGAAATGATATATATACCATACTGATATTCATTTCATTCAATTTATCCATGTGTTATATGGTCGGGGAGAATTCTCGAAACATTCGAATAACCTGTGTTAATATAACTTTCAGGAAATAATTTTTACTACAATTTTTGGTTATTGCAAAGTTTTAGCTGCGCCTATTTTACAATTGTCATAAATCAATTCCCATTGTTATACATAATGAATATTATCCAAAATAATAAAAAGTGCCTTTTGGGATTAGTATATGTTACATTATATCTCACTGCATAGTTTAATATCGCCTTACTCGATATATGCCGACTTTTAATAAAAGTAGTATCATGACTCATGAGTCATTTGTTTAATGTTCAGTATCTTGATTAAGCCGACATCACCTGGAGATTTTTAAACGGATTTTAATGTTACATTTACCAATACTAGTCTGTATGCGCCAGCGTGTGCGAGTAGGTGCATGTGAGTGCGAAGGTGTCAGTGTGTGTATTTTTTCGTATTCTCCTTCCATAATTTTCATGTTTTCATTTATCCACATAATTTAGAAGAAGAGTTTTTCATCCGTGAACCAAGAGAAATTCATTTATTTATATTTTTATTTAAAGACTTACACTTCCATTGGGGCCAGGACCCGTTTCACTTCTGTTGTCATCACATTTGAATCAATTGCGTATTAACCGTGACACGCTGAATCTTGCTGATAGGTTGAATACCCTCCCCCTCCCCCCCCCCCTCGCAAAGATTTACCAAAAATGCCTCTCACCTCCGTCCATCCAAAAATCAAATTCTCCCCCCCCCCCCCCCATTTAGAGGAGACCAGGACTGGTTGTTCAAGTATTACATTACATATTCGTAGTAGGCCAATGATATTATCCAATAGCTTTCTGCACGAGATAAGTTATAGGTTCACAAGCCTACTTTATTAAGGACTGTGCTGAAACATGCGTGCGCAATCCCGTTTTGGCTCGAGGGCTATTAAATCCCAGCGCGTTCTTGCCATACCTCATTTCCTTTCAACGCTTCAAGCTATGCAGATCAAGACATTCAATTATATTATTGCTAATTGATGCTCGTTGTATCACATTCCTAGTGGGATCGAAGTACGGCTATTCCGTTCGTATAGTACGTCCATATCGTTTTAGGTAAGTTGTTACTCCGTCTAAAGCTATGGTCACAAATCAGAGCAGCGACCGACCGATCAGCAGCCAGCTCGGTCGCTACGGGAATTGAGGCATCGCCCGGCGATTTTTGGAGAAGTCGAGCAGGCTGTAGAGCCCCAGCGATGCCTGGGCGGTGACCTGTCGATTCCCGTCGGTCGCCGGTCAAAACTGGGCGAAATCGCGGAGCTTTTTCGCGCGGTGTCCCGGTAGTGACCGACCGGTGACCCTCCGATCGCCGGGCGGTCTCCCACCAGCCACCGGCTGATATTAAAGAAATTGCCCGGCGGCCGGCCAGTGTTCGGCAGGACTCAGAAATACGCCCGGTGCCTGGCCGTTCGCCGCCCGGGCACCGAACTAATCGAGCGTTCGCCGCCGAGCGATTTAGGTCAAAAATCGAAGCCATCAGGTCAAAGGCTGCCGACCGATTTTGGACTCGCCGCCCAGTGACCGACTGATCTCCCAGGGGTGACCGGGCGGCGACCCTCGACAGCCTTTGACCTAGGGGGTTCGATTTTTGACTTAAATCGCTCGACGGTGAACGCTCGATTAGGTCGGCGCCCGGTCGCCGAGCGTAGTCTGGGTGGCGAGTGAAAGTGAGCAGGCGCCGTACGAATTTTAATTCCGCGCTAAAACTTCAGCAGCGACCGAGCGATGCCTTAAAAACGAGCGGTGCCTGGGCGGCCGCCGCTCGGTGGCCGGGCAAAATTGGCTAAAACCTCGCCGCTCGGCTGCCGAGCAGGCTACTTTTGGGTAATGTGACCATAGCATAATTGCAGGACGGGTACAATTTTGAACAGGCGTAAAGCTCTAGAGAAGTCCGAGCCCGTCCATGAAGTTCTTAAACTGATCGTCAACATTTGCTTCTACGTTCACTCCGTTCGCACACAGTTTGAGCCTGTTCAGCAACATTTTCCGGAACGTATAGTGAGAACTAGTGTGGTGTGATCGGGGCTTCACTTGAATGTCTTGATCTGCACAGTTTGAAGCGTGAAGTTGAACGGGAATAAGGAATGGCAAGAAGGCGCGGGGCCGTTATAGACCTCGAGATCGTACGGGATTGCAAACACTCTAGGAGCGCGTTCGAACGCACTAAGATCGAGATGAAGACGAGTTGAACTGTCTCTGAACTTGTGGTCTGGTTACAAACTAGTTAGAACAAATTGCGAACTAGTTAGAATGGTCCATGGTTTGGACGTAATGGAAACGACTTGTAAAACTAGTTAAAAACGAGTTAAAACTGATTGTAACTGTTGTCGATCACGAAAACCCAATAAATTCAGTCAGACACAAGCTTTTACGGGAGTTGTCAATCTTTATTTTACGTCTCCGTATCCATCCATGTAACTCCGTGAAAACTGTATGACAAAGAAAAAATTGCAAGCATAATAAGTAAATGTGCAAATGAATCTAACCACAACTGCAATGCTTCAATACGTTACGAAATAAGGAAATGAGCATTTATATCGATTACAGTTTCTATCGATTACAGAATCATCTACGCAAAATAATCTTGGCTATAAACCCTTGCCAATCGATATAATCATTAGGTCATACAATTCATAAGGCTTCTATGGCTCCTTGTAACCTTGACAGCCTAACTAAATTGAATCAACTCCAATAACGAAAGAATAATGACTTTTCATTGCCCCACATATGCCTTTCTATGTAAGTAGAAAGTGTAGATACTTCCAGACCTTCCTTGTAAATTTCATTTATCTTTGTCCTAAATTACCCTAATACAAGTACTTTCATAACTATGATAAATGAAACCTGTCTCATACAGTCATAAGTCATATATATCAGTCATTACTCTTCACCTTATACAATATTTCATAAATGCGGTTTTACCGTTCTACGTAAATTCCTACACAGTCGCACATTACACGTGTACATGAACGTATCGCTACATACAGCCAGACTTGGCTTTATATCCAAATTAATCTTCATAATCCTTTACATAACAGCACTTAATTGCAAGCAAACATCATATATATAAATATACTGACCTCTGTGCCCTTTTGTGAACTGAATATCCCTCAGAATACGATTTTTGACAAATCAAAACATTCGGTAACAAACAAACTCAGCTTGCTCCATCGAACCAAAAATCAGCTGCCACTAGAGGGCGACAAATTTCTGAGCAAGTCAACGTCATCTACACTGATTATATACCCTACTTAAGAAATCCAGCCATCTGATTGGTCGAAAGTGCAGTCGTGGTTTTAGCCATTGTGTGCGGGTAAGCCTGAATCCGATGACCGGGGTAATAATAATATGTTGTAAAGCGCTGTGATACACATGTATGTCTGTAAGAGCGCTATATAAATGCCAATATTATTATTATTATTCCCGTAAATAAACGAAAAATGCCAAACCTATGTAATAGTTCTAGAGTAAATCAATAAAATCCCGGCAAAATTCCAGTTACCGGGAAAATAGTTAAATCTTGCTGAAATACCCAATGGTTTACGTGTTAAAATCTGGTTTGAGCAAGCGCGGATACCATACATTGTGTTTGTGTGAATTGGTCGCTCGCGCTAGCTTAATAAGACGTACGATGTCGATCGTTCTACTAAATCCGGCCAAGATTCTACTTATAGTTTCCAAACAACGCAAAAATGGCTGAAGAAACTCTTTCTAGATTTCAACAAATAAAAAGTATAAACAAGGTAATATGTTGGGAACAGAAATAATTTTATATGATATTTGAACTGTGAGTAGGAATTCTCATTTCGGAGGTGAGGAGGGAGGGTGTTCCATAGTTCAGAGCCATAACTTCACATACGGTACATGTACACATAAGTAAATATCGAGAAAAAAAATTATGATATTTTTCTGTTTGACGTAATACTGCGAAAGTTTACTTTATGAGGCATCATAACGGGCATAAATAATTTTACAGGCTTATATGAAATAAAGTGGTAATATACATGTACGTGCTCGTTTGAGCGTGTTTGGGGCGTGCATTGATGCAGGTTCATGCCATAATGTTCTCTGTATCACAATGGCGCCGGTTGGGTGTGTGCGATTCGCTTCATGGTTAACATGTCTTCTTGCAGTCTTACAGTTGAATAGCTGCTACGGTCGTAAGTGATTTTCAGTAGCTTTCATATCTCATAAATTTGTACCGTTTCATTTGAATATTTTATATTTTTCATAGAAATCATATATATATAGATATATATATATATTACTTGAACTTACAACAATTGTTACTTTCAATTTTGATTTTGAATATTAACATTATCTTGACCAACCACATTTGTTTAATCATAACTGTATATACTATTTCCGACAGTTTATTTGAACTTGTAACAGTTCTTATTACCAATTTGAATTTGTAGTATATTTACAGTACTCTTATTCAGCCACTCATGATTATTTGTATTCATATACAGTTTCTTTTCCGGCAGTACTACTTTATTTTTTTTTAAATATTTATGTTGATCCTGTTATTTCTTGTTTGTTTTAAAATATGTAATTTGATGTAACAGTGTCATTTTTTTGTCACACATTATATGTTTATTTGATGTATTTACATTGTTTCAGATGGCCCCAATGTAAATCAGTCTTGTAACTGTATGGGCTTTTTTAACCATGTATAAATAAAGATATCAATTGAATTCTATTAACATGTGAAATATTATTTGAATTACAAAGATTATTTATTTTGGCCGTCGTCTTAGGCCAGGAAATATATTTCGAACGTAACTTTTGTTTATGATGACACGTCTGATTTAAAACCATGTTTAAGAGAATAAATATCTGTTTTATAATTTGTGTTACTTATTACGCAATTCATATCAAAACCTGTCAAGAAGAAGGAAAAATGAGTACCAAGACAATTCAAATCTTTAAAATAAATTACATACGCTATTACATTTGTTTTCTACTTTATTTCTGAAACCGGTCATAGTGAAGAAGAGAACTCTCAAGGATTTTTCTTTCGATTATTTATGTTATTAGTTGTTTATTGCGGTGACGGAGGATTATTGACATTAAGTTAATTGTTCTATAATTATATATATTTTACCAAAACACGACAACGAATTCCAATATCAATGTATATCAAAATGATTAAATCTTGTTACATCATCAGGTAACCTAGTTTTACCTACTGGTGTTACGTTGTATACATGTATAGTATACAACGAACGGTTATTCATATTTTTATTTTTATTTTAAATTTACATTTGCATTCTTTATCATTCTTCAGTGTCTTTTTTTTTCAAACAGATATTTGAATTATCTGATATATTACAAAGAGAAGGATTAGTTACTCTGATATTTTACATTACATGTCATCCTGTCTGACTACGAGCATGACGATCTTGACCGAAATTGACAACAAATTGACAAAATCATGAAAATTATACAAATTTGGGGATTTTCATATTCATCCTAGTCACTCCCTACACTTAAGTAAATATCGCACACAGTTTGAGCCCGTTTGGCATCATTTTCGAGAACGTAGTGAAAACTAGTTTGGTGTGATAGGTGCTTCACTTGAACGTCTTGATCTGCAAAGCCTAAATCGTTGAAGTTGAACGGGAATAAGGAATGGCGAGAACGCTCTGGGTTTTTATAACTCCCGAGTCAGGACGGGATTGCACACGCTCTAGGAGCGCGTTCGAACGCACTAAGAACGAGATGAGGAAGAGTTTAACTGCCTCTGAACGGGGTGGTCGGGTTAACAATTAGTTAGAACAAGTGGCGAACTAGTTAGAATGGGTTTGGACGTATTGGGAACGAGGTAGAACTAGTTAATAATGGGTTTAACTGACTTCGGACTGGCTTGGACTGCCTAATCTACCCGATCTGAACTTAATATTAACTGGCTGTGGACGGGGGACAAACAGAATGGACGTATTGAGGACTGTTTACGAACGAACTAGGATCGTATTATAGACATTTATTTTTACACATTCTGCCCCGACCACAACCCGTTTTACGATTTTCTAGTACGGTTCCAGAATGTAGTAAAAACTAGTTTGGTGTGATGGAGGCTTTAAGCATGAAGCAAATCGCACACACTCAACCGGCGCCATTGTGATACAGAGAACGTCATGGAATGAACCTGCTTTAAAACACGCCCTAAGCACTGTCAAACAAGCACATAATTACATGTTCATGTATAATACCATTCTATTTTAAATCAGCCTGTTTAATCATTTATGGCCGTTGTCATGCGTCATAATGTAAACTTTCGCAGTCGTTCGTCAAACATAAGAATTTTTTATTTCATTTTCGATATTTACTTAAGTGTAGGGAGTGAATAAGGTGAATATGAAAATCCCTGACAAGCCCCCGACACACCAAACTAGTTCTCACTACGTTCTGTAAAATGTTCTCAAACGTGCTCAAACTGTCTGCGAATGGAGTTGAACGTGGTAGCAACTGTTTACAATCTGTTCCATAACTTCATGGACGGGTTCGGACTGGCTATACGGAAGGGTGCTCAAGAATTTTGAGCCTGTTCGAAAATTTCCCCGTCCTGCAATCAGACGGAGTGACACCTTACTTAAACAGAGGAGGCCGTACTACAAACGGACTGATTACCGTACTATGAACGGAATTGCCGTACTTTGATTCTACTTGAAACGTGTTACAATGTGCTGCGGTCGATCATCAATTAGGCCTACTAGCAGCATAAGTCCCCATCACACCAAACTAGTTCTCACTACGCTCTGGAACCGTCCTAAAAAAAAATCATAAAAACAGGTTATGGTCGGGGTAGAATGTGTAAATAATGTCTATAATACGATCCTAGATTGTTCATAAACAGTCCTCAATACGCCGACCTAGTCTGTACCCCGTCCACAGTCAGTTCAAATCAAGTCCAGATCGGGTTTGCCATTTCAAAGCAGTCCAAGCCCGACTTTATCGGTTTAAACCCGTTTTTAACTAGTTCTACCTCGTTCCCAATACGTAGGAACCATTCTAACTAGTTTGCAACGTATTCTAACTAGTTTGTAACCCAACCATCTCGTTCAGGGACATTTCAACTCGACCAAATCTCGTTCTTTAGTGCGTTCGAACGAGCCCCTGAAGGCTGGAGGGCTATAAAAGTCCAGTGCGTTCTTGCTATTCTTTATTTCCGTTCAATTATACTGCTGCTAATTGATGCTCGACCACGTCACGCTGTAACACGGTCCTAGTAGGGCCGAAGTACGGCAATTCTGTTTGTAGTACGTCCATTTGTTTGCAGTAAGTTGTCAACCCGTGTAATTGCAGGACGGGGAAATTTTGAACAGGCTCAATGTTCTAGAGCACCCTTCCCGTCTAAGCCAGTCCGAGCCCGTTTATGAAGTTATTAAACAGATCGTAAACAGTTGCTACTTCGTTCACTCCGTTCCCACACAAATTGAGCCAGTTTGAGCCAGTTTGGCAACATTTTACAGAACGTAGTGAGAACTAGTTTGGTGTCATGGGGGCTTCACTTGAATGTCTTGATCTGCTGTTAATATCCAATATAAAGTATATTACAGTAAAAACAAGTTATATAAGGTTAGTACAGAGTAAGACATAATCAAACAAGCTAATATGTTGAAGTAGAATTTTTTTTAATGATATTTGAAATGTGGGTGGGGTTCTCATTTAAGTGTTAAGGAAGGAGTGTGTTCCAAAGTTCAAGTCCAGATTGAACTACACATACACATACGTAAATATCTACAATGAAATACGACATTCTTCTGTTTGATGTACCACTGCGAATATTTACATTATGACGCATTTTAACGGCCATTTATGATTACAGACTGATGCGAAATAGAATGGTATTATACATATACGCGTATGTGTTCGTTTGAGCGTCTTTGGGGCGTGCATTGATGCAGGTTCATTCCATAACGTTCTCTGTATGACAATAGGGACTTTTAGATTGAGTGGACGAGAACACGACGAACGCCGACTGATCATGCGTGTCAACGTACTCAACTGCCCATGTAGACGACAATTAGAAATCTTTTAGATTGCACTCGACGATATACATACATGCAGGAAGTAACACTATGAACCGGACAGACAAAGAAAGAGGTCTACCCTTAACAATAGGCCATTTTCGTAATGTAACCAAATTTAATGCATAGGTCTTTGTGAAGTGCCTCAATACAAATTATTTCATTCACCTGATAGGAATAATAGTATTTCAATAGTCAGAATGCAACTGCATATATTAAGTGTTGCTAGGTAGGTCAAGCCATAATGTTTGTCCAACCTGGCAACAACTAATGTATGCAGTTAGGATTCTGTCTATTGAAATACTATTATTCTTATCAGGTGAATAAGATAGTTTGTATTGAGGCACAAATTGTATATTGCGGTGACGGAGACTTATCGACATTAAGTTAATTGTTCTTTAATTATATATAAATATATTTAAAAAAAAACAATTTATACTTCCATTCTCTTTCATTGTGAAGTGTCCTTTTTTTTAAATAAATCAAACAGATATCAATACCTTCGTTTCATGATTTGATATGGAAAAAAATAATCTTGTTTGGAAACCATCACCATCAAATTATAAAATGTGCATTTGAGATGAGAAGATAATTTGATTTATCGGATATATTCCAAAGAAAAGGATTCGTTACCCCGATAATATACATTACATGTCATCCTGTCTGACTACAAGCATGACAACCTTGACCGAAATTAACAGCAAATTGACAAAAATCATGACAATGATGCAGATATGTGATGCTCACCATACCACTCCCTACACTTAAATATTGAAAATGAAATTAACAATTTTTCTTTTTGACGTACCACTGCGAAAGTTTACATTTTGCTCTCAAAACAATAACTTGTACAGGTCCCTCATTTTGTAATAGCTTGGACGTAAAAATAACAAAGCTTTAGTCTATAAAACAGAGGAGGCGCTCGTTAACACACAACGCAGGCTTCATGCAGTCATCCGCCTTGATTAGATTCGAACCCACCTTGGTTTGACAGGCAACTGAGCCAACTCGCTTCCTAGATTTTATCCAGGCATGCGTGCAAATCAAGCGTTTCAACCAGCTATGACAGACACACCTCTCATTCAGTTATTTTCTATGATATTTCCCTACTCTTTATTTCATGTTGCAGAGGAAACCTATAGTGTACGACTTGTGAATGGCCCATCGCCCAGTGAAGGAAGAGTAGAGATTTTGTACAATGGCCAATGGAACACTATCTGTGATGATTACTGGCATCTTGAAGAAGCACAGGTTGTTTGTCTTCAGCTTGGCTATGCCACTTCGAATGTAACACCAAAGAGTTTAGCCTACTATGGTCAAGGTTCAGGATCGATTCTACAAGTCCAGTGCTCTGGTTTGGAGAATACCTTGAATTCATGTATTCTGTCTTCAGGGGATTACGTCTGTAGCCATAGTGAGGATGCAGGAGTAAAATGTGGTAAGCTTATACTTCCTTTTCGCATGACGAGCAGCTACACTCAGCAAAAAAAGAAAATTGATACTCTCTACTGTTCGAAATGTTTGATTAAGTCCTCAATTAGATATAATAAGATACTTATATCAAATTGAAGTTAAACGACATCAATTATAATCAGGTTTTACACTTCCACGCTTGGATGGGCACAATCATTTTACAGTTCGCACTGGTCTGATTAAGAAAACTGTAAAACCTAGAGTAAGTACTATTTCTAATATTAATGAACATGTGCATCTGTAAGACATAACAATAGAACCAAAGAATAAAAAACATTGAAAAGGATGAGTTCTGGATGTTATCTGTTGTCTCAGGACTGCATGACTTTGACTAGCATGGTCACAATGCTTCTCCTTTCCACCCAAGATTATGGACAAGCCATAGGAACCCTCCAATGCTCATCAAGATTGTAACTATAGATAATTTGAAGTGATCGGTGCCATTTTTCTTATCACTCTAAAGGGAAAAACAAATATTGATCTCAAAAGTGGCATGGGAATATTTTTATTTGGGGGAGACATGAGTCCGTAATTATTTCCGATAAAAAAAAAACTCAATGGCACTTCCAATACCCTATGGTAGGTCCCATAGAATTGATGTTCAGATTACGTAATACGTCATTCCAATGACCGCACGTTTTAATATTTATAAATAACTTTTGAATAACTATATTAATATTTGAACTAACAAGATTTTATTGTATATATTTAATTTAATTCAATTCATTTTATTTGCACATTTGATAAAAATCACAATAACAAGATCAAACAATACAAAATCAATTCAAACAAATAACACAACAAAAGAGAACTATCACAATGTGGGGGACAATCAAATGCCAAAGGCATATCAAAATATTGTCTCTAAAGTATATAAGTAATTCATTAGATATTTAGTGTACAACAGGAAGAAAAAGAAAACAAGGCAAACGTACCGTTTTACAAACTCAGAATATGTATTATATTTAATACGATTAGATTTATATATTGTGTTCAACTAGATAAGAGGGGCAATTCTTTATTTCGGGCCCATGACTATTCCACACTTTTGGAGCGCTATATTTTATTGTCGTACGGGAAAATTCCTACTTATATTTTGAAATTCGAATGTGGTTGGACTATCGGGTAAACAATCATCTACAAACATTGGCAGCAGATCTTGCAAGTACGAAAACATAAAACTTGCTAATTGCAACTTGTGTATATTTTCTTGAACTTTCAACTGTTTTCTTTCACTATTCACGGATCCTGTATTAAATACAGGATCCGAGTATGCTAAGGGTGCTGAACCAGTAATAATTCGTATTGCTCTTTTTCGTAAAATTGTAATTCTGTTGAGATGGGTTGAAGCACAACTACCACAAATAATGTTGCAGTACGTCAAATATTCACAGACTGATGGATAGCAATTAGAATATGGTGAGGTAAAACTTTCTTTAATCGATTTAACACCAATAATAAAAATACATAACATTTATTAGGCGCTTAATACAGGTGTTTCTAAGCGCAACATTGTCCGACTTAAAATTACCAACTAAAACTTGTAATAAACACAAAAAATATAATATAAAAATATAAATCATGCATATAATAATAATAATAATAATAATAATAATAATAATTGATTCTTATTGAGCGCTACTACAGACAAACTGATCAGAGCGCTATACAACAGAAAAGAAACATACACATCATAGCAATTAAACAAGGAACAGTAATTGAGATATTATGAACGAAAAAAAAATTTAGCTACTCAAAATGTACATTATGGATTCAAGATGGAAAGAGTTGGGTTTTAAGTTTCTTTTTTTTTAATAACAAAAATAAAAATGAGATCAAACATAAGGTCAAACATAAGATCAGACAAACAAAGAATAAGATGGTGTGCACCTCCTTTGACCGACTCACAACTGCAGAATAGCATTCATGAATTAAAAAGGTGCGTTTTCAGCAAGGACTTAAACTGGTCAAGAGAATGAGTATTATGAATATGCGCTGGTAATTTATTCCAAAGGATAGGGGCATTTACTGAAAAAGCTCGATCGCCATATTTTGTAACAGAACGAGGTCCAAGGGTTAACTGCAAGGTTGATGATGATCGAAGAGGTCTTAAAGAACTAGAAGAACGTAAGGAAATCAAATCTGAAAGATATTTATAACACTGCAATGGCTTTTGATACTTTACATCTCCGAAATATGATTTTCCAACTTAAAGGGGTTGTAGCAGCATGACGAGACTACGTTTCTTTCCCATGGTCTGACTCGGGGCCAATCGACACGACCGCAGTATTCACGTGCGTGCAACTTACGCGAAACCGAAGCGTGAGGAGAATTTCGTTCTGTTTCGCGAACGCTAGCGCGCACTGACCGTTAATCAAATCCATTCATTTACGTGTAGTTGTCCAAAAGAAGTCGTAGATGGCGCTAACTAGTATTTGCCATGCTAGACCCCTATAATATATATCATTCAAAACAATCCCTAATACATTAAAAGAATGTACCAATGGAATGTGGCAATGGTCAATTATTACATTCATATAAGTTATTTGTATTTTTGCGTTGAAAAAGGATACAACATGTTTTGGGAAGATTAAGTTTCAATTTGTCAGATGCAAACCAACCAGAAAACGTTTTGAGCTCAGTTTTCAGAATGTTACACGGATAATCCACATTGTCTTCTGATGAAAATAAGTTAGTATCATCGGCGTAAATAATTTCATGGAAAATTTGCTCACAAACTGAATATCATTTACGTATAGAATTTTTTTTTAAAGTAATGGCCCTAACATAGACCCTTGTGGAACACCGATGTTTACATTCCTGGTAACGGAGGATTTGTTATTAATTGAAACATATTGCATTCTGTCATGTAAATAACTCTCAAACAAATCTTGTGCGATAGATGCATTATGATACTAACTAAACGTATGAATTTAGTAAATGCGTTAATCACTTTACCTGGTCAGTTTTAAATGGGTGGTTGTGAATGATAGATTCTAGAAACAATTGCTCGGTCTTCATATTGATTGTAATTAATCATGGAATGTCTACACCGATTTCTTATGTACATTATCATTAAAAAAATGTAGGTGTTTTCAAAATACTTACACATTATTTCCACCCTTATTCTTTACGATCATTATTAGGTGATACGTACGTAGACGTATCACCTTTTGATTTCGTCAAGATTTTTCTTTTTATTCTTCCTCGAATTTGTTCGCAGGATATCTCAAGACTGAATAAAGCCATTGTTATTTAACTTGCCATGATCATAGATATTAGTCTAACTTAGAACTGCGTGACTTTTCAGTGACTCAAGGTCATCGTGACGTCATCTAGTCGCCATTTTGTGAAAATCAACTTATGATCATATCTTCATAACTGATAGTCATTTCTCATTCGTATTTATCAGGATTAAGATCAATATCTGTCCGGTCAATTTCACGCCAATAAATGCGCGCAAACATGCGCGTACGCGTACCTGCGCGCGTTCATGCGCGCGTAAAATTTAAAATTGCTCAAAATCATCTTAATTTTTTTTTTGCATACGTTTTAGTGTATTTCTCTCAATATTCATTGATTTTCTTCGAAATGTTGATATGTTGTAGTCAAGGCAATTGTCTACAAGATCGGTTGACACTAATTTTCATTTTAATGACGTCATCATTGTACAAAATTCAATTAAAGGCCACATGTCAGAATTTTCTGAATTTGCGTGTTATGTCTACAGAAGGTGAATTTCGTTCACACCATGAATCTACATGACATTAATCTTTGAGCACTATCTAGCTTATTTGTGCTCTGTTTTCTTTCACATTTTGATATGTTATAGCTCATAATTTTCTTAACAATTTGATACCATGTTTATTTCATTAACACTATTAGTAACGGAATGAGCGTCCGTTTAAAATAACTGTTCGTACGCGCGAGTTTTGTAATACATAGCATATATTGGCAAAAACATGCCTATAAAAAGTTCATTATAGTTTTTTGGGATGCCTAGAGACTCCGCATTTTGTTTTCATATTTGGATAGAGTATGAGTCGGAGATGTGATTTCATATCTCATTTGGACATTAAGTACATCTTGACGTCATCATAATGGCCTTAAAGTCAATGTACAAAAATGCATATTATGATGTCCTTATATTTTTGGAAATTTTAGTGTATTTCTCTCAATATTTATCGGTTTTCTTCTAACTTTTGATATGTTGTAGTCAAGGCAATCGTCTACAAGATCAAAACACATTACTTTTCAATTCAATGACTTTATCATAGTAAAAATAGCGATTTACGATGACATGTCAGAATTGTCTTAATTTGCGTGTTATGCCTATAGAAGGTGAATTTTGCCCACATCATAAATCTACATGACATTCATCTTTGAGCACTATCTAGCTTATTTGGCTTTATTTTCTCCCAAATTTTGATACGGTGTAGCTAAGAAAATTAAAGGCGACATGTCAGAATTTTGTTAGAATGCTTGTTAGGCGTATGGGAGGTGACTTTTTTCTGAAATCCTGATTCTACAATTCTCTATCGAATACCTAAAGAGGGCGCTATACCACTTTTAAGATATTTGATATAGCGCCTTTTCCTTGCAGGCATCATCATTTTAAAAAAAAATCATCATCATCAATATCGTCATTAATGTATTTATGAAAATTATCATTAGATCATCATTGGCACACAAAATAGCAAACGTATCACCTAATTCGTCAAAGTGACGAATTAAAGTCTAGTTATCTAGTTTATTGCTATACCATACTTGACGTATGGATCATTGGCGTGGGGAAATTGTTCTAAAAGAATATTGTAGTGGTACGCTGATTTGGGCAACACATTGACATAAAGGGGGCGCTGGAGCAATAGAGGATTCGAGTTGGGTTGATCAATAATTGTACATTTATTAGTTTGACTTGGTATACATCTAAAAGTTGAATAGCATTAATTATCTTTCCAATAGTGTGCCGGGAACGGGTAAACAACACCTGGTCTTGAATTCCTGCATTAGATTGCAGTGTTCATTTCGATAAGCACGTTGGAAATGAATTCCTGAAGATGTACAGGTGTTCATTGCCAATAAATACGTTAGACAAAAGACTGGGGACTTTTTCCGGGGACCTGACATTCTCGCGAAGAGATAGACTCATCCCATTTGTGTCGGTGACTAATTCTAGTCACTCTTATCTATTATGCTTTGTCATTGGTTATAATTAATGAAATGTATAACTCCTCTCTTAATTGGTCGGATGACCTAAGGGTAATTTTATATATCCCATCTTTTAATTGGTTGTCTTCGTAAGGTCCTCCTGGTTGGCTGGTAATATCATGTGATATCTAAGCCTCGTCAGGTGCCGGAGTATTTAAATGCCATGTGCGGGATTTCGTAGTTGAGTTTTATTTCATTCCGTTACCATGTTTTGGATGTGCTGCTAGTTTTACTCGTCGATAGGGCCGCCCAGCCTCTGAGAGAAGCAAGCTTATTTAAAATGTTCTTAAATAATTAATCCTCGTTTGTAACTACAGGAGCTTCGGCTGACTTTTATAATTAATAAAGTGGACTTCAACTGTATATCCGAGCTTTTTTCTTTTTTATTTAGTTTCTGAACTTGTCGTCACCGACTCATTACGGGTCCATTACAATATTGAATCCATTTTGAAGATACAAAAAAAATCCATGAGCACATTAAGCCTAAGCACATTTTCATGCACACACACACTCTATATTCAATACAAACTTTTGAAAATAACAGACTTCTTTTTACATTGAACTATTCATATATCAACTAAATAAAGGCGATCGGCAACTCTTTTTAATTCCCATATTTGTAATAAGTAGGGAAATTCATTCTTACTCTTCCAGGCAAATATTCATCTCTTCCGTACTATAACCGATACAGGTCCCTCATTTTATTTTTAAAAAATAACACAGCCTACGTCTATGAAACATGAGAGGGGCACGTTAAACACACAAGGCAAGCTTCAGTAATCCGTCTTAGATTCGAACCCGTCTTGGTTTGACAGGCAAATGAGCCGACTCGCCTCCTAGATTTTATCCAGACATGCGTGCAAAACATAGCTTTTCAACCAGCTTTGACAGACGCACCTCTTATTCAGTTATTTTCTATGATATTTCCCTGCTCTTTATTTCATGTTACAGAGGCACCATATAGTGTACGACTTGTGAATGGTCCATCGCCCAATGAAGGAAGAATAGAGATTTTGTACAATGACGAATGGAACACCATCTGTGATGATTACTGGAATCTTGAAGAAGCAGAGGTTGTTTGTCGTCAGCTTGGCTATAGCACCGATAATGTCGTGGCAAGGAGTTCGGCCTACTATGGACAAGGTTCAGGACCGATTCAACAAGTCCGGTGCTCTGGTTGGGAGGAAACCTTGGAATCCTGTACTCTGACCTCAGGGGATTCCTTATGTCGCCATTATGAGGATGCAGGAGTAAGATGCGGTAAGTTTATACTTTCCTTTCGCAAGACGAGCAGCTACACTCTGCAAAAAAGGAAAATTTATACTCTCTGCTGTTCTAAATGTTTGAATAAGTCCTCAATTAGATATAATAACATATTTATATCGAATTAAAGAAAAATTGGTACTTAAACGACATCAATTAAAGGTAAAGACCAGTATTGGAAACGCCTCAATTTCAAAAAATGAAATGGAAGCTCTCATTACCAATCATGTGAAAGAATATGGTTTGACTAATACATGATGATAAAAAAATTGCCGGGAAACCGCCTACTAATTCATTTATTTGGTAAATTTGTTTCTCTCATTGTCTGTGAGAGATATAGGGTAGTCCCATATACATCTTTCTGTGTATAGTGCTTGTAACTTTACGAAGAATGGGCCAAATTTCTTATCATTTTGATGATTCCAGAACCTTGCAGATGCTAGATGCTAGATGATCAACCTTTTCTGATTGATTCCACAACGTTTCTTTCACAATGCAAATGCATGACCATAACTGGTCTTTACCTTTAAGATCAACTTCTGAAATTTAACGCTTGGATGGTTTAAGTGGCATGGGGACTGGCATTGGTTAATTGGGGGAGGCACGAGTAACACGACCACAATTATTTCTGAAAAAACAACTCATTGGCACTTCCAATACCCTATGGTATGTCCCATAGAATTGATGCTCGGATTACGTTAAATACTTCATTCTCATGATAGCATATTTGAATAGGTGACGCATCAGGCTATTGAATTTGCCCAAGTTTAGTTTACCTAACGGAGTTCCTATCGTGTTCGGTCTATACTTGGTAAATGAAATTCAAAAAGATCGTCAATGTAGTTGAGGGCGTTGTGGAAGGCGATCAACCGCCCCAGCCCACGGGATTAACAACATCTCGCCGGCCTCCGGACAAAAATTGTAATAGTGTTCACTAGACCGACAGCCAAAGAGACCTGATAACCCACGAGATCGACATTGTCGATCTCGCGGCCTTTTCGTCTACTGGGATGACCCCGGAATGAGCTTCTTCTTGTACGTTGCCTTGAACATTGATCCAAAATATATGTTTATTCTCCAAATGATTCTTATAAAGGTTTAACGTGAGCAAGAAGACAATGCAAGTGGCAACGTTCAGTGATTTCAGATTGCAACCTTACAAATGAGATCAAACAATGATAAATCTGAATGACATTTTTTCCTCCTTTCTGAAAACTTACGAATCTTATGGAGATTGGTATTTGTTGTTAACCCCTTATTCAATTACAGATATTTCCATTGAAAACATACAAGGGACTGGTACAATAATGTTGACATTTCTTGTGGTAATATTAGAAATTATACACTTTTCTCTTCTTCTTTTTTTTTTGGGGGGGGGGGGTTCATATATTTTTAATCGGATAGTTCCATGTGGGTTCATCATCTATCAGTGAATTCCTCGTGTGTAATGTATATCACTTTTTTTCCGTATTCCTGTGCTACAACTTCAAACTAGTATTTCCAACATGACAAGTTACAAAAAGCGTGTGAAAATTTGGATTTGCAGTCTCTGACATAAAATCATTAGCTTGCACACATTGATTTAAACTCTTAATGAACAAATTGAATTTAGACTAAATATGTAGAACTGATCAATGATCTTGAGTTTTTCTTTTCCTTATGAACTGAAGATATTCTAGCCACTTTCATGTTACTTGTTACTGGTTGTTTGTATGTATATATGTGTTTTTATTGTACTTAAGTTTTTCTGTCTTGATTTCTCGTATTACCTGTTACAATTGGTGGAAAGCACCTACCCACATTTGTGAACAAGAAGGAATACATTTTAAAAATAAAAAATACGTTAGACAGATTTCGTTTAATATATTTCACAATGATTCGCTTATTGGAGGAAAGGTTGCACGTCCAACCAACTTGATATGAAACAATCCGTGCACTTGTTTAATTTATCATTAAGCGAACCTGTTTTAATATTCCAGAAAAGTAACAGGTTTTGAGGAAGTTAGTGATTGTTCGAACTTTGTTGGGGGGACTTTTCAATTGTTAAACAAAAAATCTTCAAATGTACCTCCTTGTTTTACCAATGATATCTCACCAGTATTCGCATTGTTTTATTCTTATATGCATGCATCTATGTATTTTTGTATGGTTGTAGCGGTGTCGAAGTTTCGTGCATTAAAAATGTAGACGAGTTTAATACCTGCATGCATATGAAGCATACATTATAGCTTTTTAACCAGCTATGGCACACACACACATCTGATGGAGCTTTCTTCTCTTATATTTCCCTCTTTTCCACTTATTGCTGAAGGAAGCGACATTTTCACAACCTATGATCCATTTCAATGGCCAACGACAACCACAGGTGATGAAATCTATAACATACGGCTCATGAACGGTCCATCGCCCAGAGAAGGAAGAGTAGAGATGTTTTACAATGGCCGATGGAACACCATCTGTGATGATTCCTTTAATCTTGAAGAAGCGCAGGTTGTTTGTCGTCAGCTTGGCTATGACACTGATAATGTAACACCAAGGGGTTCAGCCTACTATGGTGAAGGATCTGGATCGATTCGACTAGTCCAGTGCTCTGGTTGGGAGTATACCTTGGGTTCCTGTTCTCTGACTTCAGGGGATTCCGTATGTAGACATTATGAGGATGCCGGAGTAAGATGCGGTAAGCTTATACTTCCATTTTGCATGGCGACGACTACACTCAGAAAATAAGAAAATAGACACTGTGTATCGTTCAAACTGTTCATATAAGCCCTCAATAAGATATAATAAGATATTTATATCAAATTAAACAAAAATTCAAACAACATCAGTTAAGATCAAGTTTTGAACTTTAACGCTTGGATGTGCACAATCATTTACAGTACGAAGGTCCGATTACTAAAATTGCAAATATGTAAGACATTATTGTTTAACAATATAAACAAAGAATGAAAAACATTGAGATGGATAAGCTCTGGATGTTATCAGTAGTCTCAGGACTGCATGATATTGACTAACACGGTCAAGATGTTTCTCCTTTCCACCTAAAATCGTGGACGAGCCTAAGATACATGTCCCTGCTCCAATGCTCATTTACATTTGTAACAGGCCAGATTGCAAATGTTTGCAATTTTCTGTCAGAGACTCGTTTATTGTTAATTGGCAATGCTCATTCGTGGATAAATAGTATGATTCAAATTGCGTATCATCTTTATGAGGATTACTTTTTGTTTATTTTGATAATATGAAAGATTAATACAAATTAAATATTTATTTGAAAATCTTAACTACTATTGGTTTCAACTCTTTTTTCTTCATTTTTGCTGAGTGTATTCCAGCGAAAGATAAGGCCTATGATAACATCTTTACCCACACGTACAGTCAAAACTATGGATAATTTGAAGTGATCGATGTCCTTATCACTCTAAAAGGGAAAAAACTATAAAAATTTGATCTCAAAAGTGGCATGGGGACTGGCTAATGGCTAATTTGGTTAATTGGGGGAGGCATGGGTAACACGGTGGCGATTATTTCTGAAAAAACAACTCATTGGCACTTCCAATACCCTATGGTATGTCCCATAGAATTGATGCTCGGAGTACGTAATACGTCATTCTCATGATCACACATTTGAATAGGGGACGCATAAGGCTATTGAAGTTGCCCTAGTTTGTTTTTTTGAAAATAGTTTCTATCGCGTTCAATCTATACTTGGTAAATGAAATTCAAAAACACCATCAAGGTAGGTGAGGGCGTCGTGGAAGGCGATCAACCGCCCCAGCCCACGAGATTTACAACGTCTCGCCGGCCTCCTGACAAAAATTGTAATAGTGTTCACTATACCGACAGCCCACGAGACCTGACAACCCACGAGATCGACATTGTCGGTCTCGCGGCCTTTTTCTTATGTTTTTCTTTGTTATGTCTGTCTCATCGGCTGTTGAACAAATTAAGTTTAGACAAAATATTCAGAACTAATCAATGATCAATGTTCTTCTTTTCTTTTTGAACTGAAGGTATTCTAGCAACTTTCATGTTACTTGGAAATGGTTGTTTTTATGTATATACGTGTTTCTATTGTACCTGTGATAACAAGAATGAATAAATTTTCAAATGAAAAATATGCTGGACAGATTTTTGTTTAATATAGTTCACAATGATTCTCTTCTTGGAGGAAAATTGCACGTTTAACCACCTTGGTTTAAAACAATCTGTGCACTTGTTTAATTTATCATTTAGCAAAATAAGAGGTTTGAGGAAGTTATTGATTGTTCAAACTTTGTTGGGGGGATTTTTCAATAGTTTAAAAAAAATCAAATGTACCTCCGCGTTTTACCAATTATATCTCACCAGTATTCGCATTGTTTTAGTCTTATACATCTATGTATTTGTGAATGGTTGTAGCGGTGTAAAAAATAGAAGTTTCGTGCATTAAAATGTAGACGAATTAATATCTGCATGCAAATGAAACATACATTATAGCTTTTTAACCAGCTATGGCACACCCACATCTGAAGGAGCTATGTTCTCTGATATTTCCCTTTTTTCCACTTATTGCTGAAGGAAGCGACATTATCACGGCAATTCCATGGCAACCGACAACCACAAGCGATGGAATCTATAACGTACGGCTCATGGACGGTCAATCGCCCAGAGAGGGAAGAGTAGAGATGTTTTACAATGGCCGATGGAACACAATCTGTGATGATTACTGGAATCTTGAAGAAGCACAGGTTGCTTGTCGTCAGCTTGGCTATAGCACTGATAATGTTGTACCAAGGAGTTATGCCTACTATGGTGAAGGTTCAGGACCGATTCAACAAGTTCAATGCTACGGTTGGGAGTATACCTTGGATCACTGTACTCTGTCTTCAGGGGATTCCGTATGCAGCCATAGTGAGGATGCAGGAGTAGAATGTGGTAAGCGCCTTATTCACAGTCAATTAATATCTTACCGATGAGTTGTCTTGGTCTGCTGGATTATGTTCATGGACTATGAAGCACAAGGTATAGGGTTCAAATCCCTGTCACGGAAGTAATGTCCTTTGCCCTGATATTAAATCTATATGTGTCTCTCCCCACTCACGTGCAGAAAATGGGTAACCCGTTAGTAGAAATTCGTGGAACGCTCATGTTCCATGTTATATTCATGATAGCAACCATGCAGGGCCATGGTCAGGGATAACAGTACAAATTTCTGATGAAAAATATCATCATCAAATAATATTATTATAATTGTTATTACTATTATTATGATTATGATTTTTATGGGCATTATCATCATTATTACTATTATTATTATCATTATTATTAGTATCATCATTACTTATATCATAATTTTTGCTATTTTTATTATTATCATTACCATCATTATCATTATCGAGGTAAATTTTACTCAGAGTTCGAGGATTTTGTCATAAAATCCACTATGTTTGAATGATTATTCTTTGTCTCCTTTATTCCCCTCTCGTAAATATATAAATGACCATAAGATAGGATATATGTAAAATATTAACTACCATACTTCATGGTCTTCCCTCCAAACAATCACCCTTTTTTTTTTCTTCGTCAGTGAGAACGAGTTTATATTAAGATGAACGCCTAAAGAGTCTCTCTCTCTCTCTCTCTCTTTCTTTTTTGCTTGCTATTCACTCCATTCAACAGTACCAACATATTCAACATCATCCCGGGTAATCGGTATGATGTCATTTGTCGGAGTCTCCTTGTTTATTCTGACCCTCATTGCCATGGTTGCCGTTTTGTACACCTGCAGAAAACGGCAAAAGCCTACTCCAGTTACGGTAGTGCTTTAGCCAATGTCTACCGCTTCCGCTACGCCTCCACCTGCAACAGAATCCTCTATGACTGCTCCCCTCCAGGTCAACCTGCCCGCATAAAGATCCCCTCTTGATGAAAGATACTGGAACCGAAAATGCTTTAAAGCACGACTGCTCTAAATACCAAGTGGCATTTGCCCTTACAGACATTTCTAATTTTGTCTCTATTATGTGCTTATTTTTTGTTATTGTATTCTATGCTTTTCCTTCACAAATTAATCTTTAGTTGCTCTGTTTTCCTCTTTTTCTTGTAATGTTTTCTCTTTTCTTATCCCTCATTTTTCTATAACCAGTGTTAAACCTTTTTCATATTCACATTTTTAATTGACACCGGCCTATTTACGTCACTCTCTCTTTCTCTCTCTGCCCTTTCACTCATTTTTATTTCTGTGGGGGTCTCGCTTTGTTTCTCTCTTTTTCTCTTTATATCCCTCTTCTTCTACCTTCCTCCTTGTTTTCTGTTCTTATATTTTGAAAAACAACTAATTTTGTTAAATAGATCGGATGACGATGGTTCGTGAAAGTAATACCAACCATCTTTAAATTAAGACTGAAATATTATAGTAATAAGGAGGCATTTCCAAGCATAACCGAAAGATTTCCACAAAGATTTTTAAATTTTTAAATAAGAATATTATTTTCATCGCAATAGATATCTGTTTAAAAAATGTACAATGTGTAAACTAATTTGATGTCCTTGCACAACCGTTGAGTTCCCTATCAATCAAAATTATAGAATATTTAATTTCATATGATATGTACAAAGACACAAACAGGAGAAAAGGAACTTGACTTTTCATCCGGGATAACCATCGCCCACACTCTTAGTTTTAATATAAATGTCTTCGAGATTGCCATGACAAGCTGTAGCGTGGAAGCCTTGCCATGTCATCACTCATGGCAGTCTGTTTGGAAATATGACGAAATAAACAAAAATCAAATATTAGGTTTGAAACATTTTAACGCCACTTCGGACGTATATATTTATGACATTCAATGTAATAAGTTGTGTCTATTATTGTCAATCCATCTAATGATATAAAATTCATACAAACTCATGTTTTTCAAGGGAATTCGATATAATCTTCCCAGATATAATTTTTTTTTCTACAGACTGTCTAATGATTTTTATGAAGTGTTTTCATATTTTTCTGTAAAATTTCAAGCTAGATATGTATGACCATGTACTCATTGTTCCAAATAATATGGAGACAAAAGCTAGGTTCAGCCCTTTAATATCTTGCAGGTTATATAGTCCCCCATAGAAACTTTTTATGAAATAATGAAAACTCAAATTTGTTCCCGTTTTTTAAGGGCCACACTTTTCGTACATAACCAAAGTGTCTAATCAGTCAAATATAAGAAGATTTTATCTTGCGCAGGAGGGAGTGATATTTTTCCTAAGAGTTGCTCTATGTCCATGTTTTCTTTAAAATGGTGTAAAAGGACTGTAAATAATTAGGGATAATGATCCAGTGGGAAATGTGAGCCCTCCTATTAAAAACAAACAACTTTTAACTTTTGTATTCAATTATATTTGCCTTTACCCTCCACATGTCTTCGATGACAAATTGGAAAACTGCCTCCAAAAGAATCAAAAGTAACACATGTCAGTACGTATTGTTACGCTAGGCCATCGCTTGAATTAATTCTTTTAGATTGTGAATTATCATGGAAAGCGCGTGATAGAATGATACGATTGCCGTAGTAAATAACAGTAATATTTGAATAAAAGTGCGCTTAATGCTTTTCCTATTATTTCTTCTCATATGATTATATTCTATATGTAGAATTTCGGGATTAGTATCCGTTACATTATATCTTTCTGCATAGTTTTATATTACTCGATAAATGCTGGCTTTCAATAAAAGTAGTACCACGTCTCATGTGTCATTATTTTTTACTGTACAGTACCTTGAAGCCTACATCGCCTGGAGATATTTAGACGGATTTTAGTGTTACATTTATCCCATACTGGTCTGTGTGCACCAGCTAGGAGATCGATGCGTGTGGGTACGCGGGTGTGTGTGTGTGGGTGATCTTTTGAAAATTTTGCTTATCAAGAGGGAAGACGAATATCCCCTTTTCCCCGCATTTATGCCACTGGTTACAATGATTAAAGAAAATCATCCTCTTAATCACTTCAAAATACGGATTAGCATATTAATTCGCAGAACAGCAACAACCATAAATATAAAATAATACATACATTCCCATACATATACCTGTACAATAATCAATCAGCATTGGCGTAGCTACCACCAAAAATGAAAGATTCTATGCAAATATCCCCCTCCCTTCCCTCACCCATATTGATAGGCAAAAACGTGAGGGAAAAATTAAGACTGAAAATAGTAAAATATAGAAAACAGAAGAGGGCCAGGGAACACTGAATGAACATAATATGACACCATTACCTCTCTTCGTGGCCTTTTATCTACCCTGTGAGACCTGGGGGTGTTTCACAAAGATCCTAAGTAGAACTTAACTCTAAGTTGGACTTAAAAATTATGGACGGCCATTGGAGTCTTAAAATGAAATATATTCAAAAGCAGAATTCAAGTATTTTAGACTTTTTATAAATTCCACATCCAGAACATGAAATCTCCATGATGATAGAAAATATGAATGATTTGAATAAACAATTAATGCCTTTCAAAATAACTTTTACAAAATATTTTCAAAGATGCTAATGGCTTTCCATAATTTTTAAGTCCAACTTAGAGAAAAGTTCAACTTAGGATCTTTGTGAAACACCCCCCAGTTCCTACTAACAGCTGAACCCAAGCTACACCACTTCACATTCACAATCATATCTAAATACAAAAGCAAACAAATATGTGTTCATCGATATCAAAGCCAGAGACATACATTTCACCAATGCCATTTCGGGATTTCTTCCAAAGTACGTAGAAGAATAAAATATACATTTTGACACATGACTTTGGTTCGTTCAACTTTTATTTTTAACTCTAATGATGTACATGTACTTCATGATAATCCAGCAAATGTAAACAGGTACATTGCATTTTTTTAATCAAGGGTTTTTATGACTCAATTATGAAAAATTCTTTATTTGTTAAAATTGGGCATTGAATGCTCAATTTTATCTAGTAGAGCATTTTCATATTGGAGTGATAGAATTTATATGTAGCAAAGAAAACAAAACAAAGTACTTGTTTTTTTTATTGATAGATCATAATTCTTTTGTTTAACCTTCATTAAAATACATGAACTTTAATCAGTGATGTCTACACGGACCGATGACATAAGACCTTTTGACTCACGGGCAACTACAAAGTCTATTAAAGGTGAAGCCACTCCTCTGTGATGATCCTTTGAAATGCTATGTGAGCCCAGATGCAGCCAATGTGTGACGAAACTGACAGACATTGTTTCGTGAGGGCAGTCCATATAGAGATTTAAAGAACCCAATATTAGAACTTTACCTGGAGCAGAGTTCAAATCATCAAGGAGGTCATCAAATTTTGACAGAAAGGTTTAGGATAGATGAATAATTCCCAGGTGGTTGACCATAAACTACAACAAAGTCAATTTGGCGAGATCTGTCAGATGCAAAGGCATATTCAAACGATCAATTGCCGATTTGGGGGAGGAGGTACACATTAAGGTTGACTTAGAGAAAATCCCATGCCTTCTCCTCGACGACAATTCTTCAGAGGAATATTAATGAAAGGGTAGCCGATGGAGTTATTTTCCCAATTCAAACATTATCCTCTTTACGTAGTAATGTTTCAGTTAGACAAAAAAAATCAATGTCATTCTCAATAGCATAGTCACACAGAAAAGATATTTATTTCTGACTGATCTAACATACCAGTTACATGTGCAAAGCATACCATCCGATTTCATAATCAAGCCACTTGCAATGGATGACATTTTGCTTCATCGAGTGCAATGACCTGCACGCCGCCCTCTTCGGAGAAGCCAAAGGCCATTTTCTTTCATCACATCATATGCATATGTGGGGACTTTAACGTTTTTAACAAATTTAACAAAGGGTTGTTCTGATCAAGCTACATTTGTATGTAGTTAAAGACTACAATTTTCTAGTTTGCATAAAGTAAAATTAATACTTTCAAATGATACGATGTTGTCATGCATTACAGAGTCAAATCGTTTCGTAAAACGGTGTGTTAAAACCAACCTGTTCCATTTTTTTGTTAAATTATGAACATGTTATTAGATAAGTACGTTTTATAAGTATTTATTATTATTATTAAAAACATGGAGGTGGTACTTTGATGATTATATAGAGACATCCCCATAATCTAGCTTATATATTTACCCCGCCCCAGTGGTGACAAAAAAGTTTGCCCCCTCCCCATCAACTGAGAGTCAAACTGATGAAAATTTACTTTGGTGGTAGAAGTTGGCGGGGATGGGGGGGGGACTTGGGATAATTCATAATTCAATTCAAATTCAAATTCAAATGTTATTGATTTAAAAAAAAAAATTTACATTACGAATTTCAAAATATAGTGTAACATAGATATAAATAGGCTATAAATTGAATGAAAATAACCAGGAATGACAACAAATAACCTTCTACTGCATGTCTCTTCTGGAATATAATACAGGGATAAGAATCAATTATTTTACTGGTAATACTTTTTACAATTTGTTTTTCTTTTCAATAAAAAGTAAAAAGAAAAAAGAAAGATCACAACATAACGGTAAGACAATATATATATATATATATATATATATATATATGCTTTATGATTACTAACCTCTCCTACGAGATGACTCCGACAATAAGACTCTATGGGAGACAGTGAGCATGGGATATACAGTGCGTCCCAGAAAAAACGTAACCGAGAATTATCGATGTTTTATCATAACTTAGTCTCATTCATAATTAAGAAATGACACATACACATACACGCATGAGTGATTAACATTAATTTGAAGAGAGGAAACCAAAAGGTCATTTGGCGGACGTTATCCGAACTTCAAAGAGAAAATCACATTTCTGGAAAGTTCGTTTTCTGCCCTTTCACATGACACCTCAATCAAGAAAAATGAGCTAGGTATATCGAAGTTCTGTTTGTTTAAAGTATAAAGTTATGCTTGCATTTCCATAATTTGGTTAAACGAATTCGTTTTTCACTGGCTGCCTGCCGTAACAACAAACGGAGTTGACTAAAGATTTAACTCCGCTTCGTTGACAATCAGCCAAGCATCAAGTCTTTCGTCTTCTTTGTCCATGGCTAATCGTCAACGAAATGGAGTTAAGTCTTTTGTCAACTGTGCTTGTTGCTACGGCAAACAATAAACAATTACTCGTTTCTTTAATAGCAAACTGAGTCCTTAAACTATGATGATGGGCCTGCTTCGTCTACGTAATGTCTCTTCCTAACATATTTTCAAAGATAAAAGGTAGGATAAACCTACGCCATAGCCGTGGGGTGTCCTTCATCCAATATTTCCCTTTGTTATTAACATTTTGTTTATTGCTTAGGCCTATATAATTTGTATGAATAGCACCCCTACTCCTATAATGTAAAGTGACCCTCATTTCGTATTATGAATAGCGACCCTCTCCTCGTATTATGAATAGCGAACCTCCTTTCGTATTATAAATAGCGACCCCTACTACTATTATAGTGACCCTCAGTTCATATTATGAATACCGGCCCTATTTCAGTTGGCATGCTTGCTAGTAGGCTTACAACGGCAAACAGTATGCATTATTTTAACCCGCATATGAATATTTGTATTTTTCTTGCATTTGAAACGTTTTTAATGCTGTATGTCCTTAATCAGAGCCATGATGTGAAATAGCTCTCCTGATCATATTTTATCCTAAATAATTATAGTTCATTAGATAAATAAATGTCGTTTAGGCACAGTTTCTTGGGAAAATTGCCAGTGACAATTAAATAATGCCTCAGGCGTGGAGAGCGTGTCTCTAGGTCCACTGTCATATTAAAGCAAGTGTAAATACCTTAGACTACACGAGTACAGCTCATACTGGATACGTCACTCGTCTCCTAAAAAGCTTGTTTTTACACTGCACTTCTGTCTCTCTCTCTCTCTCTCTTTCCCATCTATATATATCGCTCTCTCTCTCTCTCTCTCTCTCTCTCTTGTTGTCTATGTCTCATTTCTTTCTCTCTCTCTCTCTCTCTCTCTCTCTCTCGCTCTCTCTCTCTCTTTCTCTCTCTCTCTCTCCCTCAATCTTGCTGTCTTGCAAAATCACCAGTTCTCTATACATCACTTTCTATGTCCCTCTCGCTCCACATACATACACTGGAGCAAGCACGTCTTGAAATAGCACGCTAAAAGTTGCAATCAGATATTCTCCTTCTAAAGCTTTAGGCAGAGAGAGTTTAACACATGGGAAAGACATTGACTGACATGATAATAATAACGTGATATGCATCTCTTGTTTTCTCAATTATAGACTTTATTAAAGAATAAGGATTTACAATATAAACTCAAGATTGTCTACCAAATGCAAGTAAAATTGAAAATGTATTTGGAGATGTGTCACTGTTTATTGGTTAACGCATGTCTGCATACGATCTGTCATTTTGATGCGTCAGCCGGATCCATCAAGTTTAATTATTAGCCCATGTGCTAATTGCCTTCACAGGCTTGTAAGTGTAGGTAATATCGCAATCAAAAGACGCCAATATCAAATTGTAAAAACCTAATATGTTTGTTAATATATTATATTTGATCATGCAAGTTAATTTTATTACATTTTATTTTGTTTTACATGTATTTTCCATTGGAAATACAAAATGAAAAGATGAACCCCCAAGAAACAAAAATTGCATTGGTTGAGTGAAGCTGGGAACAGACTGAATAAATATAATGCCATTATAAAAAATTGTTCAATTGACATATACAAAAGTAGTATAAGAATATACACAGATATAACAATAAATATTACAATTTGCACTACAATCCAAACATCGCACTTCAATTTTATTATAAATACGCTGTTAAACCCCCTTCAGATAAGAAACGACAAAACCGCTGCGTTTGTTTTAATATGTTGCCGTAAAGTACAATACGCGTCACATTTCTGCATTATGACATAAAGTTCAGTGACAATGACAATGACAGTGACAATTTATTCTCATGTCACCCACATGGGGTATTGGAGAAGTTTACAATCAAGTTTACGCGCAAGTCTTTTGTTGCGCGTAGTTACCATTCTTGCCGTGTATACTTAAAAAACAACGGCGGTTTTGTTTGCGGCTGTTTTTTCCGCGTCATATCTGTATGAGCCTTTACGGTGCAGGGCTTAGCCTTGAAACTTCGCCATTGATAAAATCGCGATGTTGGCTGAATCCTGATGTTAGGATTGTAGTATGAAATGGGTCTTATAATGACAGTACGAAATGAAGATTTGTTTTCAGAAGCAGAACGTGTCACAATCTCAATCTTCGGAAGGTCTACTTCGCAAGCGAATCTCTCCAATCATATAACTTAACAATGATCTCATCGAAAGCTGGCTGGAGACAAGCCTTCACTCTATCCATGTACCCCTTCATCTTTGGGTTGTCTTTAAAGATGTCACGACCGTTCACGGTGAACTGCGCAAACTGTAGAAATAGTTTGACAAAAAGAAAAAGAAAAAGAAAGAAGACGTTATAAGACACAAAAAATACAACAAAAAAACGATTATGAATCCTCTGCCGAGTGTGAGTTTCTGACAGGTCTATAATTACAGGCGTATGAGGAAGGCGGGAGAGTGGGGTGTGGTGGGGAAGGGGGTGTGGTGGGGAAGGGGGTCTGCTGCCCCCGAATATTTGAAATTAACCATATAAACCGCCACCTGACACTAGGCACCGATCCTCTCATATTTGGACAACCGCTACCAGAGAGGTGCTTAACCCTTACTGTACTGGGCTATTTTGAGCACCTCATGACTGGGGGAAGGGGGGCCTGTTTTAATTCATATCTCCCACCGCTTAGGAAGAAATACATCTAAACCTGTATTCATATTTCTGCTTGTACATGAATAAATGCAATTATAGCACTTTTTGATGACATGCGCATACTAATTGTTATGTAACACCTTACAGGTATATCCGATTTCGACGAAAATGGTATCAAAATGTGCGTAAGACTTGAGGAAAAAAGTCATAAAACGACAATTCAAAATTCCAAGCGGTTGCGGCGCAATCTCCGAAAATGTCGATGGGGGGGGGGGGCTTACGATTGTCCACGGATTTATTTTTCCGTAAATAGCTCGTAACAATCCGTAAGTATCGCAAACCGCTCGCAACAACACGTAACGATCCGTAAACTGCTCGCAAGAATCCGTAAATGACTCGTAAGAAAGAAAAAAAGCAATTTGTTAGGGTTAGTTTACGATTTGTTTATGGATATTTACGGATTATTACGAGTGCTTATGTATTATTTACGATTTCATTGTTACGGGTTAATACAAGCACTTTACGTATAGTTACGAGTACTTTCCGGATAGCTACGGATACTTTACGTATACTTGCGAATTGTTTACGATTTGGGTAAAGGTATAAAAACTGCAAATTCGAACACTTATTTTTCAGTTGTTATTATTTGGTTACAAATCGTAAGGACTCGTTAATACTCGTTACTAACTCGTAAATTTTCGTGACAACACGTAAACATGTCGTAACTAACACGTTAGTTGCTCGTAGTTATTCATGACAACTCGTACCGAATCGTGGAATTTTGCCGTAATAACACGTAATAACTCGTAATAGTCCGTAATAAACCGTAAATAGCTCGTAACTACTCTTTACTAGGTTGTAAAAGTGGCCAAATCGTAAGGATCCGTGAAAGATCCGTGAATTTGCGCGATCCGTAAGGACTCGTAAGAAAAATCCGTGTATGTGAAGGGGGTATAAATGAATTATGTACTACTAAGTACATGTATAATAATTCGATTTATATAATGAGGAGTTTGTCACAAACTAATTTGCGAGAAAATGTCGAGTAGAAAACATTCCCTTAAATTCAGAAATCTGTCTTGCCGACTAATAATTGCAGGTAGATCAAAATTTTCTGACATGTAAGTTCATCCCTCATTCCTATACACTCACTGCTGATCCTTTTGATTGTAATCTCAGGTAAATGAATTATAATGATGACGGTAATGATGATAATAAGGTACCCATTTACTACACTTGAGTAGAGAGTAGCAAATGTAGATTACTGTCTTTTCAAAGGATGTTAGTGCCGCGGCGGGGCTCGAACCGGAAACTATAAGTGGTGACGTATCCACTGGATTACGACACCCCTAGAAAGACCTATACGTTACATAGGTATACATTACCTCACAAACAGCCATGATATCCGCGATTGATATTTCGTTGCCACAGAGGAAGTCATTATCTTTCAGGAAACTCCCCTCGATCTTGTCCAGACCTTGCTTGAGATTCTCTGCCTCAGTCTTGACTTTTTCCTGATCTACAACAGGATCAAATACCTGAAAACCAATACAAAAAACAAAGGAAAGAATATCACAGTTTGGGGGTTAATATTCTGTATTTCTATAGTGTGTCACTTTTGACTTTTGACAATAATATCTTTCATTATCTCCATTCTTTGACAGGGTATATGACAAATGATTTTAGGGGGGAGTGAAGATATAGCAATTGCTTTAAAATGTTGATTTTAAAAAGGCATTGGCTGGAAAAGAAACAAAAAGGATGTTAGCCGTATGAATATAGAACTTAGTACTCTAACTTCCGAGAAGATCTGACTGTCGCCTGGCAAGATTGGATTGAGAAGATTGGCGAACATCAGCTCGAGTTGCATAATATGTTTAGAATAAAGAATGTAAAGAAAGAAAGACAAAGAGAAAGACAAACAAAGAGAAATAAATAAATAAATACATAAAGAGGGACCGGAAAGAAGCCAGAGAGATATAAAGAGAGAAAGAGAGGTAGAGAGTGAGAGACAGAGAGGGAGAGAGAGAGAGAGAGAGAGAGAGAGAGAATGGAACGGGGGAGGAGAGATATGTCCGGGGGTTGGGCATGGTTCGGCTTGGAAAGACGGGGAATAAAAGTCGGCATAGTAAAGAAAACATGAACTCGGAGGACGCTTGTGGAAGCCCAAACGCCCAATAATTCGAAAAACTCACTTTATCCCCGATAAACTCAGTATTTCGAGCGAAAAATCAATGTTTATCGCGAAAAGCTGGTTCATCAGTCGATATGCAGAGCTTTTGCTCGAGAAAAAAAAAACATTTCCCGTCGATGAATTGAGCATTTGACTTGCCAAAGACGTCACAACGTATAGTTTATATATACCTCAGCCACGAAGAGTGCCATACACTTGCCCCTAGTGCCTGTATGATGAAAGGCGATATACTCATTCACACGTGCACGGGACTTCATGTCCTTAGGGTACCAATTATCCTTAATCTTGTCGGCATACTTGTTAATCAGGTAACGGAATATGGCCACCCTACGAAAAGAATAGACAAACAAAATTAAAGAATAAAATATAGCGACTCTGCGGACGTGTAGTAAAAACAAATATAGGGGAGATATTACCCAAAAGGTCATACAATACCGTTAAGGGTATTTTTATTTTTCATATTGACTTAACGTGTTGCTGTTTTGAATTGGTCCTGCTTGAGGTATAAAGTATATACCTCACATTCAGACGACCGTTGCTGTTCATACTACTACTACTGCTAGTACTTCTACTACTGCTAATAATAATAATAATAATAATAATAATAATAATAATAATAATAATAATAAAAATAATACCACTACTAGTACTACTATAATTCTACTACAAACTAGCATGTCTACTACTACTACTACTACTACTACTACTACTACTACTACTACCACTACTACTTCTACAACGACCACTACTACTACAACGACCACTACTACTCCGCTACTTCTACTACTACGCCGTGAATACTCACACTACTACTTATACTACTACTACTACTACTACTACTACTACTACTACTACTACAACTAGGAATAGTACTCTTTCTCTTATTTCTACCATTACTCCCGGTGCGAGGTGAAAGAATTATAATTTTTATGTATATATAATTCATTTGAAATTACGATCATGCTGGGCCTATATCGCTTGTAATTACGCAATATTCCTCCAATTCTCATGGTACAGTACTCTTGTTTTGTCACATAAGAAACACACGCATGACAGGGGAAAGCAAGTAAGAAACAATTCTTACATTTCACCGAGGTAGAAATCGCCATCTTTCAGTCCTGGAAGTGTTTCGAGTGGGAACTTGTCTGCGAACTCTGGCTTCTTGTGCTCGCCTTAAAAAATGAAAATAAACACGATTACATTTAAATGGTTAATAATAATAATACATTTATAGAGCGCAGAAACTTTTCAGCATTAAGTGTATATTTTACTGCGCTATTGATGTCATTTTGTTACCCAAATGGATTCTTAACGGCACAATAGGGGATTAACGTCCTATAATCAATAAGTGTATGCTTATTCATTCAGCCCTGGAACTGCTTGGACAGGGAACTTGTCCGCGTACTAGGGCTTCTTGTGCTTGCTCTTAAATAAAAGTAAACACGTTTACATTTGAATATATATTCTTTCTTGGCATTGGTATCATGTGTTGGACTGTTTAAGGCACAATAGGGGATTAGCGACTTTAGGCTTATTCGATCAGGGGGAGGGTAATTACACTCGTGGCAGAGTATATCTTCCCTTTTCTGTATGCCAACTCTGAACTGAGCCATGACATGTAGGTACTAAAGGGTGTCTCAATAAAAGTAAAAGTCTACCGGAATATAGTCAATGATACAAACAGAAATATCAAACTTTGTCTGGACAGAATATTGGGTTTACTAGTCATAACATGAATAACATCTGAAAGCACCCCAATTCCAGGATGAGTATTCATCCACCCCTGTCTCAAAGATTTTATGCAAAGGAACCTATACAAGAATCACAATAGGCAGTTATGCACAGTGACAGTGTTTGAGAAACAGCTTACACGAAACGAGAGGGTTTGTATTGCTAGTCGGTTGGTTGCTAAGACGGTCGATGACACTGAACAGAGAATCCTATCATGTCCTTACTAACACATCTCAGACAGGTTTGAAAAACAAAATGATCTTCAATCTCCATACTAAGAAGGGTAAAAGGAAAATGTTTACTTTTATTAAGATTGCGAATGACTAAGCAATATTTCTGCCTGAGCAGAAGTAGATTAGGACAAAGAAAAAAACGGGTTTGGAGGGTTATACAAAGCAACGATTTGAGGACAATCGATAATAACGAGCTAAATTGTGTCTTTGTAGAACGTATGCTAGTCGATGATGATAATGAATATCAAGCATTCATTTCTCAGATCCCAAATATTTTTAAACAAGACCAATTTATTTTATTAAATCTAACTGTTCTCAAATTCTTGACATATGACCAGCCCTAAAAACTAAGAGGAAAGCACTTGTGTACTGTTTACTGTCTCAGAGATATTTTCGGCAGTATTTATCTTCAATTTGTTATTGATTTTCTTCATCGATAATCAGAAGCAAAGAGAGTATAGTGATGACAAAATTAATCCATCTTAGTAACATTCAACAGATCGATACCAGAGGAACAACCGACCGAATGATAATCGACATAATGAAAATTAAATTTCCTCTAAATATAGTGGTCGTGATTTTATTGACTGTCGGTTAGAGTTGACGATATGACTTGGGCATGTAATGGATCAGAAAACGTCATTAAGGAAAAGGGTGGTGAGGAAAATAAATAGGAGAAAACAAACTTGAGTCCCACTATCCCCATAAGGACACATCTTCATCAACATCGATTAACACCGTGGGATGTGCTATAACACTACTATTCCCCCGTAATTAAAAAGAGAAAGAAAAAAATTATCTGGAAAGTACATGCACCGGCTTTTTCTTTTCGTTTCCTCATTTTTTTTTTATCGCACAACCCCCCCCCCCCCTCCCCTTCCCAAGCCCTATTTTCATAAGACCTTGGTCAAGTTGAAAAGCATAAACATTATTTTCAATGATATAGGCCTAACTTTTCGAGAAAGTGAAAATATAACTAGCAATGTTTTGGGAGTTAATATCTTCATATTGAACTCTCGATGATTCCCAGTGCTCGAAACTGGAATTTGCCATAATTGCATGACTAAGCAATTCCTTTTCAATTCCGACCGTGTACACATTGCATAACAATATCGATACTGTACACATATTGGGCGACCACCTAAATCTTTGATTCAATTGTATCCGGACTACTGTAGTGGAAGAGGATTGTTGCTAACGCATTGAATTGCTGAAACGATGAGTTGGCATTTTTGCACGATACCAGGTACGCAAATGAAACCATGTCTGTTTGCATTTCATGAGCCATTTTTGTAATGTAAGCAAGTTTAAAGCACCTCCAATCTTTGTTAACCCTAATTAAGACCCCCCCCCCCCTTCTACGATTTGTTTGATTGTTCGGGCACGCATATGATGGTGCCCCACCGCTCGCTGACTTTTTTCTTTCGAGTCTTGCGCATCTTTTAAAACAATTTTTTTTTTTAATCGGACCTACAGTTAGAAGGTCACGTGACCTTTTGTCTTTGCATGTCAGCCCGAAAATCGCAAATTTTCGTGATTTGTGTACAAAACATATTGAAATGTGATTTTTCCTAAAAAAATATCAAACATTGGTTATCGGGTCTTGTTTAAAGTTTAGGTGGTTGTTTTGGGAGTCAAAATGGGGTAGTGAGCACTATTTTTTTTTTTGGGGGGGGGGGGCCCTGAAATCTTTTCGTTTTCGAAGATGCCCTTTTCTTGTCCGTGCAGACTATGGTTACATTAAGCTGCTTCAAGAAGTGCTTCGCAGCGCGCAGTCTGAAAGGGTTTATCTGGCAGGTACTACAGTACTGCCAATCCGAACATATAAAGTTGGTGGAGTTTCTTGAGGAAAGAATGTGTGGACATTGGATTGACCTTTTCAGGGATCTACTTGAAAGAGGGCTATTTCCTGGAGTCTTCTTGGACAAGGGTTTGGTCTAGTTCTGCTTCACAGGTGTAAATCCAGGTGTGAAAAACTTTTAGGGAAGTTCTAAATTAGTATTATCTTTCAAATGCCGTTGGAATTTAACCTTTTCATTTTTTGGGCCTACAAATGGGACATAGTCACTTTAAATTCACAATAAAATTCGATAACAAAAAATTAATCAATTCCAAAAAATAAACTTAAACAGTCGAAGAAAAAAAAACTTTGAAATTTGAAAAAAAATTGTCCCCTCCTCCAGGGCGTGAATTTTATATTTTTCCTCGGATTAAGTTTACCGGTATATATATATATTTTTTTTCTTCCTTTTTTTTTCCTTCCCGGGCTCCGTAGTTTTCATAGCCACTCATCCACAATAAACCAATCACAACAAAAAGAGCATACCCGCAAAGATGTCGATGTATTGAAGCTCATGTGGAATATCCGTCAGCTTCAGAAACATGACCACAGCACGGCATGGCTGGGATCTCAGATCAACGTACAGCTGGATTGTCATGGCGGTTTTGAATTCTCGGATTTTGCCCTGGTTCTTAACTTCTTACTCGGTACGTGTCGCTAATTCGTTCCTTACCTGTCGACTGCTGACAAATACAATGACACCGCAGTCGATGTTTATGCTGACGGTGTGCAGAGTGTTTGGGCTCCATGCATGTGGACAATGGGTCGATTACGCAATAAATACGTACAACTTTGGGCATCATGTCCCTGATATAACTAGGCGTTTTGGCTTGCGCCTGTAATCCAGCTAAAAGTGGAAGTTACAAACTGATTCAGCCGAGGACGCAGGTTCAAAACTGAATCACGTCTTTCGGATGATGACGTTTAAAGGTCGGTCCCCAGACGTAAATAATCATATCTAATTGATACACGTCTGTAAAAACCTAATACATACACACACACAATTCCGAGGAATAAACCCTGAAAAATCACACGCTGTGTCCGTCCAACGAGAAAGGACTTAATCCTTTCCCAAAGAGTACATGTGACATTAAACTGTGCAGATAGTTTAGACGGAATGTGAGAGGCATTGTATCGAATGATTGGGACATATATCCAGGAAAGCAGCATCTACACGAGGAGGACGATTTTTATCAAGAATTGTTGATCAAGCCGTGTTGATTTGGACTGATGAGATCGACCGTAAGGTTTCATGTTCAAGAATGGAAGAAGAAACAATCCGCTCAAAAACCGTTACAAATTACAGAAGTGAGGGTAACTGGTATGTAGTTTGTCATTATTGATCTGTCTCCCTTATTAAAGACACGAGTAATTTTAGCCCGACGCCAAGACTCTGGTAATCTGCCTGTATTGAGGGATATATTAAAGAGATGGACGAGAGGATATGATATTTCTAGGGCACAGTTCTTCAGTATGACGTCTTTCGTCTATGTCTGATCGTCAAGGAAACGGAGTTAAGTCCTTTGTCAATCCCGTTTGTTGCTACGGCAGGCAGCCAGTGAAAACGAATTCGTTTAATCAAATTATGGAAATGCAAGCATCACTTTAAACAAACAGAACTTTGTTATTCCTGGCTCATTTTTCCTGATTGAGGTGTCATATGAAAGAGCAAAAAATGAACTTTCTAGAAATGTGAATTTTTTCCTTCGAAATTCAGATACCGCCCGCCAAATGACTTTTTTGTTTCCTTCCTTCAAATTGCTTTCAATCACTTATGCGTGAAATATACATCATATGAGTTGCATCAATTGAAAGAGGGGGATCTAAGCTTTACAAATATGTGTCATTTAATAATTATAATTGTGATTAAGTTATGATAAAACATCGATAATTCTCGGTTTAGTTTTTTCTGGGTCGCACAGTATAGTTTAATTTATACAAATAAGCATCTATACACTTTCAAACATGGAGTGAGCAATCTTTGTTCCTTTTGCATTATGGAGAGGGGAGGGGATAGGTAAGATGGTATGTGTGTCTGAATGTGTGATTGTGTGTGTGTCTTTTATTTTAAGGAAATATTATTCATTCAGTGCACAACATATTATATTGTTATAAATGAGTAATATCTTACAACTGTATATAATTATGTTATATTTCTGTTATAATTAGTAACTAAACGTATATGCTTAGTTATACATTTGTAATAGTTTGAGATGTACAAATGGAAAGTTGCGATATGTCATTATATATTTCATTAATGTTAAAGTAATTTCATTCCAATATCTTGTAATATTATAATAAATTAGAAAACTTTTATCTCAAATACCAAATTTCAATGACTTCGGAGGGAGTCATCTTGGCCGGGAGAGGTAATAGTTTAATAAAATAGTTGATCGGTAGGCAAATGTTTCTCGGGTGGTATTTATCGGGGGTGGTAATTCAGGGGACAGTAAAGTAGGAAGAGATTTCGCACATTTCTCCTGAGCATAAGTCACTATCCTGTATAGCGAGGGTTAGAGGGTCTAACTGCACTGTCAACGTTGAGGGTCTGTTATTTCATCAGCTGATTGGGCTTGCGATACGGAAACGGTCCAGAGGCTGGACTAGAAGCTCACGCAAACTCTCTGCACACCGTCAGCATAAAGATCGACTGCCGTGCCATTGTCTGTCAGCAGTCGTCAGGTAAGGAACGAAGCTACACGTACCGAATTAGAACCAGGACAAAGTCTGAGAATTCAAAACCATCATGACAGTCCAGCTGTACGTTGATATGAGATCCCAGCCATGCCGTGCTGTGGTCATGTTTCTGAAGCTGACGGATATTCCACATGAGCTTCAATACATCGACATCTTTGCGGGTATGCTCTTTTCGTTGTGATTGGTTTATTTTTATTGTGATTGATTTTTGTTTAGGGGGAGTCGTCACACCCCCCCCCCCCCCGGAAAATTTTAAAAGTGCACACAAAAATGTATAGCAAATACTGACTAAAGACTGTAACACACTTTTAGGCTGTGGAGGCCCAAGAATACAGTGTTTAGACTAATAAAAATGCAGAAATCTTCTCGCTCGGTCGCTACGCACCCTCGCATTATATCCTTCGAAATGAACAAGTAAATATTATAGAAGATTTGTATTCCGTTGGTATCATGTAAGCAAAGTTTACACATATGTTTACAAGATTAAGAGTTATAGAAATAGGTCAGTCATACAAAAATGAATATTCCGCTTGCTCTTTTAATGAGTGCCTTCCTGCCGGGTTATAAGCATATTGATGCTTAAGGGGAAATGGTGTACATCTTACTAAAAAACATTAAGTCAAGGTCCTTGACTACCACATATATATATTTGCAATTTCAATTCACATAGCGATATCAATATATACATGAAAATGACAGAGGCTTAGAGTGGGAAATAGAAATCCCATCAAAGCCGAAACTCCCTACTTACTAAAATTTACCTACTAAATATTTACAACCCTTCGGACTGCACACTAATTATAGGCAAAGTAAAAGAGAAGTATGACAAAAGTATATTGCTTGTTTTTATACTATAGTTTTGCTTAATGCTAGGAATGTAATTTTGTAATACAACGAAACTTCCAAAACCTGTGAAGGGGTAGTCATTTGCGTCACCTTAGCCCCTCTCGTTCACTACGCTCACTCGTAATTGTATAGCGAATTGCATACAATTGTTGATAGGTATAACAAACATTATGGCTTCTTCTACCTAACAACACGGAATGTATGTTATTTGCATTCTTACGATTGAATAACAATAATTCGTAACAGGTTGGCTAATTTGTAAGGAGGCACTTAACAAAGATTGGAGGTGCTTTAAATTATGTAATTCCATTACGAAAATGGCTTATTAATTGCAAACAAACTGGTATTGTGCAATATGCCAACGAAAACATGACCGATTACTAGATGCAAAGAAACATAGTTGCATCTGCGTACATGGTATTATGCAAAATGCCAACTCATCGTGTCAGCGATAAAATGCGTTAGCAACAATCCTCTTCCCCCTACAGTAGTCCGCATACAATTGAATAAAAGAGTTAGGTGGTCGATCAAACTGTGTACAGTATCGATAATAAACAACGGAAAGGCGACATGTCCTATGAAGATAGACTCACTACTCTTCACTGGTCAAGCTTATCTTCCAGGAGAGACCATCTCCTTCTTTCATTCACTTTCAAATGCCTCGGTGGTCTCACCCTTTGTGAGGCTCTTACTGAATCCACCCAGATCAATTCCAGGCGGCAAGAGGTACTTACATTCCGCCACCTTCCTTCTCGGACACAGGCACTTTTTTTTTCTCCATCTCGCCGTTTTCCAAGACTGTGTAACAACCTTCCCACAGAAATAAAAGACACTGAAACAATCTCTTCTCACTGTTCATTGAACTCATTTAATTCAATGTAAAACAATGTATTGATAATTATTAATGGTAATATTTTTCATACTCGTGTCTGATTTCAAATTCTGTCCATTTCTCTCAAGCTGATCGTCACTTAAAAGCAACTGATATGTAATTTTACTGTGCCTTTTTGGAAACCCTAAGATTAATTATACATCTTACCTAGATCATAACTGAATAATTTGTTTATTTTGTCACTTAGAAATAATATCAATATTGCAAGCTCATTTCTTCGTTCCGTTCAGTACATATTAGGCTTCAGATTACAATTTTATTAATTTCATTTTGAAAGTTAGAAATTATTGTAAAGCATTTTATACCATTATGTAACTTTCCTTCCCAATAATAATCATATCAAATGTTTCTAATGTAAGCACCGGGTTATTGATTTGAAAGTGTTTATATTTATGTGATGAACGTAAAGCCATTGTAATGACATAATAATGTAATGAAAGTAATCAAGGATATAATAGTAATTGCTCCAACTACTGTTATCCTGATATATATATATATATATTTATTTATTTTCTCATATTGTGAATTTTTATTCTGTTCTTTACTTTTAATTTTCCAGGATGCAGACTGTGGGGGGTGACATACTTTCGAGTAATAGCAATTTAAATTGCTTTTGTCACCCCTGACCAGCAGATTGTATCCTTCTCTCTATCTCCTCTCCACTTTCCTAAAGCTGTTTGAATGTATTCAAATTGATTGTTATACTCACTGTATGTTTTCCGATTGGTCAAATAAATAATAATAATAATAATAATAATAGGGACTTTTAGATTTGCGTGGACTGATACGTCCATTAAAGGCAGTGCATTAAAAGGACGTCGATCGTAGCAATCCACGTTGTCGTTTTGCAAATCTAAAAGTCCCTATTGTTATGCAATGTGAACGCGGACGGAATTGAAAAGGAATTGCTTAGTCATGCAATTGTGGCACAGTCCCGTTTCGAGCACCAGGAATCATCGAGAGTTCAATAGACATATATAGGATGATTCAATATGAACACTTTAACTCCCAAAACATTGCTAGTTATATTTTCACTTTCTTGAAAAGATAGGCCTATATCTTTGAAAATAATGTTTATGGTTTTCAACTTGACCAAGGTCTTATGAAAATAGGGCTGGGGGGGGGGGGGTTGTGCGATAAAAAAAAAAATGAGGAAACGAAAAGAAAAAGCCGGTGCATGTACCTTCCAGATGATTTTTTTTCTTTCTCTTTTTAATTACGGGGGAATAGTAGTGTTATAGCACATCCCTCAGTGTTAATCCATGTTGATGAAGATGTGTTCATATGGGGATATAGGGACTCAAGTTTGTTTTCTCCTATTTATTTTCCTCAGCACCCTTTTCCTTAATGACGTTTGCTGTTCCCTTACATGCCCAATTCACACCGTCAACTCTGTCCGGGCTAACCGACAGTCAATAAAATCATGACCACTATATTTAGAGGTAATATAATTTTCATTATGTCGGTTATCATTCGGTCGGTTGTTCCTCTGGTATCGATCTGTTGAATGTTACTAAGATGGATTATTTTGGTCATCACTATACTCTCTTTTCTTCTTTTCTTCTTAAACATCAATGAATAAAGTTATTAACAAATTGAAGATAAATACTGCCGAAAAAAATCTGTGAGGCAGTAAACAGTACACAAGTGCTTTCCTCTTATTTTTCAGGGCTGGTCCCATGTCAAGAATCTGAGAAGAGTAAAAAATAAATTGGTCTATGTTTAGAAAATATGTGGGATCTTAGAAATTAATGCTTAATATTCATTCTCATACATCGACTAGCATACGTTCTACAAAGACACAATTTAGATCGTTATCATCGATTGTCCTCAAATCGTTGCTTTGTATAACCCTCCAAACATGTTATTTTGTTTTCCTTTGTCCTCCTAACGACTTCTGCTTACTAAGAAATATTGCTTAGTCATTCGCGATCACAATGAAACTAACGTTTTCCTTTCACCCTTCTTAGTATGAAGTTTGAAGATCATTTTGTTTTTCAAACCTGTTTGAGATGGGTCAGTTAGGACATGATCGGATTCTCTGTTCAGTGTAACTTAGACCATGGACCTTTTGGCCCGAATTCACAAAGGAGGTTTGTCGACAAACCTAGGCTTATGTGCGTCATATGACGCGTTCTGACGCGTTTGTACAAAACCTAGGTTTATGTGCGCCATAATTATGACGCGTTTCGACGCGTTTGTACAAACCTAGGTTTGTACAAACGGGTCATATGACGCACATAAACCTAGGTTTTCAGACAAACCTCCTTTGTGAATCCGTGCCATTACGGATGGACATTCGTCGTTTTCTTAACGAATTCATTGTGATGGTCTCCGTCAATGTCGTCTAAATATTATTCCGTACATGTTTCTTTACTTTGATCTCATAAGGTCCGCCGCCAAAAAGCCGGGACAGAATCAAAACTGTTGTTACACGTGTTAATCTACATGCGCAGAAGATAATAACTCGCTTAAATTATGGAAAATCGGTGTGCAGTTCTGGTTTATAATCGGAAATTGTTGTTCCGTGTACTGTATTTTATTTTGAATAACATGTTGATATATACAAGATAGAGGTTATATTTGGATTGGTTGTGATTTAAAATCCCGTTTCCCCCCAATTTCCTCGAAATATTCCAAAGTTACAACGCACAGGGCTTATAAAGATCATGGCCTTCTAATTGTTTTATAAGGTCATGGGTGTGTGCGAAAGTTTGCGAATCAGTAATAATACATTTCATATCACCAAAATCGTCTGCTTTTCAACTTTGCTGCTCCCCATTGGGGATGTTTTTATTTAAGACACACACTTACAGAGCACATCATCCAAACAAATCCCAAGAGAGGGAAACTGCTCTTTTGTCAATGACCGAAAATGCTTACGCAGTCGTTATTGTTAAAACAGCTGAATGTTCTCATTAAGATGCACATAATCAGAAGGCGGTGACTCTCATTGGATCAAAGAAAGAATCACGTCGAATGTCCATCCGTAATAGGTCCATGCTTAGACCGTCTTAACAACCAACCGACCAGCAATACAAACCCTCTCGTTTCGTGTAAGCTCTTTTTCAAACACTGTCACTGTGCCTATTAACTGCCTATTGTGATTCTTGTAAAAGTTCCTTTGCATAAAATCTTTGAGACAGGGGTGGATGAATACTCATCCTGGAATTGGAGTGCTGTCAGATGTTATTCATGTTATGACTAGTAAACCCGATATTCTGTCCAGACAAAGTTAGATTTTTGTTGACATTTCTGTTTGTACCATTGACTTTATTATTGTTATTGTTATTACTATCATTATTAGTAGTAGTAGTAGAAGAAGTAGTATTTGTGTTATTGTTGTTGTTATTATTATTATCATCATTACTATTGTTGCTAAATATATTACTCATTGCGGATATAGTATCGAAAATAATATCGCTAGTGATATTCGTTTGTCTCGCGATGTATAGTCAACAAGGGATCTAAAGATATCGCGACGTTTCGTGTGCCGCTGCAACACTTCGTCAGGTGATAAAATATATTTCATCACCTGACGAAGTGTTGCAGCGACACACGAAACGTCGTGGTCTTCTAGATCCCTTGTTGACCATACATTGCGAGACAAACGAATATTACTAGCGATATTATTTTCGATATTATTATTGTTGTTGTTACTATTGTTGTTGTTATTATCATGGTTTTAGTTATTATTATTATTGTTGTTGTTGGTTTTCTCCTCCTTCTTCTTATTATCATCATCATCATTATCTTCAGCATCATCATTGATTAATTTTGCGTCACCTTTTTCGATAAAGTCCGGTAGACTTTTGTTTTTATTGAGACACCCTTTAGTGCCTGCATGTCATGGCTCAGTTTTAAGTTGGCATACAGAAAAGGGAAAATATACTCTGCCACGGGTATAACCCTCCCCCTCCTCCGATCAAAAAGGCCTACAGTTAAGAAAAATAGGTCGTTAATCCCCTATTGTGCCTTAAACAGTCTAACACATGATACCAATGCCAAGGATGAATACTATTCAAATATAAACATGTTTACTTTTATTTTAGAGCGAGCACAAGAAGCCCTAGTACACGAACAAGTTCCCTCTCCAAACAGTTCCATTTAAATGTAAACATGTTTATTTTTTTTTATTTTTTTTAAGGCGAGCACAAGAAGCCAGAGTTCGCGGACAAGTTCCCACTCCAAACACTTCCAGGACTGAAAGATGGCGATTTCTACCTCGGTGAAATGTAAGAAGTTTTTTTTTCTTATTTGCTTTTCCCTGCCATGCGTGTGTTTCTTAAGTGACAAAACAAGAGTAATGTATCACAAAAAATTGGCGAATATTGCAAAATTACAAGCGCTATAGGCTAGCATGATCATAATTTCATATGTATATTCTAGACATACAAAATATAACTATTTTACCTCGCAACGGGAGTAATGGTAGAAATAGAGAAATACTATTATTCCTAGTTGTAGTAGTAGTACATTGTAGTTGTAGTAGTAGTAGTATAGTAGAAATATTAGTAGTGGAAGTATTCATGGCGTTAGTAGTAGAATATTTGGAGTAGTAGTACTAGTTGTGGTAGTGGTGGTAGTAGTAGTAGTAGTCGTAGTAGTAGTAGTAGTAGTAGCAGCAGTATAGTAGTAAGGAAAAATGGTCGTCTTAATGTGAGGTAAATATTATATACCATAAGCAGGATCAACTCCAAACGGTAGCACGTTAAGTCTATATTAAAAATAAAAATACCCTTAACGTTATTGTATGACCATTTGTGTGATATCTCTCCCATATTTTGTTTTGATTAAGCGTTCGCAGAATCGCTATATTCCGTTCTTGGTTTCGTATTTTGACTTTTAATTCTTTCGCATAGTCGCTGGAGTTCGTTCTTTTATTGTTTTTTGCTATTCTATTCGAATGGTGGCTTTATTCCATTCTATAATTTTGTTGACTATTCTTTTCGCAGGGTGGCTATTCTCCATTCTATAATCGCTTTGGCTATTCTTCCCGCAGGGTGGCTATATTTCATTCTTTAATTGTGTTGGCTATTCTTTTCGCAGGGTGGCTATATTCCATTACCTGATCGCCAAGTATGCCAACAAGATTGAGGATCATTGGTACCCTAAGGACCTAGAGGCCCGTGCACGTGTGGATGAATACATCGCCTTTCATCATACAGGCACTAGGGGCAAGTGTATGGCACTCTTCGTGGCTGAGGTATATATATCAAAACTATGTTGTGAAATGTGAAGTCTTTGGCAAGTCAAACGGCCAATGGTTCATTGCCGATTTTTCAACGGGAAATGAGGTTGTTTTTTTTCGAGCGAAAGCTCTGCATATCGACTGATGAACTTATTTTTTCGCGATAAACATTGTTTTTTTCGCTCGAAAAACTGAGTTTATCGAATTGTTGGGCATTATGGCCTTCCATAATCAACCTCCGATTTCATGTTTTCTCTACTATGCCAACTCGTATTCCCTTTCATTCCACTACCCTTGTCTCCTCCCTCATCCCCTTCTCTCTCTCTCTCTCTCTCTCTCTCTTTCTCTCTGTATCTTTCTCTGTCTTATTTCCGGTCCTTCTTTATTTATTTATTCCTTCTCTTTGCCTGTCTTTCTCACCTTTCATTCTTTATGTGGAATATGTTATGCACCTCAAGCTGGTGTTCGGCCGATCTTCTCAAGCAGTACGAGGCGACAATCCGATCTTCTCGGAAGTAAAAGTACAAAGTTCGTCTATTCATTCGGCTAACATCCTTTATGTTTCCTTTTCCAGCAAACGCCTTTTTCTAAATCAACGTTTTAAAGCAATTGCTTTATCTTTACTTTGCCCTCCCCCCCCCCCCCCTCCCCTCTACATTCATTTGCCATAACCGCTGTCAATGAATGTAGATAATGAAAGATATTTTTTCAAACGTCCTCAAAGAAAGTGTTTTGACACCCTATAGAAATATAGAATATGAACCCCACAACTATGATATTCTTTCCTTGGTTTTCAGGTATTTGCTCCTGCTAAGGATAAGGAAAAAATCAAGACTGAGGCAAAGAATCTCAAGCAAGGTCTGGACAAGATCGAGACGTGTTTCCTGAAAGATAATAACTTCCTCTGTGGCAATGAGATATCGATCGGTGATATTATGGCTGTTTGTGAGGTAATTTTTACTTATGTAACGACAACGTATAAGCCTATCAGGGATGTCGTAGTCCAGTGGATACGTCACCAAATTATGGATCCCCTAGTTTCTGGTTCGAGTCCCGCCACAGCACTAACGTCCTTTGAAAAGACAGTAATCTACTTTTGCCACTCTATACTCAAGTGAAGTAAATGGTTACCTGGTGTCTTAATTAGGGCAGCTGGGCTAAAACCAGGTTAAAAGCAGTAGTATGTAGGCGCCTTGAGCATCCCATGGATTATGCGCGCTGTAATTATTATTGTTATTATTATTATTGTCGTTATCATCATTATCATTATTATTAGCTTACCTGAGATTACATTCAAAAGGATCGTCATTGAGTGTATAGGAATTAGGGTTGAGCCCCCTACCTTCAACTTACCCGTCAGCAAGTTTCGATCTACCTGCAATATTATTAGACGGCAAGACAGATTCCGAATTAGATTAGTGAATGCTTTCTCCTCTACAAAATTAGTTTGTGACAAACTTCTCAATACATAAATCGTATTGCTATCATAATTCATTCATGAAGTGATAAGCAATTACTACATCGACATGAGCGTACGAGCTCAATTTCGCCACAGTGGGGTGACCTAATATCAACTTTCCAATTTCTAATCTGTAATATAATGAATAGTATTTTGAAATCAAAATAAAGGCCTACTAGATCTGAATTTGTGATTCAACTAAAGCTACTCACTGGGAGCGGATGCCCAAATATGAGGGGAAGTGTGCCTAGAGTCAGGTGGCGGTTAATATGGTTAATTTAAAAACTTCGGGGGCAGCAAAGCTCCTCCCCCCCCCCCCCACCCCCACGCTCCCCCTCCTCGTACGCCTCTAATAATGACAGACCTGTCAGAAACCTAAATTTGGCAGAGGATTCACAATCATGTTTTTGTTTTTGTATTTGTCTGTCATATAACATTTTCTTTTTTTCTTTTTTTGGTCAAACTTTGTCCACAGTTCATGCAGTTCACCGTGAACGGTCGTGACATCTTTAAAGACAACCCCAAGATGAAGGGGCACATGGATAGAGTGAAGGCCCGTCTCCAGCCAACTTTCGATGAGATCCATGCTAAGATATATGCTTGGGGAGATTCGCTCCCGAAGGATGTTTCATGTCGTTGTCTTATTATGTAGACATGTCATTCGGGTTACGCTTAGGCTACACACAGGTGGGACAATAAAGATGAGATTTTGAACACATATCGTACATCGTATTTGGCTGGTTTTATTCATCGTAAAATTCTCATGACTCTGCCAAGAAGTGGCGCTATACCTCTTACAAAGTAGACCTTCCGAAAATTGAGATTATGACACGTTCTGCTTCTGAAAACCGATCCTCATTTCGTACTGCCATCATTAAGACCCATTTCACACTACAATCATAACATCAGGATTTAGCCAACATCGCAAATTTATAAAAAGGCGACGTTCCAAAACTAAGCCCTGAACCGTAAAGGCTCATACAGATATGACGCGGGGAAAAACAGCCGCAAACAAAACCGCCGTTGTTTTTTTAAGTGTACAAAAATGGCAACTACGCGTAACAATAGACTTGCGCGAATCCACTGAACTCTTCATAACACGCAGAAATGTGACGCGTATTACACTTTACGGCATTGTATTAAATAAACAAAAACGCCGCGGTTTTGTTGTTTCATTTCTGAAGGTGGTTTAACAGCGTATTTATAATAAAATTGAAGTTCGATGTCTGGATTGAAGTGCAAATGTTTATATTTATTGTAAGATCTGGGTTTATTCATATAATAATTGTGTGTATTTCCACTAACATTTATTATAATGGCATTATCTTTATTCAGTCTGTTCCCAACTTCACTCAACCAATGCTATTTTAGTTTCTTAGAGGTTCTTCTTTTCGTTTTATATTTCCACTGTAAAATACATGTCAAACAAAATAAAAATGTAATAAAGTAGACTTGCATGATCAAAAATAATATCAACAAACATAGTAGGTTGTTACAATTTGATATTGGCGTCATTTCGATTGCGCTATTACACGAAACATGTGAATTATGGAAAATAGCGCATGGGCCAATAATTGAACTTAATGGATCCGGCTGATGCATCAAAATGACAGATCGCATGCAGGCATGCGTTATCCAGTAGGCGGTCAAACATCTCCAAATGCATTTTCAATTTTACTTGAATTTGGTAGACAATCTTGAGTTTATATAGTAAATCCTTATTTTTTAATAAAGTCTATAATTAAGAAAAAACAAAAGATGCATATCACGTTATTATTAACATGTCAATGTCTTTCCCATGTGTTAAACGCTATTTGCCTAAAGCTTTGGAAGGAGAATATCCGATTGCAACTTTTAGCGTGCTATTTCAGGACGTGCTTGCCCCAGTGTATGTATCTGGCTGACTAGAGGCACAATTTAATCCCGTTCAGTCTGTTGTTAGGTCTTGGATCGAGGTGAGGCCAAATATTTTGTTCCTTCTCCATCTAAAGATATGCATAGGCCTTTGTATTTTTGTATTACACTGTTGCTCATAACGGTGGAATATTTTTTTTTATCCCAATTTATGGAATTATTTTAAAAATAATTTTAAAATACTAGATCTAGATAATAGTATACAGTCTCAGATTTTATTGAATAATAATTTGCCAATATGTGTTTTGCGTGACTGCTAAAGCATGTATATTATGCTAATATGTTTATTAACTAGGGGACCTATGCCCTTAAGTCATAAATGACAGTAATGAGGATTAATGCCTCACAAAAGGGCACTAATATAGCACATCGACACGGTGTTGATCCTGGGGCCTCACAGTTACGAGGCCATTGTTTTGTCACTGAACCGTGACTGTACGCAGCGGGGGCTATGGTAGGGGGCAGTTTCCATAAATTTAAAAAAAAACAGAAAATGCAATAAATTTTCAATAATTTATTGCATTCTACCCCGGTCCCCAACATACAAAAATCTTCTGTGTGCCCATGCCTTGAGCCATAATGCATGGCCGTCCAGAAGATTTTTGTATGTTGGGGACCGGGGTAGCATGCAATAAATTATTGAAAATTTATTGCATTTTCTGTTTTTGTTTAAATTTATGGAAACTGCCCCCTACCATAGCCCCCGCTGCGTACAGTCACGGTTCAGTGACAAAGCAATGGCCTCGTAACTGTGAGGCCCCAGGATCAACACCGTGTCGATGTGCTATATTAGTGCCCTTTTGTGAGGCATTAATCCTCATTACTGTCATTTATGACTTAAGGGCATAGGTCCCCTAGTTGATAAACATAGTAGCATAATATACATGCTTTAGCAGTCACGCAAAACACATATTGGCAAATTATTATTCAATAAAATCTGAGACTGTATACTATTATCTAGATCTAGTATTTTTAAATTATTTTTAAAATAATTCCATAAATTGGGATAAAAAAAAATATTCCACCGTTATGAGCAAAAGTGTAAATATCAGCCAACATTTTGTTGGTTGAAGTATAAGGTAGGCAAGCTTGGAGAACATTGGCAGCTAGAGACTCGGTGAGAAAGAAAAAAAAGGGGGAAAGGGAGTAGGGTATGGGGAACGAGAGAGACTTTCAAAGTGATGTATAGAAAACTGGTGATTGTGCAAGACAGCAAGAGGGAGAGAGAGGTAGAGAGAGAGAGAGAGAGAGAGAATGAAAAATTGACAGCTAGAGAGAGATATATATCGATGGAAAAGAAAAATAGAGAGGGAAAAAGAGAGAAGTGGCGTGAGAATGATAGTTTAAAATGCACGTACAAGTCAACGAGAGCGCATAACGAGTTCTCCTATACGATCCTATGCCTTATATGGGACAAACAAGTGAAAGAATAACAACAAGTGACACGTCAAGGAATACTTAATTTCAGGGGTATATATTATTGTTTAAAATTATTCATACCCTAGGTTTACTTAGTCCAATATCTTTTCTTAACTGTTTATATTGTATCCTCGTTATCATTGTCTATGTTCATAACTGTGTGTGAGTGTTTATCTCTCGCTCTCTCTCTCTCATTTTTTTCTCTCTTCTCCCTCTCTCTCTCTCTCTCTCTCCCTCTCTTTCTCTCTTGCCTGCCTTCCTCTCATATGCTCCCCCCTCTCCGTCTTCGTATCTCTCCATCTCTCTCTCTCTCTCTCTCTCCTGCCTCTTTTAGTCTTTGTCTTCTCTGTTTCTAACTATTCTATAATCTATATCTATTCTATATGTCTCCTTTTCCATATCCCTCTTTCATTATTTGTCTTTAATCCATATGTTTCCAATATTCAAACAGTGTTTCAAACCGACACTCTACACAAAATAAAGCAATAAATGCAAAATTAAATTGATCTCACCAGTACCTACTGATGTCAATAGATGTAAAATGTTGAACAATGAAATAACAGCACAATAATTTTATTAGACACGATAGATCTCGAAATACACTATCTCACTGTACACTGTAATTATTTCTTGGAAAATATTTTAATAAAGCCTACAACAAAACTGTGCAAAATCCTTTAGAAAAAAGTTACAACATAATGAAAGATAATCCATTGTCGTATTGTCAATGAACAGTAAAATAATTAAGGGAAATCTGATTTGATCGACAACATTTTATCATAATCATACTCCTGTTTTCAGCAAAATGTTTTTAAAAAACTACTGTTAAAACAGCCCAACCATTCACATTATTTTATAAAGAAGTAAATAAATAAAATGAAGAAACAAGTTTATGAAATCAATGTTAGTAAATATAATTTGGAGTATTGGTCATTACTTTTATGTCTATTTTTGTCATAGTGTCATGTGAGTCTCTATTTCTGAATCCGTCTCATTATTTCCCTATTTAATTTATGTAAATATGTATATCATTCATATTTTGTACGATGTATTCAACAGTATAAGAGACATCACAAATGAGGCTTTCTTGCCTGAATCACCTGTTTTGTTGGTGACATTTTGGTCTGTTATTCATCATTTTAGCTTCAATAAAACAAAGCGATATGTAATTTGCAACAAGTTAATAGTGGTACCATGAGAGGAATGTGTTAAAGGGGCATGTTCCCCGTATTCCAGAGGGCGTTCTAAATACGTACCCGCAGGCGGACGGTGCTAGCTGCCTATTGACACCAACAGAATACGGCTCTTACGCAGATGGCATGTTCCGAATGCCCGCACAATGCCGATTGTCGCATAAATGTGCCGAAGTAATACCAATCGCAGTTCGGCTCTAAGATTCGGCTGCTGTTTCCACCCACTTTCGTGACGTCACAATCGGCAGCAATCAGCTGGCTTGGCGAAGGCAGGCCAGGCCGCGCGTACTTTGATTGACAGCTGTATGCAAATTAGAAGTCGATCTTCGGAACCAAGATGGCGATGACTAGAGCAGTGATAACTACACTGGCGGGAACGTGCCCCTTTAAAAACGAGGAAACTGAGGAATTAACGGACTGTTTCAACTTTTGTATAGAGCCATGTGGTAAGAATCTTATCTTCAGCCCCAATATGTTGTTGTAACTCATGTGTAATGTGTGCAAAGTAGTGGATCTGTGACTCTACTCTGGGCTTTGTGTATGCAGCTATTGTATTTATACTTCAACCTCTACTTCACCTCTACTTCTACTATCAACCTGTTTATACAACTATGGCTGACAAAACAAGATCGGCTAGAGAGAAGAAGGAAACTGCCTCTCTCATTCAGGCAGTCATGACTGATATACTTCATGATGAGAAATTTATGCAGCTAGTCTCAGCACATGTTGACTCAAGTCTAGCTAAATTTCAAAAACAGATTGATGAGCAAGCAGCCATGATTCTGCATCTTCAGGATGCTTCCACCGAGAGGGAGAGAAAGTTCGAGGAGTCAATAGGAAGGCAGGAGGCAAGGATCCTTGACCTTGAGATTTCTGAAGAGGGAAATAAAAAGGAAATCAAGCTGTCGAAGGAAAGCCATGATGGCACAGGTCAACAATTCAGTATGCTGAGAAGGGATGTAAACTCCCAAGAGCAGTACAACAGGAGAAACTCTCTCAGATTTTTTGTTATCCCCGAGGCTGAAGGGGTGCCCTCAGATGAACTTATAGTTGATCTAGTCAACACCTCCCTCGGCGTTCACCTTCAGAAGGGGGACATAGACCGACCACGTCCAACGGGTGAATTCCTCAGTCAAGACAAATGGTCCAAGTCCGAGCACAATGATCGTCAAGTTCCTGTCGTTCAGGAAGTGGAACTAAGTCCTCGGGAGTCGACGCAAGCTCGCGGGTACGAGAAAATCCATCCAGGAGGACCTCACCCGCGATAATGCCAAGCTCCTCAAGATGACCCGTGACCATCAGCGGGTGAAAACTGCTTGGACACGGGATGGTCGAGTCATCGCCTTGTTGCCAGCAACTGATGGCAAATAAATTAAGAAAAAAATCTTTTCGGAAGCGGACTTGGCCAGGCTCTAAATTTAACCTTTGTCTAATAACTTGATAGCTCTTGCCACATGATACTTAAAACATCTCTTTTTATTTACTATACTATTGGTACTGTCTTTTTCATATGAATTGTCTCTTAACTTATCTGCGCAATGTATCCTGTGCGCAATTATTATGTTTTCCATTCTTTTCTTTTTTTTGGTCTTCCTTACCCTGTTTATACCTTCCTTTTTCCTCTCCAATTTTCTGTCGCTTATTCTATATGTCTCAAGTGTTTATCTTTATAGTTGTATTTAAGTTAGCTAGCCGTTTCCTTATGTCTCTGTTATCAGTACTCGTGTTTATCCTGTCACCTATCTTGACCGATCATGGCTCAAATAGATGACCAAAATATTTGCAATTTACTTGAAGCTAGCTTGAGTGATATCAGTGACAGCATTGAAAATGTTTCTTTAAGATGTAATTATTCTACAGAACAACAGTTATTTGTGTCAGTTAAAAATGCCACAGATAAAGAGCTTTCCCTTCTTCATGTTAATATCCGCAGCATGAGTATACATTTTGAACATGTGACATCATTTGTAAACAAAATTAGTTCAGGCTTAACTGCCATTGGTGTCACTGAAACTTGGTTCACCAATGAAAATGATGCAAGTTTGTTTATTATTCCAGGTTTAACTTGTTAAGCAACAGTAGAGTAGGCAGACGTGGTGGTGGTGTTGCCCTTTATATTCCGTCTGGGCTCGAGTATGTCACGAACTTAATGTCATGACTTAAAATTTAGAAGCTTTATTTGTTGAAGTGTTTATTTCTGGTAAAAATAATATCGTGATTGGAGTCGTGTACAGACCTCCTAATGTTATTTTGAACATTTTTTTGGACGAAATGCAGAGAGCTTCGGAAAGCCAGTCACTTAATGGTAAATCCTTATTTTTGGTTGGAGATTATAATATAAACCTTTTACAGCATAATGTTGATGCTCATGTTGATGATTTCCTGAATTTGTTGTTGTCGTTTTCTTTGTTGCCCTTGACAACAAAACCAACAAGAGTAACTGAATCATCTGCTACTCTAATTGACAATATTTTTAGTAACTTGCAACCTTTTCCTTTATCTACTATTGTTGTGTCAGACTTGTCTGACCATTTTCCTGTGTATACTACAATTCCTTTGGGAAAAAACCCCGTAGTCACCCAAAAGAATATTTATGTTACAAGAAACACCACAGAAAATATTAATCAGTTTAGAGAGGCATTGTTGGCGACAAACTGGAGTGACGTTCTTTTGAATCAGTGTGATGAGAGTGCCTTCGATATTTTCATGAATAGGTTTTTATCGTTGTATGATGCTAATATTCCAGTAGTGAAGAGTAAAAACAACCATAGAAAAACCCCACGTTTGCCGTGGGTCACCAGTGCTAAGTTGAAATCAATAGATAAAAAATATGAGCTGTTTTATAAGTATAGGAAAGCAGGGACGGAAGCTCTAAAAAGGAAATATTCCGTTTACAGAAATACTCTGACTTCTTAGCTGCGAGCAGTCAAAAAACAATACTATTTTGCACAGTTTCAAGCAACTTACAATAATATCAAGGGCACGTGGAAGGTGATAAGAAATGTATTTCAAAAAACATCTAAAGTAACAAGTATAATACAAATGAATATAGATGACCAAATGGTTGAAGATAAAAATATTATAGTGGAAAATTTTAATGAATATTTTTGTAATATTGGTCCGAATCTCAAAAAAAATATTCCAAACAGTCAAACTGATTTTCATGATTACTTAGGAGAACATAACATGCAAAGTTTATTTCTGGTGCCCACAAATGACGAAGAATTGCTTGGTATTGTTAAAGCCCTCAAGAACAAGAAAAGTCCTGGGTATGATCATATTGGGAACGAACTTATTAAGCAAGTTATTGTCGGTATCCTTCAACCACTAGTTCATATTTATAATTTGTCTATGTCAAGCGGAGTTGTACCGATAAACATGAAGAACACAAAAGTTGTACCAATTTTTAAAAAGGGTGACTCTCAATTACTGACAAATTATCGTCCAATTTCTTTGTTAACGTGTTTTTCAAAAATTCTGGAAAAAATTATTTATGTAAGAACTATAACATTTTTAAACAAAACATGTGTCTTCAGTAATTATCAGTTTGGTTTTCGGGAGAAGCATACAACAACACATGCAATTTTACACCTTATATATAAACTTGCTTCTGCCTTAGATAGTCGCTTACACACCATCGGTACATTTTTTGACTTTTCCAAGGCCTTTGATACTGTAGACCATGAAATTATCTTAAGTAAATTATGTCATTATGGTGTCAGGGGAGTCGCCCTGGATTGGTTTAGAAGTTATCTTACTGATAAAAAGCAATATGTGTCCTTAAATGGATTTGACTCTTGCCCCCAAAAAGTAACATGTGGCGTTCCCCAGGGCTCCATTTTGGGACCACTTTTATTCATCTTGTATATTAATGATTTTCAACGCTCATCAAGTGTATTAGCATTCATATTTTTTGCTGATGACTCAAGTGTATTTTTGTCTCATAAATGTCCACAAATATTGTTGAAAACTGTTAATGAAGAGTTACGAAAAGTAATGAAGTGGATTAATGCTAAGAAGTTATCCTTGAATCTTCAGAAAACGAATTATCAAACAATTTTGAAAGCACCACACGTCTGCTTTATGGGTGGGGTTCAGTTGCTTCCATTTAAAGGATGGACTGGCGTCCCTGCCTCCGACAATAAATTGATCAGACACCGAGTCAACGATGGCCTTACGGTAGGAAAACTATAACAAATCCTCCCCAGCCTCCTTTACCAGTCTGCCAGCGATTTAATGTAGAAGGGTTTTTAACTGATGACATTAAATCAATCAGAGCACATTTTAAAAAAAAATTAATTTACGCCCTAAATAGTTTATTCATATTAAAAATTGATTAGGATTTCCATTTCCACTCTGTATACCGCTAGGTCTCCATTGTCAAAAAAGCAAAGGCAAAGAGTTAGCTCGCATACTAGCCCTCCCCCACCCCCTCCCCTTTCACAGGACAAGAAGAAATTGGAAAGGCCACGTAAAATAGCACAACGCATAATTGGGGTAGAATTAGCTTCTGTCGAGTCTCATTGTACTGAGCAAATTGTTGATAAGGTCTTTGCAATCATGAAAGACAATACTCATCCACTTCATTTATTTTATTCATTTAATCGTTCTGGTATCCGACTTCGCCCCACCCCAACCCGGCTTTCACGATTCAGATATTCATTTGTACCCGACTCTGTTCATAAATTCAACTCACAGGATAAACGTTAAACTTCTGCGTCGGAAATTAATTGTATGATTTGAAATACCAATGACCAAGGCTTAATTCTGAAACTCATGATTTGAAGTACATGTACCAATGACCATTTTTGTCGCTTCATTATCTTTTGCATGTATTTGTTCCTTATTTCATCTATTTCATTCTATAAACGTGATGTATTTATTTCATGTAATTATGTATTTTGTTGAATATGACTGTAACGCCAGTGGAAGACAATTTTCTATGTAACCTGTTTGCAAAGACCAAATAAAATATCTTGTATCTTGTATCTTGTATCTTGTACTATAAATATACGCCATTTTACATGTTTAAGGATCTTTACTGATCGTTACCTCCTGATAATGATTCCAATGAGAGAGAGAGAGAGAGAGAGAGAGAGACAGAGGGAGAGAAAGAGAGAGCACGAGAGAGATAGAGAGCGCGCGGGGGCAGAAAAGATACAAGTTGTGACAAAATATTATATGAATTAAGTTTTGCAATCTAACAAGATTTAATTGTGTATATTCAACTGTGAAAGACTCGGCTCACGTTCAATTCCTCACTTTGCACGAAGCCACTGTGCGGTTGCTATATTGACGTAGCGCAATCAACTTTGGGGTATTGTGTGTATGATTTTTTTTTTTTTACTTTGTATTTACCATCGTGACGTTGTGCCTTGAATAAAAGAAATATCTCAGCATTGTGCGGGGATGTCAGTGTGGCGCACCGCAATAACAGGAACTTTGTGTATACTATATTTATAGTTGTTGTGTGAGTGATAATTGAGTCGTGCGTACTTACGTTCACTGCATCAAAATGGCGCCCGGTAATATGCCATGCTCGTTTTGGTGGCGACTTATTGTCGTACTTTTCTGGTTAAATAGTGTCTACAGTCGTGAGTAAAATCTTATCACATTTCATACCTTACATATGTGTATATAATTGTTTTTGCTTTTGTGGCGACTTTAGTTTACTTTCCCATAGTTTGTCATCCAGCCATGTTAAGTGGTGTTGAAACATACCATATTATAAGTAATAAATTATACCACTCATGTCATCAATCAAATAAAGTATTTTATCATGTTCACGATTCTGTATAGGCTTACACCGGTAGTGTAGTTTACTATCAATATTCGGTTTTTAAATTAAATGGAACATTGTGATTTTTTATCATTATACCTACTATCAAGGCAGAACAACTGTTATGGTCTAAGGCATTTCGAAAACGTATAGAAGATATACCAGTGCTGTCAAACTGTCATAGGCATAAGCCTTGTGACGTAAAGTAGGCAGTATTCGGAGTGTGGGATATTGTCTTGCAATGTCATTATTAGCTTGAAATTATATGACGATATTCAAATTACATTTTGCTGTAAATATGAATTTATTTTATGCAACCACTTCAACAAACCCGAAAATACTGTGAATAGCAATCAGTCACACTAATAAATACGTATGTATTTGCAGTATTGAACATTTGTAACAGGGTAGTGTTTATTATCAGAATTTGAGAATGAAAAAGGAAGGACCTGATGTATATCGAAGTGAATGCACGCTCCTTTTATGTGTCTTCATTGTGTCGGTATCTTGGGCCGTTGGCCCTTCATAGGGGAAATATAGCCCTACTCACTCCTCTTCTGACAATTTTGGATCGGCCCCTGTCTGGCTAAAGAGTGTAGTGTTGCATCTTGTCGACTCCGATTCGCAAAAAATAGAATTTAGTCGATAATCTTTTAGGTTGAGTCATGAATTTTGTCTTTTTTTTTCCAAATTGCCCAAAATAAAATTATTAATGGACCCTTCAAGGTCACTGATGTCTCTTAGCTCAAAAGCCCTTTTGAAAGGTCATGATGTGACATTGCTGAAAACTCTTTGAATCTTCCCCCCCCTTTTTTTTTGTATGCAGTCAAACTAGGAATGTTATGTGAAATAACACGAACGCAACCACGTCTGACAGATCAACTAAAGGAACGTGTGATCATCACACTAACTTATTACGTAATCTGAATATGAAGATTGTAGAATATATACATGTACCATTTATTGATCGTTTTAGATACAAACACTGTGATTGATATACTAAATATCAGAAAACACGGGCAGAGGTACATGGTTCAATAAGCATAATGTTTTGGCGGTAGCATTTAGTGCGATGGATGCCCATTAAGATACCAACTAGCTAAAATAGGTATGATTTTAGTAAATGCGTTAAAAACTTTACCAGGTCAGCTTTAAGATAGATTCTAAACATCGGCTGATTGGTCTACATATTGATTGTAAATTATTATGGAAAGCCCACGCCGATTTCTTATGTAAGTTATTTCCAAAAAATGTTGGTGTTATCAAAAGACTTACACATTATTTCCCCTATTTTGTATGGACCTTATATTCTACGTTATTGTTATCATACCTAACTTATGGAACATGAGCGTTGATAAATGGAATCCATTTTAAAGATACAGAATAGAGCCATGAGGACACTAAACCTCTGCTCATTTCCATGCATATACAAACTCTATGTTCCATACAAAATTTTGAAAATAATAGACTTCTATTTACGTTGGAATATTAATGTATCAACCAACAAGGCGATCGGTAGAATTTTTGTATTCCTATGTTTGTAAAAAGTAGTAAAATTCATTAAAAAATCCTATTTTCATCTCTCCATTATGCGTACAGTATTTGCTCTCAAAATAAAAAAAACTATACAGGTCCCTCATTTGTTTTAATAGATTGGACATTAAACAAATAGCATAGCCTACGTCTATGAAACATTAGAGGGGCACGTTAACACACAACGCAGGCTTTAGTAATCCGCCTTGGTTGGATTCGAACCCAATTTGGTTTGACAGGCAAATGAGCCAACTCGCCTCCTCGCTTTTATCGATGCATGCGTGCAAAACATAGCTTTTTAACCAGCTATGCCAGACGTACTTCTCATTCAGTTATTTGCTATGCCATTTCCCTGCTCTTTATTTCATGTTGCAGAGGCAACCGATAGTGTACGACTTGTGAATGGTCCATCGCCCAGTGAAGGAAGAGTAGAGATTTTGTACAATGGCCAATGGAACACCATCTGTGATGACTACTGGCATCTCGAAGAAGCACAGGTTGTATGTCGTCAGCTTGGCTATAGCACCGATAATATCGTGGCAAGGAGTTTAGCCTTCTATGGTCGAGGATCAGGACCGATTCAACGAGCCCAATGTGATGGTTGGGAGTTTACCTTGGAATCCTGTACTCTGACTTCAGGGGATTACGCATGTGGCCATTATCAGGATGCAGGAGTAAGATGTGGTAAGCTTATACTTGCTTTTCGCATGACGAGTAATTACTACAATCAGTAACAACCAAAAGAGGACACTCTTTATTTTTCTAAATTTTCACTTAAACCCTCAAAAAGATATAATAAGATTTGAAATTGGATTAAAAGAAAAATTTATACTTAACCAGCATTAATAACGATCAATTTCTTTAACTTCCACGCTTGAGTGGGCACCATCATTTTACAGTTTGAAGGTCTGATTAAGAAAATTGCAAAATAAGAGTAAGTAGCCATGCAATTATTGATGAACATGTGCATCTATATTAAAGACAATATTTTTTAACAATAGAAACAAAGAGTGAAAAACATTGAGATGGATGATCTCTGGATGTTATCCCTAGTCTCAGGACTGCATGATTTTGATAGGCACGGTCAAGATGCTTCTCTTTTCCATCTAGGAAAATGGAGAACGAGCCATAGGATACATGTATTGCTCATCAACATTTTAATGGCCACAAGCTCAATTTTTTGCAATATTCTGTAAGAGACTTGTTTATTTATAAATGGCAATGCTCTGCTCACTCATGGATAAATGGTATGATTCGAATTGCATATCATCTTTTTGAAGATTAATTTGATTTTACTTTAATATATGAACGATAAGTATAAATGAAATACTTACTCAAAAATCTGAACTATAAATTGTTCCCCTTTCGTTTCTTGTTTTGCTGAGTGTGTTTAAGTGAAAGATAGGACTATTTTACATACATGTACAATAAAAACTATGGACAATATAAAGTGATCGGTGTCATCTTTCTTATTACTCTAAAAGCGCAACACAAAAATTAATCTTGGAAGTGGCATGGGGAATGACATTGGTTAGGAGGGGGAGACATGAGTAACATGATAGTAATTATTTCCGAAAAGCAGCTCAATGGCACTGCCAATACCCTATGGTAAGTCCCATAGAATTGATGCTCGGATAACGTAATACGTCATTCTCATGATCGCACATTTGAATAGGTGACGCATAAGACTACTAGTTTCGTGCTCAATCTATACTTGGTAAATGATATAAAAGAAGACCGTGATGGTAGGTGACGGCGTTGTGTCAAGATCTGCTCGTCATTCCGTCGTCACCCTCTTTATAATGATTCAAATGAGTAACAGAGAGAGACAGAGAGAGAGAGAGGAAAGAGAGAGAGAGGGAGAAAGAGAGAGGAAAGAGTGGAGGCAGAATGGTACTAGTTAAAGGCCCACTGCACTACTTGTAGCTACGTGCGCCCTCTATATAACAAACAATGCCTAATCGGTGACCATTGGTCCCCCATGATCCTCTTTTTCTTATGTGAACTGAAAGCTGAGTTGATGAGATAACCACCTTTCCAGTGACCTTGCAGGGCAGTCTAATCCCTTCTGTAAACTACGGCAGATAAGCTTTAAGACAAAATATGATATAATATAAGTTTTGGAAAAAATACATCAATATTAAAATTAACAAGATTCGATCGTACATATTCAAATGTGAAATACTCAGCTCGATTTCAATTCCTCTCTTTGCACGCCACCACTTTGAGGTTGCTATTGTGATGTACGGGCAATGAACTTTGGGTATTGTGTGTATGATTTTTTTTTTTTTTTTTTTTTTTTTTTTAGGGGGGGGGGTAATGTTACCATTGTGACGTTGCGCCTTGAATGAAAAAATATAACAGCATTGTGGTGCACTGGAATAACTGACAGTTCGTGTATATTGCGTTTATGGTTGTTGTGTGACAGATAATAGGGACTTTTAGATTGAGAACGACGTGAACTTCCACTAATCATGCGAGTCTATGGCAAGCTGTTTAACATTTATTCCTATTTCTTGATATCAAGAATCGGATTCCTGATATCAAGAATTCAATTTAGCCTCGGTTAGACTCGAACCCACCTTGGTTTGACAGGCAACTCTGAGCCAACTCACCTCCTAGATTTTATCCAGGTATGCGTGCAAAACATAGCCTTTTAACCAGCTATGACAGACGTACTTCTCATTCAGTTATTTTCTATGATATGTCCCTGCTCTTTATGTCATGTTGCAGAGGAACCCTATAGTGTACGACTTGTAAATGGTCCATCGCCCAGTGAAGGAAGAGTAGAGATTTTGTACAATGGCCAATGGAACACCATCTGTGATGATAACTGGAATTATGATGAAGCAGAGATTGTTTGTCGTCAGCTTGGCTATGGCACTGATAATGTAACACCAAGGAGTTTAGCCTACTATGGTGAAGGATCAGGACCGATTCAACGAGTCCACTGCTGGGGTTGGGAGGATAGCTGGGAATCATGTACTGTGTCTTCAGGGGATTCCTCATGTGGCCATTATGAGGATGCAGGAGTAAGATGCGGTAAGCTGAATTATATTTACTGTTCGCAGGCCGTACTTAAACAACGATATTTTCATCATTATTTGCATCGTTTTATTCATATATGCATACTTCTAAGTAGTTTTTTTTCAGAGGTTAAAAAATAGACTTTTTATGAATTAGAATTATAGTTGAATTAACCTCTGCAAGCATAAGAAGCTTATAGTTTTTAACCAGCTATGAAACATGCACATCTGACGGACCAACTTTCTCTGATATTTCCTTCTTTTCTATTTAATGTTGAAGGGACCGACGTTTCCACAACCTTAGATCCATTTCAATGGCTAACGACAACCACAGGCTATTATGGTGGAATCTATGACGTACGGCTCGTAAACGGTCCATCGCCCAGTGAAGGAAGAGTAGAGATTTTATACAATGGCCAATGGAACACTATCTGTGATACCTGGAATCCTGAAACAGCGCAGGTTGTATGTCGTCAGCTCGGCTATGACACTGATAATGTTGTACCAAGGGGCTATGCCTACTATGGTGAAGGATCAGGACCAATTCAACAAGTCCAGTGCTCCGGTTGGGAGTATACCTTGGATCACTGTTCTCTGTCTTCAGGGGATTCCGTATGCAGGCACATTGAGGATGCAGGAGTAAAATGCGGTAAGCTTATATAGACATTTCTTTTGTCTGCCTTGCATTAGGTAAAATTAATCAAAGTTACCATCATACACTGTCGCTCATATAGTTTAAATATTTTTTTTACCCCAATTTATGGAATTATTTTGACAACGATTTATTCCTAATAGATCTAGATAGTAGAAGACATTCTCAGAATTTATTGAATAATAATTTGCCAGTGTTTGTTTCGCGTGACTGCTAAAGCATGTGTATGCTAATATGCTTATCAACTAGGAGTCCTTAAGTCATAATGACAGTAATGAGGATTAATGCCCCACAAAAGGGCACTAATATGGCACATCGACACGGTTTTTATCCTGGGGCCTCACAGTTACGAGAACATTGCTTGGCCACTGAACCATGATTATTAGGAATAAATCATTGTCAAAATAATTCCATAAATTTGGGTAAAAAAAATATATTCCATCTATATGAGCGACAGTGAATATATAGGCCAGAGGTCTAACAAGGATTGGGTATTCGTATCCTATAAGAAAGAGAGATATTCTGATCGGATATCATCCTCGTCATCTCTATGAGTGCACAATGAAGGGAATTAATGTTCGCAAAAGTGGCGGAGCGGGGGTCCGGCCATTGACGCCAGTTGCACTAATGTTATGTGGTCATGGGGTTGGTATATAGACACCGGTCCAATTTGGTGAATGAAAGTCAAACAAGAACAAGACCATCAAGCATTGTGAGAATGTGAAAGGGGTGTTATATATCATTTTATGTTGCCTTTATTTCTTTTCTGGCTGCCTTTTTTCCGATTTGATCGGGGGCAGCTAGGTGCGCCATTTGCGTCTTCACACGAACCACATCTTCTGATGAAGGTTTTTGTTCCTTTTTTATTAGACCACAAAACCAGTTAGTCATCTTGACTAGTTATCAATCATCCTTTCAATATTCTTTTTCTCGGGTAACTGTCTTTTGGGGTCGATGTTCATGTGCACATTTTGTTTTTTCGATCTCGATAATGACATTTTATATTGCCCTTTGTGCGACATCATACAATTTTTAGAATAAACAAAACCTCGTGGTCTGTCCTCAATTCACAAACTTATTCATAGAGCTAAATGAGGCGTAAGGGTTGGGCATTGTACCTTTCCATAATGATAATGCTTTTTCAATTCATAGTGGAGGTGTGTAGTATTATAGGAGTTGATTCACGTAACTCTCAATCCAAGAATTGATGCTCCAGCCCGTCACTTAGCTTCTCAGACAAGACACTAATCCACTAATGCCGCTATCCATCCAGTTGTAGATGGGTACCTGGCAATTACTGACCAGGGGTAGTAATAATTGCACAGCCTGCATTAATACTCATGTGTCTCCCTTCTCCCAATTATTACATCAGGAACATCAGGAACATCTCCTCGGGTAATCGGATCAATGTCATTCGTCGGAGTGTCCTTGTTTCTCCTAACCATCATCGCCATAGTTGCTGTTGTGTTCGTGTGCAATCAACAAAAGATTTCTCCTTCAGCAGCTATGGGAATGCAACAGTTAACTACTCTTACCACTAACCCTGCACTTCATCCAGCATCAACCATGCCCATGCCTGCACCCGTCTGCGTCGATGTACCTGTTTAGATGGTGGACAGAAACCCACGTTTGCTTATTAGAAGATTCCACCTGCCATTCTAAAAGGTGTGCCTCACAATTTTTTCAGTGTCTCCCTGTGATTGCTCTCAGTTGTATATACTTATACATTCAAAATAATCCAGTATGTTATTGTAAATGATTACTGCTATCGTTCCATTGATCCATTAGTATCTGGTTAGATGTGTTTAGAATATTTGGATACAGTCTGACCACTTAAATAATAATTGTAATGCCACAAAATATATATCTTCAGTTGAATACGCATGTAGTACGTCACATTAATAATTTGTTTAGATGGTTCATGGTTAAATAAATTTTTATTTAGAGTATATATTGTAAATAAATCTGCTGAGCTTCTCATTTATATCTTACTTTTATTCTAGAATACCATCTATTAAAGGATGTTTTACATTTCAGAAAAATTGATATATCTCGCGCAAATATTATATATTCAAATCATGCGTAGCTATATAGCCCGTTATACGATATATCTTTCAAACGGTGTTCAATAATGGATTAATAATTGTGCCTTATTGCCCAATCAGTTATTCAAATCACATGCGCGATCTTCCGCAGAGTAGATTTATATAATGTCTATCCATTCAATGATATAGAATTCATACAAATGCATGTTTTTCATAGTAACTCGATGTAATCTTCACAAATGTTAGTCGTTTTATGAATTAATCTTATTTCTACAAACACGTTATGATTGTTATACCTTGTGAGTCCAACAATTGGTTTACACTCAGAAAATTGTCATTTGTTTTAAAAGCCAGCTACGAACGAAAGGTTATTATACATGTTTTGAAAGAGTGTTATATCCCAATTCAACTTGTATTATTTTTGTGTGGTATTTGTTCACGCTTGGATGAATAGGAGGCATTGTTTTCGAGAGTGCCAAAATCGACTTGCGCAAAAGTAATAAAGTGAGAGAAAAGAATTTAATCTATCAAATGAGATGCATTGAAAGGACTTTAAATAATTGGGGATAATAATTCATTGGGAAATGTGGCCGTATAACTATCATTAAAACATTTTTCCTTCAATTTAGACATTAGCAAAGCCATATACTACTTATATATATGACTAATATTCATTTCATGCGACTTATCCATGTTTTATGGTCGGGGGAATTTCCTAGACGTTCGAATAACTTTTTAATAAGGAAATCATTTTTACTACAATTTATGTTGTGGTAAAGTTATTGCACCTAGTTAAGAATTGTCATTGTTTTTTGTATCACGTTTTGAACTATTCGCAAATAATAAAGTCAATTCCCATTGCTGTACATAATTAATGTTATCCTATTAATAAATAGTGTATTTTGGGATTATTACCTGTTACATTATCTTATTGCATATTTTGGTATCGCCTTACTCGATATATACCGGCTTTCAATAAAATTAGTATCATCTCTCATGTGTCTTTTGTTTGATGTTCAGTATTCTTCCATGAAATCAAAATATAATTGTGGTGTCTAATACTCATTACACCTGTATCAGAAAGCGATGAATATCAATTATATACGGTAGAAACTCAGTATAACGAGGTCCTTGGGACCATCAAAATGACCTTGTTATAGCAGGAATCTCGTTATATCAGAATTTGAAGAAATGGGACCGGAATATTTATTACCTTGTTATGTTAGGAATATTGTCATATCAGATCTCTTTATACTGAATTTCCACTGTAGATTTATTTACTATTTTATCTTGAAGAAAGGGCATAATTAAAAATATATAACAACCGTTTCTGCGAGAGAAAACAATTCTTCAAAACCGAATTTTCTGTTGAAAGATTGTTGTAAAAGCATGTAAACATGTAAAAGCATGACATAAGGCAGAACATGTCTGAAAATATTGGGTTTTTTTCTTCCTCCTTTCGATTTTCATTTGTTTTTATATTACAAGAGGGATACTTTTCATCACCAGAGTGATTTCCTTTCTTGGGGTAGTATGCCCTCAGCCATCCCCTGTAAAGTGTATCAGCCTATACTTTGGCATTGATCCATATTACTCTGACTTGGAGTTATCGCCCTCGTGACCCTAAATAGACGTCATGTTAAACGTGTCCGTTAATATTGTTGTTCATTGTGTCAAAAGTATACCATTTAAATACATGCACTTGAATGCATATAATCACACAATGGTAGTATTGTGCATCATTTTAAAAGCTTCTTTCCCATTGCATTATGTTGAAATAAAATTATAACACGTGCATGATTATATCCATTACTGGCATTAATGGGTTGTGACTTTTTATCTTCAAAACATTGTTGCTTCGTGAAGCGCGTATGGATAAGTTTCATCAAACAATTTTGAAAGCACAACACGTCTGCCTAATTGGGGGGGGGGGGTTCAGTTGCTTCCATTCAAAGGATGGACTGACGTCCCTTCCTCCGACAATGAATTAAACAGCCATCGAGTCAAAGATGGCCTTACAGTAGGAAACTGTAACAAATCCTCCCCAGCCTCCTTTACCAGTCTGCCACCGATCTAATGTAGAAAAGTTTTTACCTGATGACATTAAATCAATCAGAGTACATTGAAAAAACGTTTTAATTTACGCCCTAAAACAGTGTTTTCATATCAAGAATTAATTAGGATTTTCATTTTCACTCTGTATCCACTAGGTTTCCATGGTCATAAATGCAAAGTCAAAGAGTTTCCTTGCATACTACCCCCCCCCCCCCTTCACCACACACATTGCTTCAAGACAAAATATACGCCCATTTACATGTTTAAGGTATTTACGTATCGTTACCTCCTTATAATGATTCCAATGAGAGAGAGAGAGAGAGGTGGGAAAGAGAGAGAAAAAAGGATACTAGTTGAGACAGAATATAATATAATATAAGTTTTCAAAAATATATATCAATTTTAAAACTAACAAGATTGTATTGTATATATTCAACTGAGAAATACTCGGCTCACAGTCAATTCCTTTCTTTGCACGACACCACGTACTGTGAGGTTTCTATTGTGACGTAGCGCAATGAACCTTGGGTATTGTGTGTATGATTTGTTTTATTTTATGTTACCATTGTGACGTTGTGCCTTGAATAAAAGAATATTTCAGCATTTTGTGGGGGATGTCACTGTGGCGCACCGCAATAGCAGGAACTTTGTGTATACTACATGTATGGTAGTCGTGCGACTGATAATAGAGCCCTGTTGTACTTACGTCCACTGCATCAAAATGGCGCCCGGTAATATGCCATGCTCGTTTTGGTGGCGACTTATTGGCGTACTTTTCTGGTTAAATAGTGTCTACAGTCGTAAGTAAAATCTCATGTCATACCTTACATATGTGTATATTGCTTTTGCTTTGGTGGTGACTTATTTTTGTACTTATCTGGTTAGAGTTTACTTTCCCATAATCTGTCATCCAGCCACGTTAAGTGTTGTTGAAACATACCACATTATAAGTAATTAATTATACCACTCATGTCATCAATCAAATAAAGTATTTTATCATGTTCACGATTCTGTATAGGCCTACACCCGTAGTGTAGATTACTATCAATATTCGGCTTTTAAATCAAATGGAACATTGTGATTTTATATCATTATACATAATATAAAGGCAGAACAACTGTTATGGTCTAAGGCATTTCGAAAACGTAGAGAAGATATACCAGTGCTGTCAAATTGTATTAGGCATAAGCCTTGTGACGTAAAGTAGGCAATATTCGGAGTGTACGATATTGTCTTGCAATATCATTATTAGCTTGAAATTATATGACGATATTCAAATTACATTTTGCTGTAAATATGAATTTATTTTATGCAGCCACTTCAACAAACCCGAAAATACTGTGAATAGCAATCAGTCACACTAATAATTACGTATGTATTTGCAGTATTGAAAATTTGTAACAGGGTGGTGTTTATTATCATAATTTGAGAATGAGAAAGGAAGGGCCTGATGTATATCGAAGTGAATGCACGCTCCTTTTATGTTTCTTCATGTTGTCGGTATCTTTGGCCGTTGGCCTTGCCATAGGGCAAATATGGCCCTACTCACTCCTCTTCTGACAGTCTTGGATCGGCCTCTGCTTGGATAAAGAGTGCAGTGTTGCATCTTGACGACTCCGATTCGCAAAAAAATAGAATTTAGTCGATAATATTTTAGGTTGAGTCATGGATTTTGTCTTCTTTTCCAAATTGCCAAAAGAAAATAAATTGATGGACCCTTCAAGCCCACTTCAATAGTTGATGATGTCTCTTAGCTCAAAAGACCTTCTGAAAGGTCGTGATTGTGACATTTCTGAAAACTCTTTAAATCCTTTTTTCCCCCTTTTGTTGTTTGTATGCAGTCAAACTAGGAATGTTATGTGAAATAACACGAACGCAACTACGTCTGAAAAATCAACTAAAGGAACGTGTGAACATCACACTAACTTATTACGTAATCTGAATATGATGATTGTAGGATATATATACATATACCATTTATTGATCGTATAAGATACAACCACTGTGATTGATATACTAAATATCAGGTATTTTAGGAAACACGGACAGAGGTACATGGTTCAAGAAGCATAATGTTTTGGCGGTAGCACATACATGTACGAACATTTTGTGCGATGGATGCATTAAGAAACCAACTAACTAAAAATATGTATGAGTTTAGTAAATGCATTAAAAACTTTACCCGGTCAGCTTTAAATGGGTGTTTGTGAAAGATAGATTCTAAACATCGGCTGATTGGTCTACATATTGATTGTAAATTATTATGGAAAGTCCAAACCGATTTCTTATGTCAATTATTTTCTAAAAACTTTGGTGTTATCAAAAGACTTACACATTATTTTCCCCCTATTTTTATGGACCTTATATTCTACTGTATTGCTACCATACTTAACTTATGAATCATTAGCTTGGGGAAATCGTTCTAAGGCGAAAATTGAATCCATATGAAGATACAGAATAGAGCCATGAGGACAATAAAACTCTGCACGTGTTCAGGCACATACAAACTCTATATTTCATACAAATTTTTGAAAACAGTAGACTTCCATTTACGTTGGAATATTAATATATCAACTAACAAAGGAGATCGGTAACAAAATTGTATTCCTATGTTTGTAAAAAGTAGTAAAATTCATTCAAAGATCCTATTTTTATCTTTCCCTTATGCGTACAGTATTTGCTCTCAAAACAAAAACCTATACAAGTCCCTCGTTTTTTTTTTTAATAGATTAGACATTAAAAATATAGCATAGCCTACGTCTGTGAAACATTAGAGGGGCAAGTTAACACACAACGCAGGCTTCATTAATCCGCCTTCGTTGGATTCAAACCCACCTTGGTTTGACAGGCAACTATCAAGCCAACTCGCCTCCTCGCTTGTATCTATGCATGCGTGTAAAACATAGCTTTTCAACCAGCTATGACAAACGTACTTCTCATTCAGTTATTTTCTATGATATTTCCCTGCTCTTTATTTCATGTTGCAGAGGCAACCTATAGTGTAAGACTTGTGAATGGTCCATCGCCCAGTGAAGGAAGAGTAGAGATTTTGTACAATGGCCAATGGAACACCATCTGTGATAATTACTGGAATCTTGAAGAAGCACAGGTTGTTTGTCGTCAGCTTGGCTATAGCACCGATAATGTCGTGGCAAGGAGTTTTGCCTACTATGGTCAAGGTTCAGGACCGATTCAACAAGTCCAGTGCTCTGGTTGGGAGTATACCTTGGCGTCCTGTACTCTGACTTCAGGTTACGCATGTGGCCATTATGAGGATGCAGGAGTAAGATGCGGTAAGCTGAATTATAATAACTGATCGCACGACGTACTTAAACAACGATATTTCACCAGTATTCGCATTTTTTCATTCATATATGCATCCATTTAAAAATTGTTTCTTTCTTTTTTTTTAGCGGTTAAAAAATATAAATTTTATGAATAAGAAATATAATTGAATTAAACCTCTTCAAGCATAAATAGCATATAGTTTTTAGCCAGCTATAAAACACGCATATCTGATGGAGCTATTTATCTCTGACATTTCCCTCTTTTCCACTTATTGCTGAAGGTAGCGACATTTTCACAACCTTTGATCCATTTCCATGGCCAACGATAACCACAGGCGCTGGAATCTATAACGTAAGGCTCGTGGACGGTCCATCGCCCAGAGAGGGAAGAGTAGAGATTTCATACAATGGCCAATGGAACACTATCTGTGATGATACCTGGAATCTTGAAGAAGCACAGGTTGTATGTCGTCAGCTCGGCTATGACACCGATAATGTCGTAGCATGGAGTTCTGCCTACTATGGTCAAGGTTCAGGACCGATTCAACAAGTCCAGTGCTCTGGTTGGGAGTATACCTTGGATCAATGTACTCTGTCTTCAGGGGATTCCATATGTGGCCATTATGAGGATGCAGGAGTAAGATGTGGTAAGCTTATACAGACATTTCTTTTTTTTCTGCCTTGTATTATGTAACTTTATGAGCGGATACATGAGCCAGGGTGTAAAAAGAATTGAGTATTTGCATCCAATGTGAAAGAGAGATAATGCTGAACGAATATCATTCTCGTTATCTCTATATGTGGACAATGAAGGAAATTAGTCTTCTCAAGAGTGACGGCGCGGGGGTCCGGCCATTGACACCAGTTGCACTGGTGTTATGGGATCATGAGTTTGGTATATAGACACCGGTCCAACTTGGTGAATGAAAGTCAAACAAGAACAAGACCATCAAGTGTTGTGAGAATGTGAAAGGGGTGTTTTTATATTATTTTATGTTGCCTTTATTTCTTTTCTGGCTGCCTTTTTCCCCATTTGATCGGGGGCAGCTAGGTGCGCTATTTGGGTCTTCACACGAACCACATCTTCTGATTAAGGTTTTTTTCCTTTTTATTTGACCACAAAACCAGTTAGTCATCTTGACTAATTATCAATCATCCTTTCAATATTCGTTTACTCGGGTAACTGTCTTTTGGGGTTGATCTTGATAATGAAATTCTGTATTGCCCTTTGTGCGACATCCTACAATTTTTTAGAATAAACAAAACCTCGTGGTCTGCCCTCAATTCACAAATTTATTCACATAGCTAATGAGGCGTAAGGGTTGTGCATAGTGTCATTCCATAATGGTAATGCTTATTCAATTCATAGTGGAGGTGTGTAGTGGTATAGGAGTTTCACTTAACTCTCAATCCAAGAATTGATGCTTCAAATTCCAGCCCGTCACTAATCCACTTATGCCACTATCCACCCTGTTGTAGATGGGTACCCGGCAATTACTGGGGTAGTAATAATTGCACAGCCTGCAGGAAAAGCAGTATTAATACCAATGTGGCTTCTTATCTCAGTTATTATTTTCATTATTATGATATGTTACACAACAACATCAGGAACATCAGGAGCATCTCCTCGGGTAATCGGATCAATGTCATTCGTCGGAGTGTCCTTGTTTCTCCTAACCATCATCGCCATAGTTGCTGTTGTGTTCGTGTGCAGTCAACAGAAGATTTCCCCTTCAGCAGCTATGGGAATGCAAGAGTTAACTACTCTTACCACTAACCCTGCACCTCAACCAGCATCAACCACACCCATGCCTGCACCCGTCTGCGTCGATGTACCTGTTTAGATGATGGACAGAAACCCACGTTTGCTTATTAGAAGATTCCGACTGCCATTCTAAAAGGTGTGCCTCACAATTGTTTTCAGTTTTTCCTTGTGATTGCTCTCAGTTGTATATACTTATACATTCAAAATAATCCAGTATGTTATTGTAAATGTTACTGCTATCGTTCCATGGTTTCATTAGAATCTGGTTAGATGTGTTAAGAGTATTTGGATACAGTCTGACAACTTAAATAATAATTGTAATGCCACAAAATATATATATATATTCAGTTGAATATTTTTTAGATGGTAAATGGTTAAATAAATGTTTATTTAAAGTATATATTGTAAATAAATCTGCTGAGCTTCTCATTTATATCTTACTTTTATTGTAGAATACTATCTATTAAAGGATGTTTTACATTTCAAAAAATTTGATATATCTCGCGCAAATATTATATATTCAAATCATGCGTAGCCCGTTAAACAAAATATCTTTCAAACGGTGTTCAATCATGGATTAATAATTGTGCCTTATTGCTCAATCAGTTATTCAAATCACATGCGCGATCTTCCACAGAGTAGATTTTCATAATGTCAATTTCTTTTAAAACTTGTTATGTTCTATCATATTTGCCTTTACCCTCATTATGTATTCGGTTACAAATTATAATTGCTTATCATGATTCATGAACATGATCATTGGAAAAATGCCTCCAAAAGAATCAAAAGGAACACACGTCAGTGTGTAAGTATTGTTACTGTAAGCCATCGCTTGAAATAATTCTTGTACTGGATTATGAATTATCATGGAAAGCGCGTGATAGAATGATAATAACGATTGCCGTAGTAATTTACAGTAGTATGCTGCAATACTTGATTAAAAGTGCGCTAAATACTTTTTTAATATTATATCTTCTCATTTGAATATATTCTATATGATTTAGGGAACACCGTCTGTTGCAGTCACAATGGCGTTGATCCATATTACTTTGAAATTGTGCTAACGCCCTTGCGACCCCAAACAGACGTCATGTTAAAATATCGTTGTACAGTGTGTCGCACGTTTTAAATCACAACAAAATGTGACGTATTCAATAGCCATATGCATTATCAATAATAAAACATGACCTGTACTTTTCCTATTTTCTACTTTTATAAACTTTATATAGTATCTATACATTTCAATATACTGTAACTTCCTTTGTTAATAATCATGATTGTTAATAAAGCGATATTTAAACGTGTTTATATATCAATATTCTTCATTCATTCACGGTCGCCTCATGTTTCTTTCCCTTAACTCAAATATAAAGAATATTGTCATTAATAAAAACATAATTCAAGTGGATGGGCCGTATTACTATTATTAAAATATTTATTCTTCAATTTAGACATTAGCAAAGCCATATACTCAGTTAAATAATATTAATACCAGACTATGCGATTTGTCCATGTTTTATAGTCGGGGAATTCCCTAGAGTAGACGTTCGAATAACTTTTGTTTATATAACTTTTAATAAGGATATCGTTTTTACTACAATTTATGTTATGGTAAAGTTTCTGCACCTAGTAAACAATTTTCATTGTTTTTTGTATCACGTTTTGAACTATTCGCAAATAATAAAGTCAATTCCCATTGCTGTACATAATTAATGTTATCCTACTAATAAACAGTGTATTTTGGGACTGTTTTCTGTTACATTATCTTACTGCATATTTTGGTATCGCCTTACTCGATAAATACCGGCTTTCAATAAAAGTAGTATCATCTCTCATGTGTCTTTTGTTTAATGTTCAGTATTCTTCCATGAAATCAAAATATAATAGTGGTGTCTAACTTTCTCATTACACCTGTATCAGAAATCGATGGAAATTCCACACAGTGGAAACTCAGTATAACGAGATCCTTGGGACCATCAAAATTACCTTTTCATAGCAGGAATCTCGTTATATCAGATTAAGAAACAAAATAATTTAAAGAAATGGGACCGGAATATTTATTACCTTATTATATTAGGAATATTGTTATATCAGATCTCTTTATACTGAGTTTCCACTGTAGATTTTTTATTATTTTCTCTTACACAAAGGCAGGTGTTAATTATTGTGTATGTTATTACTCCATCTTTTAACAAAATCTCTGAACAGGAAATTCAGCTTTGAAGATTTTTTTCTTCTCGCAGAGCCATATTTTTGAAGTATGAATAAATTAGGAACCAGTACTAAATTGACCTCAGAATTAAACTTTAATAACATTAAAATACTTTCCATTTACTCATTTTGATAGTAGCGAAAAGAATAATCCCCTCCTTAGAATACAATATGGTCGAGTAATGGTTGGGTCTAATGAAGAAAGGGCATAATTAAAAATATAGAACCGTTTCTGCGAGAAAAAAAATTCTTCAAAACTGAATTTTCTGTTGAAAGATTTTTTTTTTTTCTAAAGCACTCATGGAAGTGGTATTTCCATAAACCTTGCAGAAAGCCTTTTTTCCATATTCATCAAATGTAAAAGCATGACTTAAGGCAAAAAATGACTGAAAATATTGGGGTTTTTCTTCCTCCTTTTGATTTTCATTTGTTTTTATATTACAAGAGGGATACCTTTTCTTGGGGTAGTATGCCTTCAGCCATCCCCTGTAAAGTGTATCAGCCTTTACTTTGGCATTGATCCATATTACTTTGACTTGGAGTTAACGCCCTTGTGACCCCAAATAGCCGTCATGTTAAACGTGTCCGTTAATATTGTTATACATTGTGTCAAAAGTATTCCATTTAAATACATGTACTTGAATGCATATAATCACACAATGGTAGTCTTGTGCATCATATCAAAGGCTTATATCACACTACATTATGTTGAAGTATAATTCTAACACTTGCATGGTTATATCCATTGCTGGCATTAATGGGTTGTGACTTTTTTTTCAAAACATTGTTGCTTCGTGAAGCGCGTATGGATACGTTTTATCAAACAATTTTGATAGCACCACACGTCTGCTTTATGGGAGGGGTTCGGGCCTTGCATTCAAGGGATGGACTGAGGTCCCTTTCTCCGACAATAGGGACTTTTAGATTTGCGTGGACTGATACGTGTGACATCCATTCAAGGCAGTGCATTAAAAGGACGTCGATCGCAACAATCCACAATGGTCGTTGTGCAAATCTAAAAGTCCCTAATGAATCAAACAGCCATCGAGTCAAAGATGGGGTTATAGCAGGAAAACTGTATCAAATCCTTCCCAGCCTCCTTTACCAGTCTGCCACCGATGTAATCTAGAGACATTTTTAACCGATGACATTAAATCAATCAGAGCACATTGAAAAAACTTTTTAATTTACGCCCTAAAACAGTGTTTTCATATTAAGAATTGATTAGGATTTACATCTTCACTCTGTATCCACTAGGTCTCCAATGTCATAAAAGCAAAGTCAGTGAGTTTGCTAGCATACTGCCCCGTCTCACACCCACCCACATACATTACCTGAAGAGAGATTTACGCCCTTTCACATGTTTAAGGAACTTTAACGATCGTCATCCTTCTTATAGTGATTTCAATGAGACACAGAGAGAGAGAGAGAGAGAGGGAAAAAATAAAGAGAATTCTAGTTGAGACAACATATATAATATAAGTTTTGTAAAGATATATCAATATTTAAACTAAAAAGAATGTATTGTATATATTCCATTGTGAAAGACTAGGCTCACGTTCAATTTCTTATTTTGCACGACACCACGTACTGTGAGGTTGCTATTGTGACGTAGCGCAATGAACCTTGGGTATTGTGTGTATGATTTGTTTTATTTTATGTTACCATTGTGACGTTGTGTCTTGAATTCAAGAAATATTCAGCATTGTGCGGGGGATACCACTGTGGCGCACCGCAATATAACAGACAGTTCGTGTATACTACATTTATGGTTGTTGTGTGAGTGATTATAGAGCCGTCTTGTACTTACGTTTACTGTTTCAAAATGGCGCCCGGTGGATGTATACGATGCTCGTTTTGGTGGCGACTTATTTTAGTTCTTTTCTGGTTGAATAGTGTCTACAGTCGTAAGTAATATATTATCACATTTCATATCTTACATATGCAAATATATTTTGCTATGCTATCGTGCAAAATATGATTATATCTGTATTGTTTCGTTGGAATTTACTTTCCCGTAGTCTGTCATCTGGCCATGTTAAGTGCTGTTGAAATATACCACTTTATAAGTAAACAAGTATACCACTCATTTCGCCACTCATGTTTACAATTCGATATACACCCGTAGTACAGTTAATTTCAAAGATTCGTTTTTAAATCAAATAGAACCACTGTGATCTTAAGTCTTTATACATAATATAAAGGTAGAACAATAGTTATGGCCTAATGCATTACAAAAACGTAGAGGAGATATACCAGTGGTGTCGAATTGTATCACGCATAAGCCTCGTGTCGTAAAGTAGCCTATATTCGGAGTGCACGATAATGTCTTGCAATATTATTATTAGCTTGAAATTATATGACGATAGTCAAATTATATTTTGCTGTAAATATGAATTTTATTTCATGCAGGCACTTCCACGAACTTAAAGTTATTGTGAAAAACATTTAGTCCCAATAATATGTACGTATGCATTTGCATTATTGATAATTTATAACAGGGTGGTGTTTATTATCAGGCGGAAGAATATAGCAAACAAATCCTATTTCGATATCATCATATCAAAATATCATTCCACTCTGAATCCAGTGCTGTAAGCTCTCAACGCCCCCTCGTGTGTTCTCTTGTATCTTTATTTGCTTAAATTAAAACATAAAACTGGTACTATCCAATCATCATAAACAGCAAAGACTGAGTAAAACATTGGATTTAGACTAGATGAGACAACATTCCTGCAGGTTTAAGCTTTTAAACAGGAAAAGATAGGAGTTAAACGTTCAATTTATTCCAAGTAATAATTATCCACAAGTTAAAGATATTGTGTCTCTTTTGCAGCCAACATTAAACTATGTATAGTTTGCAGGAATTATGAATATGTCATTTATGTCCTATCTGTGAAATTTAAACATTAGCCGTGCCCTAGTATTCAAATTATGCAAGGAAACCCGTTTACTTTCTAGACTTCCCTGTCAGACACTATTAAGTGACTGACTCTAATTTGTATTCGGTAATAACATACATAAAATGAGCTGTACCAGGTACATGAGCATTTGTCTACATCGATTAAACCCACTACTTGTAATGGCCAAAATTAAACTGATTGAATATTTGTGCACACAAAACGTACAAGGGTCTGAAAATAAGACTATTACTTAGGTAATTGCAATTACTTATGTCGATTCGACAACTAATGCTTGTTATTTTCCCACAACAAAAAAAACATTTAAAGCCCTTTCGTCTGAAGGGAAGTTCTAAATAAGTATTTTTTGTCAAATGCCGTTGAAATTTAACCTTTTCATTTTTTGACCTGCAAATGGGACAGAGTACCTTAAACAGACATATAAATAGTATTACATACAATTGGTGAAGCAATAGATTAAAGGACCTAACAAGGCAATAAATTAAAAACAAATGGACTGGTTATAAATTATCGATACGACCTTTAGGGGAAAGAATTCAAGTTAAGAACTATTTCTCAGAAATGCAGGGATCAAAGTTGTTTCATAGGCGTATAGGGCAACGGGTTGAACTAATTCGAAGCCACGCAGCCTGTTTTCGGGATTTGAGAATGCGAAAGGAAGAAGCTGATGTACATTAAAGTATATCGTTTTCAACTACTTTCATGTTATTTGCTGTTCTTCTATCACCCCCCCCCCCTTGTATGCACGTTGTTTCTGTGTTTATTCGTTTTGTCAGTATATCGGGCAGTTTGCCTTATGTAGGTAAAACACGCCCCTTCTTCCTCCTTTTCCGACAGTCTTGGATCGGCCCCTTTAATTAAACAAAATAGTGCGGTGATGCATCTTAACGAATCCGATTCTCTGAAATTTAGAATTTAGTCGATAATCTCTTTGGCCATGTCATTGATTGGTTTTTTTTTCTCCACTTTGCTATTTTTTTTTTAAATTGCAGTCAAACTTGGAATGTTATTTGAAATAACACGAACGCAACTGCTTTCGAAAAATCAACTAAGGGCAATTTTAACCCGTTGACTACTGCATTATCTAATTCCCATAGACTTAACACAGAGACCACCAGGTTCCAGTAAGCAATGGGTTAATAGCCCTCTCCGTGACCTATTGAAATGTGTGAACATGACACTACCCTACTATTGTAATTGCCCTCGAGTTGATTTTGGTTTTATCGTATTAAATACAAACACTGTGATTGATATTCATATCAGGTATTTTAAAAAACAAGGACAGAGGTACTTGGTTTAATAAGCATATGTTTCGGGCCTTTCCAGAAAACAAATTTAGCTGTTGGCGGTAGCACATAGCTTAACTAACTAAATGTATGATTGTAGTCAATGCGTTAATCACTTTACCTGGTCAGTTTTAAATGGGTGGTCTGGAAAAAATAGATTCTAGAAACAATTGCTCGGTCTTCATATTGATTGTAAATTATCATGGAGTGTCCACACCGATTTCTTATGTACATTATTTTCAAAAAATGTAGATCTTATCAAAATACTTACATATTATTTCCCTTTATGTTTATGAACCTTATTTTCTATTTGATTGCTGCCATACTTAACGTATAGATCATTAGCGTGGGGAATTTTTTTTCTAAAACGAAAATTGAATCCATTTTGAAGATACAAAAAAAAGCCATGAGCACAATAAAACTCTGAACATTTTCATGCACATACAAAATATATATTCCATACAAATTTTTGAAAATATCAGACTTCTTTTTATATTGTAATATTCATATATCAACTAAATAAAGGCGATCGGCGATTTTCTTCTTAATTCCTATATTTGTAATAAGTAGGGAAATTCATTCCAATTCTTCCAGACAAAAATCTGTTTTCATCTCTTCCTTACTATAACCTATATAGGTCCCTCATTTTTGTAATAGATAGGACATACAATATAACATAGCCTACGTCTATGAAGCATGACAGGGGCACGTTAACACACAATGCAGGCTTCAGTAATCCGCCTTGGTTAGATTCGAACCCACCTTGGTATGACAGGCAACTCTAACCCAACTCGCCTCCTCAATTTTATCCAGGCATGCGTGCAAAACATAGCTTTTCAACCAGATATGACATACGTACCTCTCACTCGGTTATTTTCTATGATATTTCCCTGCTCTTTATTTCATGTTGCAGAGGCAACCGATAGTGTACGACTTGTGAATGGTACATCGCCCAGTGAAGGAAGGGTAGAGATTTGGTACAACGGCCAATGGAACACCATCTGTGATGATTACTGGTATCTAGAAGAAGCACAGGTTGTTTGTCGTCAGCTCGGCTATGACACTTCTAATGTAAGACCAAGGAGTCTAGCCTACTATGGTCAAGGGTCAGGATCGATTCTACAAGTCCAGTGTTCTGGGTCGGAGTATACCTTGGAGTCCTGTGATCTGTATTCAGGGGATTTCGTCTGTGGCCATCGTGAGGATGCAGGAGTAATATGTGGTAAGCTTATACTTCCTTTTCGCATAACGAGCAATTAGTACACTTAGCCAACAAAAAAGGACACTCTTTATTTTTTCTAAATTTTTAATTAAACCCTCAAAAAGATATGTAATTGACAAATTCATACTTAACCAGCATAAATAACGATCAATTTTGCTAACTTCCACGCTTGAGTGGGCACCATCATTTTACAGTACCAAGATCTGATTAAGAACATTGCAAAATTAGAGTGAGTAGACATTAAATTAGTGATGAACATGTGTGTCTGTAATATTGTTTAACAAACGAAACAAAGAATGAAAAACATAGAGAAGGATGAGCTCTGGATGTTATCTGTTATGATGGATAATTTGAAGTCATCTGTGTTATCTTTGTTATTACTCTAAAAGGGGGGGGGGGAATCTCAGAAGTGGCATGGGGAAGGGGTATTGTTTAATTGGGGGAGGCATCAGTAACACGATCGCAATTATTTCTGAAAAATTTTAACTCAATGGCACTTCCAATACCCTATGATATGTCCCATAGAATTGATGCTCAGATTACGTCATACGTCATTCTCATGATCACACATTTTAATAGATGACGCATAAGGCTATTGAAGTAGTTCTTATCGTGCTCAATCTATAATGAAATTCAAATATGACCGTGAAGGTAGGTGAGGGCGTTCTGGAAAGCGAGCAACCGCCCCAGCCCACGAGATTAACAACGTCTCGCCGGCCTTCTGACATTAAACCTCTGCACATTTTCATGCACACACATATTTTATATTCAATACAACTTTTGAAAATAACAGACTTCTTTTTACATTGGACTATTCATATATCCACTGAATAAAGGCGATCGGCAACTCTTTTAATTCCTATATTTGTAATAAGTAGCGAAATTCATTCTTACTCTTCCAGGTAAATATTTATCTCTTCCGTACTATAACCGATACAGGTCCCTCATTTTATTTAATAGATTGGACATTTTAAAAAATAACACAGCCTACGTCTATGAAACATGAGAGGGGCACGTTAAACACACAAGGCAAGCTTCAGTAATCCGCCTTGGTTAGATTCGAACCCACTTTGGTTTGACAGGCAAATGAGCCAACTCGCCTCCTAGATTTTATCTTCGCATGCGTGCAAAACATATAGCTTTTTAACCAGATATGACATACGTACCTTTCATTCAGTTACTTTCTATGATATTTCCCTGCTCTTTATTTCATGTTGCAGAGGCACCCGTTAGTGTACGACTTGTGAATGGTCCATCGCCCAATGAAGGAAGAGTAGAGATTTTGTACAATGACCAATGGAACACCATCTGTGATGATAAATGGAATAATGGTGAAGCAGAGGTTGTTTGTCGTCAGCTTGGCTATGGCACTGATAATGTAACACCAAGGAGTTTAGCCTACTATGGTGAAGGATCCGGACCGATTCAACGAGTCGAGTGCTATGGTTGGGAGGATAGCTGGGAATCCTGTACTGTGTCTTCAGGGAATTCCTCATGTGGCCATTATGAGGATGCAGGAGTAAGATGCGGTAAGCTGAATTTCAACCAGATATGACATACGTATCTTTCATTCAGTTACTTTCTATGATATTTCCCTGCTCTTTATTTCATGTTGCAGAGGCACCCATTAGTGTACGACTTGTGAATGGTCCATCGCCCAATGAAGGAAGAGTAGAGATTTTGTACAATGACAAATGGAACACCATCTGTGATGATAAATGGAATTATGGTGAAGCAGAGGTTGTTTGTCGTCAGCTTGGCTATGGCACTGATAATGTAACACCAAGGAGTTTAGCCTACTATGGTGAAGGATCCGGACCGATTCAACGAGTCGAGTGCTGGGGTTGGGAGGATAGCTGGGAATCCTGTACTGTGTCTTCAGGGAATTCCTCATGTGGCCATTATGAGGATGCAGGAGTAAGATGCGGTAAGCTGAATTATACTGACTGTTCGCAGGTCGTACTTAAACAACGATATTTCACCATTATTTGCATAGTTTTATTCATATATGCATACATCTAAGTAGTTTGTGTTTTTTTGGTTAGCGGTTAAAAAATAAACTTTTTATGAAATAGAATTATAATTGAATTAACCTCTGCAAGCATAAAAAGCTTATCGTTTTTAACCAGCTATGAAACTTAGCACATCTAATTGAACTATTTCTCTCCAACATTTCCCTCTTTTCCACTTAATGTTGTAGGGACCGACGTTTCCACAACCTTAGATCCATTTCAATGGCCAGCGACAACCACAGACTATTACGGTGGAATCTATAACGTACAGCTCGTAAACGGTCCATCACCCAGTGAAGGAAGAGTAGAGATCTGGTACAATGGCCAATGGAACACTATCTGTGATGACAACTGGAATCTTGAAGAAGCACAGGTTGTTTGTCGTCACCTTGGCTATAGCACGGATAAAGTCGTAGCATGGAGTTCGGCCTTCTATGGACAAGGTTCAGGACCGATTCAACATATCCAGTGTTCTGGTTGGGAGTCTAACTTGGGTTCCTGTTCTCTGACTTCAGGGGATTCCATATGTGGCCATAATGAGGATGCAGGAGTAACATGCGGTAAGCTTTATATAGATATTCCTTTTGTCTGCCTTGCCTTAGGTAAAATATATCAAAGTTACCATCTATAGGCCAGAGGTGTAACAAGGATTGGGTATTCACATCAAATAAGAAAGAGAGATATTCTGATCGGATATCATCCTCGTTATCTCTATAAATCACAATGAAAGGAATTAATGTTCTCAAAAAGAGGCGGAGCGGGGTCCGGTCATTGAGGCCAGTTGCACTAGTGTTATGGGGTCATGGAGCAAGGGGACACTGGTCCAACTTGGTGAATAAAGGTCAAAAAAGCAAGACCGTCAAGTATTGTGAGGATGAGGAAAGGGTGTACTTATATTATTTTACCTCTCCCTCAATTTCTTTTTTTTTTTTGGCTGGCTTTTTTCCTATTTGATCGGAGGCATGCTCCTTTGCAGCTAGGTGCACCATTGGGTCTCACCGTTAACCACATCTTCTGATGAATCTTTTTTTTTTCCCTTTTTATCAGAGAATAAAGCGTGCACGCACTGATGTAGACTGTTAAATGACAAAATTATATTTTGACGAAAAGTTTAGAGCTGATCATGAGTTCTTCTTTTCTTATTTACTGAAATTATTCTAGCAACGTTCATGTTACTTGGAACTGGCTGTTTGCATGTATATACGTGTTTATATTGTACTTTATTTTTCTGTCTTGATGTCTTGTATTGCCTGTTATTTTTTTTGTAAGGTTTTTCCTTTTTATCAGACTGCAAAACAAATCAGTCAACTTGACTTTTTAACAAGTATCATTTAAATATTTGTTTACTCGGGTAACTGTCTTTTGGGGTCGATGTATATGTTCATGTGCGTTGTTTGTGCATAATTTACTACGTCGATCTTGATAATGAAATTCTTTATTGCCCTTTGTATGACATCGTACAATTGTTAGAATAAAAAACAACCTCGTCATCTGTCCTCAATTCACAAATTTAATCACAGAGCAAATGAGGCGTAAGGGTTGTGCATTGTATCATTCATGATACTGCTTATTCAATTCATAGTGGATGTGTGTCCTAGTATAGTAATTCATTCACTTAACTCTCATTCCAAGAATTGATCCTTCAAATTCCAGCCCGTCACTTTAATAGGTTCTCTGGCAAGACACTAATCCACTTATGCCGCTATCCACCCAGTTGTAGATGGATACCTGGCAACATACTGGGGTAATAATAACTGCATGGCCTGCAGGAAGAGCAGTAATCTTTTGGCTCCCTTCGGTAAATTAGACCCAATTATTATTTTCATTATTATCATAGGTTACACAAACACCGGCATCACAAACAGAACAACAACATATAGAACATCTCCTCGGGTAATCGGATCAATGTCATTCGTCGGAGTATCCTTGTTTCTCCTAACCATCATCGCTACAGTTGCCGTTGTGCACGTGTGCAATCAACAGAAGGCTTCTCCTTCAGCAGCTATGGGAGTTCAGTTATCTTCTCTTACCACTAACTCTGCACCTCAACCAGCATCAACCACACCCCTGCCTGCACCCGTCTGTGTCGATGTACCTGTTTAGATGGTGGACAGAAACCCACGTTTGCTTATTAGAAGATTCCACCTGCCATTCTAAAAGGTGTGCCTCACAAAAAAAAATTCAGTTTCTTCTTGTGATTGCTCTCAGTTGTATATACATTCAAAATAATCCAGTATGTTATTGTAAATGATTACTGCTATCGTTCCATGGTTTCATTAGAATTTGGTTAGATGTGTTTAGAATATTTGGATACGGTCTGACAACTTAAATAATAATTGTAATGCCACAAAATATATATATTCAGTTGAATACGCATGTAGTATGTCGCATTAATATTTGTTTAGATGGTAAATGGTTAAATAAATGTTTATTTAGAGTATATATTGTAAATAAATCTGCTGAGCTTCTCATTTATATCTTACTTTTATTCTAGAATACCATCTATTAAAGGATGTTTTACATTTCAGAAAAATTGATATATCTCGCGCAAATATTATATATTCAAATCATGCGTAGCTATATAGCCCGTTATACGATATATCTTTCAAACGGTGTTCAATAATGGATTAATAATTGTGCCTTATTGCCCAATCAGTTATTCAAATCACATGCGCGATCTTCCGCAGAGTAGATTTATATAATGTCTATCCATTCAATGATATAGAATTCATACAAATGCATGTTTTTCATAGTAACTCGATGTAATCTTCACAAATGTTAGTCGTTTTATGAATTAATCTTATTTCTACAAACACGTTATGATTGTTATACCTTGTGAGTCCAACAATTGGTTTACACTCAGAAAATTGTCATTTGTTTTAAAAGCCAGCTACGAACGAAAGGTTATTATACATGTTTTGAAAGAGTGTTATATCCCAATTCAACTTGTATTATTTTTGTGTGGTATTTGTTCACGCTTGGATGAATAGGAGGCATTGTTTTCGAGAGTGCCAAAATCGACTTGCGCAAAAGTAATAAAGTGAGAGAAAAGAATTTAATCTATCAAATGAGATGCATTGAAAGGACTTTAAATAATTGGGGATAATAATTCATTGGGAAATGTGGCCGTATAACTATCATTAAAACATTTTTCCTTCAATTTAGACATTAGCAAAGCCATATACTACATATATATATGACTATTCATTTCATGCGACTTATCCATGTTTTATGGTCGGGGGAATTTCCTAGACGTTCGAATTTCATTTTTAATAAGGAAATCATTTTTACTACAATTTATGTTGTGGTAAAGTTATTGCACCTAGTTAAGAATTGTCATTGTTTTTTGTATCACGTTTTGAACTATTCGCAAATAATAAAGTCAATTCCCATTGCTGTACATAATTAATGTTATCCTATTAATAAATAGTGTATTTTGGGATTATTACCTGTTACATTATCTTATTGCATATTTTGGTATCGCCTTACTCGATATATACCGGCTTTCAATAAAAGTAGTATCATCTCTCATGTGTCTTTTGTTTAATGTTCAGTATTCTTCCATGAAATCAAAATATAATTGTGGTGTCTAATACTCATTACACCTGTATCAGAAAGCGATGAATATCAATTATATACAGTAGAAACTCAGTATAACGAGGTCCTTGGGACCATCAAAATGACCTTGTTATAGCAGGAATCTCGTTATATCAGATTAAGAAACAAAAGAATTTAAAGAAATGGGACCGGAATATTTATTACCTTGTTATGTTAGGAATATTGTCATATCAGATCTCTTTATACTGAATTTCCACTGTAGATTTATTTACTATTTTATCTTGAAGAAAGGGCATAATTAAAAATATATAACAACCGTTTCTGCGAGAGAAAACAATTCTTCAAAACCGAATTTTCTGTTGAAAGATTGTTGTAAAAGCATGTAAACATGTAAAAGCATGACATAAGGCAGAACATGTCTGAAAATATTGGGGTTTTTTCTTCCTCCTTTCGATTTTCATTTGTTTTTATATTACAAGAGGGATACTTTTCATCACCAGAGTGATTTCCTTTCTTGGGGTAGTATGCCCTCAGCCATCCCCTGTAAAGTGTATCAGCCTATACTTTGGCATTGATCCATATTACTCTGACTTGGAGTTATCGCCCTTGTGACCCTAAATAGACGTCATGTTAAACGTGTCCGTTAATATTGTTGTTCATTGTGTCAAAAGTATACCATTTAAATACATGCACTTGAATGCATATAATCACACAATGGTAGTATTGTGCATCATTTTAAAAGCTTCTTTCCCATTGCATTATGTTGAAATAAAATTATAACACGTGCATGATTATATCCATTACTGGCATTAATGGGTTGTGACTTTTTATCTTCAAAACATTGTTGCTTCGTGAAGCGCGTATGGATAAGTTTCATCAAACAATTTTGAAAGCACAACACGTCTGCCTAATTGGGGGGGGGGTTCAGTTGCTTCCATTCAAAGGATGGACTGACGTCCCTTCCTCCGACAATGAATTAAACAGCCATCGAGTCAAAGATGGCCTTACAGTAGGAAACTGTAACAAATCCTCCCCAGCCTCCTTTACCAGTCTGCCACCGATCTAATGTAGAAAACTTTTTACCTGATGACATTAAATCAATCAGAGTACATTGAAAAAACGTTTTAATTTACGCCCTAAAACAGTGTTTTCATATCAAGAATTAATTAGGATTTTCATTTTCACTCTGTATCCACTAGGTTTCCATGGTCATAAATGCAAAGTCAAAGAGTTTCCTTGCATACTACCCCCCCCCCCCTTCACCACACACATTGCTTCAAGACAACATATACGCCCATTTACATGTTTAAGGTATTTACGTATCGTTACCTCCTTATAATGATTCCAATGAGAGAGAGAGAGAGAGAGAGAGAGGTGTGAAAGAGAGAGAAAAAAGGATACTAGTTGAGACAGAATATAATATAATATAAGTTTTCAAAAAGATATATCAATTTTAAAACTAACAAGATTGTATTGTATATATTCAACTGAGAAATACTCGGCTCACGGTCAATTCCTTTCTTTGCACGACACCACGTACTGTGAGGTTTCTATTGTGACGTAGCGCAATGAACCTTGGGTATTGTGTGTATGATTTGTTTTATTTTATGTTACCATTGTGACGTTGTGCCTTGAATAAAAGAATATTTCAGTATTTTGTGGGGGATGTCACTGTGGCGCACCGCAATAGCAGGAACTTTGTGTATACTACATGTATGGTAGTCTTGCGACTGATAATAGAGCCCTGTTGTACTTACGTCCACTGCATCAAAATGGCGCCCGGTAATATGCCATGCTCGTTTTGGTGGCGACTTATTGGCGTACTTTTCTGGTTAAATAGTGTCTACAGTCGTAAGTAAAATCTCATGTCATACCTTACATATGTGTATATTGCTTTTGCTTTGGTGGTGACTTATTTTTGTACTTTTCTGGTTAGAGTTTACTTTCCCATAATCTGTCATCCAGCCACGTTAAGTGTTGTTGAAACATACCACATTATAAGTAATTAATTATACCACTCATGTCATCAATCAAATAAAGTATTTTATCATGTTCACGATTCTGTATAGGCCTACACCCGTAGTGTAGATTACTATCAATATTCGGCTTTTAAATCAAATGGAACATTGTGATTTTATATCATTATACATAATATAAAGGCAGAACAACTGTTATGGTCTAAGGCATTTCGAAAACGTAGAGAAGATATACCAGTGCTGTCAAATTGTATTAGGCATAAGCCTTGTGACGTAAAGTAGGCAATATTCGGAGTGTAGGATATTGTCTTGCAATATCATTATTAGCTTGAAATTATATGACGATATTCAAATTACATTTTGCTGTAAATATGAATTTATTTTATGCAGCCACTTCAACAAACCCGAAAATACTGTGAATAGCAATCAGTCACACTAATAATTACGTATGTATTTGCAGTATTGAAAATTTGTAACAGGATAGTGTTTATTATCATAATTTGAGAATGAGAAAGGAAGGGCCTGATGTATATCGAAGTGAATGCACGCTCCTTTTATGTTTCTTCATGTTGTCGGTATCTTTGGCCGTTGGCCTTGCCATAGGGCAAATATGGCCCTACTCACTCCTCTTCTGACAGTCTTGGATCGGCCTCTGCTTGGATAAAGAGTGCAGTGTTGCATCTTGACGACTCCGATTCGCAAAAAAATAGAATTTAGTCGATAATATTTTAGGTTGAGTCATGGATTTTGTCTTCTTTTCCAAATTGCCAAAAGAAAATAAATTGATGGACCCTTCAAGCCCACTTCAATAGTTGATGATGTCTCTTAGCTCAAAAGACCTTCTGAAAGGTCGTGATTGTGACATTTCTGAAAACTCTTTAAATCCTTTTTTTCCCCTTTTGTTGTTTGTATGCAGTCAAACTAGGAATGTTATGTGAAATAACATGAACGCAACTACGTCTGAAAAATCAACTAAAGGAACGTGTGAACATCACACTAACTTATTACGTAATCTGAATATGATGATTGTAGGATATATATACATATACCATTTATTGATCGTATAAGATACAAACACTGTGATTGATATACTAAATATCAGGTATTTTAGGAAACACGGACAGAGGTACATGGTTCAAGAAGCATATTGTTTTGGCGGTAGCACATACATGTACGAACATTTTGTGCGATGGATGCATTAAGAAACCAACTAACTAAAAATATGTATGAGTTTAGTAAATGCATTAAAAACTTTACCCGGTCAGCTTTAAATGGGTGTTTGTGAAAGATAGATTCTAAACATCGGCTGATTGGTCTACATATTGATTGTAAATTATTATGGAAAGTCCAAACCGATTTCTTATGTCAATTATTTTCTAAAAACTTTGGTGTTATCAAAAGACTTACACATTATTTTCCCCCTATTTTTATGGACCTTATATTCTACTGTATTGCTACCATACTTAACTTATGAATCATTAGCTTGGGGAAATCGTTCTAAGGCGAAAATTGAATCCATATGAAGATACAGAATAGAGCCATGAGGACAATAAAACTCTGCACGTGTTCAGGCACATACAAACTCTATATTTCATACAAATTTTTGAAAACAGTAGACTTCCATTTACGTTGGAATATTAATATATCAACTAACAAAGGAGATCGGTAACAAAATTGTATTCCTATGTTTGTAAAAAGTAGTAAAATTCATTCAAAGATCCTATTTTTATCTTTCCCTTATGCGTACAGTATTTGCTCTCAAAACAAAAACCTATACAAGTCCCTCGTTTTTTTTTTAATAGATTAGACATTAAAAATATAGCATAGCCTACGTCTGTGAAACATTAGAGGGGCAAGTTAACACACAAAGCAGGCTTCATTAATCCGCCTTCGTTGGATTCAAACCCACCTTGGTTTGACAGGCAACTATCAAGCCAACTCGCCTCCTCGCTTGTATCTATGCATGCGTGTAAAACATAGCTTTTCAACCAGCTATGACAAACGTACTTCTCATTCAGTTATTTTCTATGATATTTCCCTGCTCTTTATTTCATGTTGCAGAGGCAACCTATGGTGTAAGACTTGTGAATGGTCCATCGCCCAGTGAAGGAAGAGTAGAGATTTTGTACAATGGCCAATGGAACACCATCTGTGATAATTACTGGAATCTTGAAGAAGCACAGGTTGTTTGTCGTCAGCTTGGCTATAGCACCGATAATGTCGTGGCAAGGAGTTTTGCCTACTATGGTCAAGGTTCAGGACCGATTCAACAAGTCCAGTGCTCTGGTTGGGAGTATACCTTGGCGTCCTGTACTCTGACTTCAGGTTACGCATGTGGCCATTATGAGGATGCAGGAGTAAGATGCGGTAAGCTGAATTATAATAACTGATCGCACGACGTACTTAAACAACGATATTTCACCAGTATTCGCATTTTTTCATTCATATATGCATCCATTTAAAAATTGTTTCTTTTTTTTTTTTTAGCGGTTAAAAAATATAAATTTTATGAATAAGAAATATAATTGAATTAAACCTCTTCAAGCATAAATAGCATATAGTTTTTAGCCAGCTATAAAACACGCATATCTGATGGAGCTATTTATCTCTGACATTTCCCTCTTTTCCACTTATTGCTGAAGGTAGCGACATTTTCACAACCTTTGATCCATTTCCATGGCCAACGATAACCACAGGCGCTGGAATCTATAACGTAAGGCTCGTGGACGGTCCATCGCCCAGAGAGGGAAGAGTAGAGATTTCATACAATGGCCAATGGAACACTATCTGTGATGATACCTGGAATCTTGAAGAAGCACAGGTTGTATGTCGTCAGCTCGGCTATGACACCGATAATGTCGTAGCATGGAGTTCTGCCTACTATGGTCAAGGTTCAGGACCGATTCAACAAGTCCAGTGCTCTGGTTGGGAGTATACCTTGGATCAATGTACTCTGTCTTCAGGGGATTCCATATGTGGCCATTATGAGGATGCAGGAGTAAGATGTGGTAAGCTTATACAGACATTTCTTTTTTTCTGCCTTGTATTATGTAACTTTATGAGCGGATACATGAGCCAGGGTGTAAAAAGAATTGAGTATTTGCATCCAATGTGAAAGAGAGATAATGCTGAACGAATATCATTCTCGTTATCTCTATATGTGGACAATGAAGGAAATTAGTCTTCTCAAGAGTGACGGCGCGGGGGTCCGGCCATTGACACCAGTTGCACTGGTGTTATGGGATCATGAGTTTGGTATATAGACACCGGTCCAACTTGGTGAATGAAAGTCAAACAAGAACAAGACCATCAAGTGTTGTGAGAATGTGAAAGGGGTGTTTTTATATTATTTTATGTTGCCTTTATTTCTTTTCTGGCTGCCTTTTTCCCCATTTGATCGGGGGCAGCTAGGTGCGCTATTTGGGTCTTCACACGAACCACATCTTCTGATTAAGGTTTTTTTCCTTTTTATTTGACCACAAAACCAGTTAGTCATCTTGACTAATTATCAATCATCCTTTCAATATTCGTTTACTCGGGTAACTGTCTTTTGGGGTTGATCTTGATAATGAAATTCTGTATTGCCCTTTGTGCGACATCCTACAATTTTTTAGAATAAACAAAACCTCGTGGTCTGCCCTCAATTCACAAATTTATTCACATAGCTAATGAGGCGTAAGGGTTCTGCATAGTGTCATTCCATAATGGTAATGCTTATTCAATTCATAGTGGAGGTGTGTAGTGGTATAGGAGTTTCACTTAACTCTCAATCCAAGAATTGATGCTTCAAATTCCAGCCCGACACTAATCCACTTATGCCACTATCCACCCTGTTGTAGATGGGTACCCGGCAATTACTGGGGTAGTAATAATTGCACAGCCTGCAGGAAAAGCAGTATTAATACCAATGTGGCTTCTTATCTCAGTTATTATTTTCATTATTATGATATGTTACACAACAACATCAGGAACATCAGGAGCATCTCCTCGGGTAATCGGATCAATGTCATTCGTCGGAGTGTCCTTGTTTCTCCTAACCATCATCGCCATAGTTGCTGTTGTGTTCGTGTGCAGTCAACAGAAGATTTCCCCTTCAGCAGCTATGGGAATGCAACAGTTAACTACTCTTACCACTAACCCTGCACCTCAACCAGCATCAACCACGCCCATGCCTGCACCCGTCTGCGTCGATGTACCTGTTTAGATGATGGACAGAAACCCACGTTTGCTTATTAGAAGATTCCGACTGCCATTCTAAAAGGTGTGCCTCACAATTGTTTTCAGTTTTTCCTTGTGATTGCTCTCAGTTGTATATACTTATACATTCAAAATAATCCAGTATGTTATTGTAAATGTTACTGCTATCGTTCCATGGTTTCATTAGAATCTGGTTAGATGTGTTAAGAGTATTTGGATACAGTCTGACAACTTAAATAACAATTGTAATGCCACAAAATATATATATATTCAGTTGAATATTTTTTAGATGGGAAATGGTTAAATAAATGTTTATTTAAAGTATATATTGTAAATAAATCTGCTGAGCTTCTCATTTATATCTTACTTTTATTGTAGAATACTATCTATTAAAGGATGTTTTACATTTCAAAAAATTTGATATATCTCGCGCAAATATTATATATTCAAATCATGCGTAGCCCGTTAAACAAAATATCTTTCAAACGGTGTTCAATCATGGATTAATAATTGTGCCTTATTGCTCAATCAGTTATTCAAATCACATGCGCGATCTTCCACAGAGTAGATTTTCATAATGTCAATTTCTTTTAAAACTTGTTATGTTCTATCATATTTGCCTTTACCCTCATTATGTATTCGGTTACAAATTATAATTGCTTATCATGATTCATGAACATGATCATTGGAAAAATGCCTCCAAAAGAATCAAAAGGAACACACGTCAGTGTGTAAGTATTGTTACTGTAAGCCATCGCTTGAAATAATTCTTGTACTGGATTATGAATTATCATGGAAAGCGCGTGATAGAATGATAATAACGATTGCCGTAGTAATTTACAGTAGTATGCTGCAATACTTGATTAAAAGTGCGCTAAATACTTTTTTTATATTATATCTTCTCATTTGGATATATTCTATATGATTTAGGGAACACCGTCTGTTGCAGTCACAATGGCGTTGATCCATATTACTTTGAAATTGTGCTAACGCCCTTGCGACCCCAAACAGACGTCATGTTAAAATATCGTTGTACAGTGTGTCGCACGTTTTAAATCACAACAAAATGTGACGTATTCAATAGCCATATGCATTATCAATAATAAAACATGACCTGTACTTTTCCTATTTTCTACTTTTATAAACTTTATATAGTATCTATACATTTCAATATACTGTAACTTCCTTTGTTAATAATCATGATTGTTAATAAAGCGATATTCAAACGTGTTTATATATCAATATTCTTCATTCATTCACGGTCGCCTCATGTTTCTTTCCCTTAACTCAAATATAAAGAATATTGTCATTAATAAAAACATAATTCAAGTGGATGGGCCGTATTACTATTATTAAAATATTTATTCTTCAATTTAGACATTAGCAAAGCCATATACTCAGTTAAATAATATTAATACCAGACTATGCGATTTGTCCATGTTTTATAGTCGGGGAATTCCCTAGAGTAGACGTTCGAATAACTTTTGTTTATATAACTTTTAATAAGGATATCATTTTTACTACAATTTATGTTATGGTAAAGTTTCTGCACCTAGTAAACAATTTTCATTGTTTTTTGTATCACGTTTTGAACTATTCGCAAATAATAAAGTCAATTCCCATTGCTGTACATAATTAATGTTATCCTACTAATAAACAGTGTATTTTGGGACTGTTTTCTGTTACATTATCTTACTGCATATTTTGGTATCGCCTTACTCGATAAATACCGGCTTTCAATAAAAGTAGTATCATCTCTCATGTGTCTTTTGTTTAATGTTCAGTATTCTTCCATGAAATCAAAATATAATAGTGGTGTTTAACTTTCTCATTACACCTGTATCAGAAATCGATGGAAATTCCACACAGTGGAAACTCAGTATAACGAGATCCTTGGGACCATCAAAATTACCTTTTCATAGCAGGAATCTCGTTATATCAGATTAAGAAACAAAATAATTTAAAGAAATGGGACCGGAATATTTATTACCTTATTATATTAGGAATATTGTTATATCAGATCTCTTTATACTGAGTTTCCACTGTAGATTTTTTATTATTTTCTCTTACACAAAGGCAGGTGTTAATTATCGTGTATGTTATTACTCCATCTTTTAACAAAATCTCTGAACAGGAAATTCAGCTTTGAAGATTTTTTTCTTCTCGCAGAGCCATATTTTTGAAGTATGAATAAATTAGGAACCAGTACTAAATTGACCTCAGAATTAAACTTTAATAACATTAAAATACTTTCCATTTACTCATTTTGATAGTAGCGAAAAGAATAATCCCCTCCTTAGAATACAATATGGTCGAGTAATGGTTGGGTCTAATGAAGAAAGGGCATAATTAAAAATATAGAACCGTTTCTGCGAGAAAAAAAATTCTTCAAAACTGAATTTTCTGTTGAAAGATTTTTTTTTTTTCTAAAGCACTCATGGAAGTGGTATTTCCATTAACCTTGCAGAAAGCCTTTTTTCCATATTCATCAAATGTAAAAGCATGACTTAAGGCAAAAAATGACTGAAAATATTGGGGTTTTTCTTCCTCCTTTTGATTTTCATTTGTTTTTATATTACAAGAGGGATACCTTTTCTTGGGGTAGTATGCCTAGAGCCATCCCCTGTAAAGTGTATCAGCCTTTACTTTGGCATTGATCCATATTACTTTGACTTGGAGTTAACGCCCTTGTGACCCCAAATAGCCGTCATGTTAAACGTGTCCGTTAATATTGTTATACATTGTGTCAAAAGTATTCCATTTAAATACATGTACTTGAATGCATATAATCACACAATGGTAGTCTTGTGCATCATATCAAAGGCTTATATCACACTACATTATGTTGAAGTATAATTCTAACACTTGCATGGTTATATCCATTGCTGGCATTAATGGGTTGTGACTTTTTTTTTCAAAACATTGTTGCTTCGTGAAGCGCGTATGGATACGTTTTATCAAACAATTTTGATAGCACCACACGTCTGCTTTATGGGAGGGGTTCGGGCCTTGCATTCAAGGGATGGACTGAGGTCCCTTTCTCCGACAATAGGGACTTTTAGATTTGCGTGGACTGATACGTGTGACATCCATTCAAGGCAGTGCATTAAAAGGACGTCGATCGCAACAATCCACAATGGTCGTTGTGCAAATCTAAAAGTCCCTAATGAATCAAACAGCCATCGAGTCAAAGATGGGGTTATAGCAGGAAAACTGTATCAAATCCTTCCCAGCCTCCTTTACCAGTCTGCCACCGATGTAATCTAGAGACATTTTTAACCGATGACATTAAATCAATCAGAGCACATTGAAAAAACTTTTTAATTTACGCCCTAAAACAGTGTTTTCATATTAAGAATTGATTAGGATTTACATCTTCACTCTGTATCCACTAGGTCTCCAATGTCATAAAAGCAAAGTCAGTGCGTTTGCTAGCATAATGCCCCGTCTCATACCCACGCACATACACTACCTGAAGAGAGATTTACGCCCTTTCACATGTTTAAGGAACTTTAACGATCGTCATCCTCCTTATAGTGATTTCAATGAGACAGAGAGAGAGAGAAAAAAAAATAAAGAGAATTCTAGTTGAGACAACATGTACAATATAAGTTTTGTAAAGATATATCAATATTTAAACTAAAAAGATTGTATTGTATATATTCCATTGTGAAAGACTAGGCTCACGTTCAATTTCTTATTTTGCACGACACCACGTACTGTGAGGTTGCTATTGTGACGTAGCGCAATGAACCTTGGGTATTGTGTGTATGATTTGTCTTATTTTATGTTACCATTGTGACGTTGTGTCTTGAATTCAAGAAATATTCAGCATTGTGCGGGGGATACCACTGTGGCGCACCGCAATATAACAGACAGTTCGTGTATACTACATTTATGGTTGTTGTGTGAGTGATTATAGAGCTGTCTTGTACTTACGTTTACTGTTTCAAAATGGGGCCCGGTGGATGTATACGATGCTCGTTTTGGTGGCGACTTATTTTCGTTCTTTTCTGGTTGAATAGTGTCTACAGTCGTAAGTAATATATTATCACATTTCATATCTTACATATGCAAATATATTTTGCTATGCTATCGTGCAAAATATGATTATATCTGTATTGTTTCGTTGGAATTTACTTTCCCGTAGTCTGTCATCCGGCCATGTTAAGTGCTGTTGAAATATACCACTTTATAAGTAAGCAAGTATACCACTCATTTCGCCACTCATGTTTACAATTCGATATACACCCGTAGTACAGTTAATTTCAAAGATTCGTTTTTAAATCAAATAGAACCACTGTGATCTTAAGTCTTTATACATAATATAAAGGTAGAACAATAGTTATGGCCTAATGCATTACAAAAACGTAGAGGAGATATACAAGTGGTGTCGAATTGTATCACGCATAAGCCTCGTGTCGTAAAGTAGCCTATATTCGGAGTGCACGATAATGTCTTGCAATATTATTATTAGCTTAAAATTATATGACGATAGTCTAATTATATTTTGCTGTAAATATGAATTTTGTTTCATGCAGGCACTTCCACGAACTTAAAGTTATTGTGAAAAACATTTAGTCCCAATAATATGTACGTATGCATTTGCATTATTGATAATTTGTAATAGGGTGGTGTTTATTATCAGGCGGAAGAATATAGCAAACAAATCCTATTTCGATATCATCATATCAAAATATCATTCCACTCTGAATCCAGTGCTGTAAGCTCTCAACGCCCCCTCGTGTGTTATCTTGTATCTTTATTTGCTTAAATTAAAACATAAAACTGGTACTATCCAATCATCATAAACAGCAAAGACTGAGTAAAACATTGGATTTAGACTAGATGAGACAACATTCCTGCAGGTTTAAGCTTTTAAACAGGAAAAGATAGGAGTTAAACGTTCAATTTATTCCAAGTAATAATTATCCACAAGTTAAAGATATTGTGTCCCTTTTGCAGCCAACATTAAACTATGTATAGCTTGCAGGAATTATGAATATGTCATTTTTGTCCTATCTGTGAAATTTAAACATTAGCCGTGCCCTAGTATTCAAATTATGCAAGGAAACCCGTTTACTTTCTAGACTTCCCTGTCAGACACTATTAAGTGACTGACTCTAATTTGTATTCGGTAATAACATACATAAAATGAGCTGTACCAGGTACATGAGCATTTGTCTACATCGATTAAACCCACTACTTGTAATGGCCAAAATTAAACTGATTGAATATTTGTGCACACAAAACGTACAAGGGTCTGAAAATAAGACTATTACTTAGGTAATTGCAATTACTTACGTCGATTCGACAACTAATGCTTGTTATTTTACCACAACAAAAAAAACATTTAAAGCCCTTTCGTCTGAAAGGGAAGTTCTAAATAAGTATTTTTTGTCAAATGCCGTTGGAATTTAACCTTTTCATTTTTTTGACCTGCAAATGGGACAGAGTACCTTAAACAGACATATAAACAGTATTACATACAATTGGTGAAGCAATAGATTAAAGGACCTAACAAGGCAATAAATTAAAAACAAATGGACAGGTTATAAATTAGCGATACGACCTTTAGGGGAAAGAATTCAAGTTAAGAACTATTTCTCAGAAATACAGGGATCAAAGTTGTTTCATAGGCGTATAGGGCAACGGGTTGAACTGATTCGAAGCCACGCAGCCTGTTTTCGGGATTTGAGAATGCGAAAGGAAGAAGCTGATGTATATTAAAGTATATCGTTTTCAACTACTTTCATGTTATTTGCTGTTCTTCTATCATCCCCCCCCCCCCCCTTTGTATGCACGTTGCTTCTGTGTTTATTCGTTTTGTCGGTATATCGGGCCGTTTGCCTTATGTAGGTAAAACACACCCCTTCTTCCTCCTTTTCTGACAGTCTTGGATCGGCCCCTTTAAATAGTGCGGTGATGCATCTTTACGAGTCCGATTCTCTGAAATTTAGAATTTAGTCGATAAATTCTTTGGCCGTGTCGTTGATTGATTTTTTTTCCAAATTGCTATTTTTCTATTTTTTTTTGCAGTAAAACTTGGAATGTTATTTGAAATAACACGAACGCAACTGCTTTCGAAAAATCAACTAAGGGCAATTTTAACCCGTTGACTACTGCATTATCTAATTGCCATAGACTTAACACAGAGACCACCAGGTTCCAGTAAGCAATGGGTTAATAGCCCTCTCCGTGACCTATTGAAATGTGTGAACATGACACTACCCTACTATTTTGGTTATATCGTATTGAATACAAACACTGTGATTGATATTCATATCAGGTATTTCAAAAAAACAAGGACAGAGGTACTTGGTTCAATAAGCATATGTTTCGGGCCTTTCCAAAAAACAAATTTAGCTGTTGGCGGTAGCACATAGCTTAACTAACTAAATGTATGATTGTAGTCAATGCGTTAATCACTTTACCTGGTCAGTTTTAAATGGGTGGTCTGGAAAAAATAGATTCTAGAAACAATTGCTCGGTCTTCATATTGATTGTAAATTATCATGGAATGTCCACACCGATTTCTTATGTACATTATTTTCAAAAAATGTAGGTCTTATCAAAATACTTACATATTATTTCCCTTTATGTTTATGAACCTTATTTTCTATTTGATTGCTGCCATACTTAACGTATAGATCATTAGCGTGGGGAATTTTTTTTCTAAAACGAAAATTGAATCCATTTTGAAGATACAAAAAAAAGCCATGAGCACAATAAAACTCTGAACATTTTCATGCACATACAAAATATATATTCCATACAAATTTTTGAAAATATCAGACTTCTTTTTATATTGTAATATTCATATATCAACTAAATAAAGGCGATCGGCGATTTTCTTTTTAATTCCTATATTTGTAATAAGTAGGGAAATTCATTCCAATTCTTCCAGACAAAAATCTATTTTCATCTCTTCCTTACTATAACCTATATAGGTCCCTCATTTTTGTAATAGATAGGACATACAATATAACATAGCCTACGTCTATGAAGCATGACAGGGGCACGTTAACACACAATGCAGGCTTCAGTAATCCGCCTTGGTTAGATTCGAACCCACCTTGGTATGACAGGCAACTCTAACCCAACTCGCCTCCTCAATTTTATCCAGGCATGCGTGCAAAACATAGCTTTTCAACCAGATATGACATACGTACCTCTCACTCGGTTATTTTCTATGATATTTCCCTGCTCTTTATTTCATGTTGCAGAGGCAACCGATAGTGTACGACTTGTGAATGGTACATCGCCCAGTGAAGGAAGGGTAGAGATTTGGTACAATGGCCAATGGAACACCATCTGTGATGATTACTGGTATGTAGAAGAAGCACAGGTTGTTTGTCGTCAGCTCGGCTATGACACTTCTAATGTAAGACCAAGGAGTCTAGCCTACTATGGTCAAGGGTCAGGATCGATTCTACAAGTCCAGTGTTCTGGGTCGGAGTATACCTTGGAGTCCTGTGATCTGTATTCAGGGGATTTCGTCTGTGGCCATCGTGAGGATGCAGGAGTAATATGTGGTAAGCTTATACTTCCTTTTCGCATAACGAGCAATTAGTACACTTAGCCAACAAAAAAGGACACTCTTTATTTTTTCTAAATTTTTAATTAAACCCTCAAAAAGATATGTAATTGACAAATTCATACTTAACCAGCATTAATAACGATCAATTTTGCTAACTTCCACGCTTGAGTGGGCACCATCATTTTACAGTACCAAGATCTGATTAAGAACATTGCAAAATTAGAGTGAGTAGGCATTCAATTAGTGATGAACATGTGTGTCTGTAATATTGTTTAACAAACGAAACAAAGAATGAAAAACATAGAGAAGGATGAGCTCTGGATGTTATCTGTTATGATGGATAATTTGAAGTCATCTGTGTTATCTTTGTTATTACTCTAAAAGGGGGGGGGGGAATCTCAGAAGTGGCATGGGGAATGGGTATTGTTTAATTGGGGGAGGCATCAGTAACACGATCGCAATTATTTCTGAAAAATTTTAACTCAATGGCACTTCCAATACCCTATGATATGTCCCATAGAATTGATGCTCAGATTACGTCATACGTCATTCTCATGATCACACATTTTAATAGATGACGCATAAGGCTATTGAAGTAGTTCTTATCGTGCTCAATCTATAATGAAATTCAAATATGACCGTGAAGATAGGTGAGGGCGTTCTGGAAAGCGAGCAACCGCCCCAGCCCACGAGATTAACAACGTATCGCCGGCCTTCTGACATTAAACCTCTGCACATTTTCATGCACACACATATTTTATATTCAATACAAACTTTTGAAAATAACAGACTTCTTTTTACATTGGACTATTCATATATCCACTGAATAAAGGCGATCGGCAACTCTTTTAATTCCTATATTTGTAATAAGTAGCGAAATTCATTCTTACTCTTCCAGGTAAATATTTATCTCTTCCGTACTACCGATACAGGTCCCTCATTTTATTTAATAGATTGGACATTTTAAAAATAACACAGCCTACGTCTATGAAACGTGAGAGGGGCACGTTAACACACAAGGCAGGCTTCAGTAATCCGTCTTGGTTAGATTCGAACCCCCCTTGGTTTGACAGGCAAATGAGCCAACTCGCCTCCTAGATTTTATCCAGGCATGCGTGCAAAACATAGCTTTTCAACCAGATACGACATACGTACCTCTCATTCAGTTATTTTCTATGCTATTTCCCTGCTCTTTTTTTCATGTTGCAGAGGCAACCGATAGTGTACGACTTGTGAATGGTACATCGCCCAGTGAAGGAAGGGTAGAGATTTGGTACAATGACCAATGGAACACCATCTGTGATGATTACTGGTATCTAGAAGAAGCACAGGTTGTTTGTCGTCAGCTCGGCTATGACACTTCTAATGTAAGATCAAGGAATTTAGCCTACTATGGTCAAGGGTCAGGATCGATTCTACAAGTCCAGTGTTCTGGGTCGGAGTATACCTTGGAGTCCTGTACTCTGTATTCAGGGGATTTCTTCTGTGGCCATCGTGAGGATGCAGGAGTAATATGTGGTAAGATCATACTTCCTTTTCGCATAACGAGCAATTAGTACATTTAGCCAACAAAAAAGGACACTCTTTATTTTTCTAAATTTTTAATTAAACCCTTAACAAAATATAAAAAGATTTGTAATTGACAAATTCATACTTAACCAGCATTAATAACGATCAATTTTGTTAACTTCCACGCTTGAGTGGGCACCATCATTTTACAGTACCAAGATCTGATTAAGAACATTGCAAAATTAGAGTGAGTAGACATTAAATTAGTGATGAACATGTGTGTCTGTGATATTGTTTAACAAACGAAACAAAGAATGAAAAACATAGAGAAGGATGAGCTCTAGAAGTTATCCGTTATGATGGATAATTTGAAGTAATCTGTGTTATCTTTGTTATTACTCTAAAAGGGAAGAAAAAAATAATCTCAGAAGTGGCATGGGGAAGGGGCATTGTTTAATTGGGGAAGGCATCAGTAACACGATCGCAATTATTTCTGAAATGTTTGAACTCATTGGCACTTCCAATACCGTATAGTATGTCTCATAGAATTGATGCTCAGATTACGTAATACGTCATTCTCATGATCGCACATTTAAATAGGTGACACATAAGGCTATCGAAGTAGTTCTTATCGTGCTAAATCTATACTTGGTAAATGAAATTCAAATATGACCATGAAGGTAGGTGAGGGCGTCTGGAAAGCGAGCAACCGCCCCAGCCCACGAGATTAACAACGTATCGCCGGCCTTCTGACATTAAACCTCTGCACATTTTCATGCACTCACATATTTTATATTCAATACAAACTTTTGAAAATAACAGACTTCTTTTTATATTGGACTATTCATATATCCACTAAATAAAGGCGATCGGCAACTCTTTTAATTCCTATATTTGTAATAAGTAGGGAAATTCGTTCTTACTCTTCCAGGCAAATATTTATCTCTTCCGTACTACCGATACAGGTCCCTCATTTTATTTAATAGATTGGACATTTTAAAAATAACACAGCCTACGTCTATGAAACATGAGAGGGGCACGTTAACACACAACGCAGGCTTCATTTATCCGCCTTGGTTAGATTCGAACCCACTTTGGTTTGACAGGCAAATGAGCCAACTCGCCTCCTAGATTTTATCTTCGCATGCGTGCAAAACATATAGCTTTTTAACCAGATATGACATACGTACCTTTCATTCAGTTACTTTCTATGATATTTCCCTGCTCTTTATTTCATGTTGCAGAGGCACCCGTTAGTGTACGACTTGTGAATGGTCCATCGCCCAATGAAGGAAGAGTAGAGATTTTGTACAATGACCAATGGAACACCATCTGTGATGATAAATGGAATAATGGTGAAGCAGAGGTTGTTTGTCGTCAGCTTGGCTATGGCACTGATAATGTAACACCAAGGAGTTTAGCCTACTATGGTGAAGGATCCGGACCGATTCAACGAGTCGAGTGCTATGGTTGGGAGGATAGCTGGGAATCCTGTACTGTGTCTTCAGGGAATTCCTCATGTGGCCATTATGAGGATGCAGGAGTAAGATGCGGTAAGCTGAATTTCAACCAGATATGACATACGTATCTTTCATTCAGTTACTTTCTATGATATTTCCCTGCTCTTTATTTCATGTTGCAGAGGCACCCATTAGTGTACGACTTGTGAATGGTCCATCGCCCAATGAAGGAAGAGTAGAGATTTTGTACAATGACAAATGGAACACCATCTGTGATGATAAATGGAATTATGGTGAAGCAGAGGTTGTTTGTCGTCAGCTTGGCTATGGCACTGATAATGTAACACCAAGGAGTTTAGCCTACTATGGTGAAGGATCCGGACCGATTCAACGAGTCGAGTGCTGGGGTTGGGAGGATAGCTGGGAATCCTGTACTGTGTCTTCAGGGAATTCCTCATGTGGCCATTATGAGGATGCAGGAGTAAGATGCGGTAAGCTGAATTATACTTACTGTTCGCAGGTCGGACTTAAACAACGATATTTCACCATTATTTGCATAGTTTTATTCATATATGCATACATCTAAGTAGTTTGTGTTTTTTTGGTTAGCGGTTAAAAAATAAACTTTTTATGAAATAGAATTATAATTGAATTAACCTCTGCAAGCATAAAAAGCTTATCGTTTTTAACCAGCTATGAAACTTAGCACATCTAATTGAACTATTTCTCTCCAACATTTCCCTCTTTTCCACTTAATGTTGTAGGGACCGACGTTTCCACAACCTTAGATCCATTTCAATGGCCAGCGACAACCACAGACTATTACGGTGGAATCTATAACGTACAGCTCGTAAACGGTCCATCACCCAGTGAAGGAAGAGTAGAGATCTGGTACAATGGCCAATGGAACACTATCTGTGATGACAACTGGAATCTTGAAGAAGCACAGGTTGTTTGTCGTCACCTTGGCTATAGCACGGATAAAGTCGTAGCATGGAGTTCGGCCTTCTATGGACAAGGTTCAGGACCGATTCAACATATCCAGTGTTCTGGTTGGGAGTCTAACTTGGGTTCCTGTTCTCTGACTTCAGGGGATTCCATATGTGGCCATAATGAGGATGCAGGAGTAACATGCGGTAAGCTTTATATAGATATTCCTTTTGTCTGCCTTGCCTTAGGTAAAATATATCAAAGTTACCATCTATAGGCCAGAGGTGTAACAAGGATTGGGTATTCACATCAAATAAGAAAGAGAGATATTCTGATCGGATATCATCCTCGTTATCTCTATAAATCACAATGAAAGGAATTAATGTTCTCAAAAAGAGGCGGAGCGGGGTCCGGTCATTGAGGCCAGTTGCACTAGTGTTATGGGGTCATGGAGCAAGGGGACACTGGTCCAACTTGGTGAATAAAGGTCAAAAAAGCAAGACCGTCAAGTATTGTGAGGATGAGGAAAGGGTGTACTTATATTATTTTACCTCTCCCTCAATTTCTTTTTTTTTTTGGCTGGCTTTTTTCCTATTTGATCGGAGGCATGCTCCTTTGCAGCTAGGTGCACCATTGGGTCTCACCGTTAACCACATCTTCTGATGAATCTTTTTTTTTTCCTTTTTATCAGAGAATAAAGCGTGCACGCACTGATGTAGACTGTTAAATGACAAAATTATATTTTGACGAAAAGTTTAGAGCTGATCATGAGTTCTTCTTTTCTTATTTACTGAAATTATTCTAGCAACGTTCATGTTACTTGGAACTGGCTGTTTGCATGTATATACGTGTTTATATTGTACTTTATTTTTCTGTCTTGATGTCTTGTATTGCCTGTTATTTTTTTTGTAAGGTTTTTCCTTTTTATCAGACTGCAAAACAAATCAGTCAACTTGACTTTTTAACAAGTATCATTTAAATATTTGTTTACTCGGGTAACTGTCTTTTGGGGTCGATGTATATGTTCATGTGCGTTGTTTGTGCATAATTTACTACGTCGATCTTGATAATGAAATTCTTTATTGCCCTTTGTATGACATCGTACAATTGTTAGAATAAAAAACAACCTCGTCATCTGTCCTCAATTCACAAATTTAATCACAGAGCAAATGAGGCGTAAGGGTTGTGCATTGTATCATTCATGATACTGCTTATTCAATTCATAGTGGATGTGTGTCCTAGTATAGTAATTCATTCACTTAACTCTCATTCCAAGAATTGATCCTTCAAATTCCAGCCCGTCACTTTAATAGGTTCTCTGGCAAGACACTAATCCACTTATGCCGCTCTCCACCCAGTTGTAGATGGATACCTGGCAACATACTGGGGTAATAATAATTGCACGGCCTGCAGGAAGACCAGTAATAATACTCATGTTGCTTCCTTCGGTAAATTAGACCCAATCATTATTTTCATCATTATGATAGGTTACACAACATCTCCTCGGGTAATCGGATCATTGTCATTCGTCGGAGTATCCTTGTTTCTCCTAACCTTCATCGCCATAGTTGCTGTTATGTGCGTGTGCGATCAACAGAAGGCTTCTCCTTCAGCAGCTATGGGAGTTCAGTTATCTTCTCTTACCACACAACCTACACCTCAACCAGCATCAACCACACACCTGCCTGCACCCGTCTGTGTCGATGTACCTGTTTAGATGATGGACGGAAAACCACGCCAGTTTGTTAGAATCCACCTGCCATTCTTTAAGTGTGACTCCCTTGGATAAACCTCGCATTCTACTTTCTTTTTTTCTTAATCCATGCTATCCAATTCCTTTATATTCATCTGCATACACCTCTTCTTCCTTTTCTTCGTCTTATTATTATTATTAATAGTAGTAGTAGTAGAAGAAGAAGAAGTAGTAGTAGTAGTAGTAGTAGTAGTAATAGTAGTAGTAGAAGAAGAAGTAGTAGTAGTAGTAGTAGTAGTAGTAGTAGGTATTTTGCTTTAAGTCCCGGTCACACAGCCTTTCGCGTCTGTATCGCGGGTAAAATTTCGCGATTTTTTTTTGCCCGCGGTTGCCCGTGGTGGAAAATGTGCAAAATTGGCTTACCCGCGGTTTACCCGTGGTATGCCCGCGGAACAGACGCCGGCGACTGTTCCGCGTCCTTATCGCGGGTGAAGCGCGGCGGTACCGCGGCCTACAACGCTTACACGCGGTACACACGCTAATGCACGTGATAACAACGCGGTACAGACGCGGAACAAACGTGCTATGACCGTGCTCCACCCGCGATTACCCGCTAAAATTTCGCGTCCAATTCCGCGTGTAACCACGTCTTAACCGCGGCCGTAGCACGTCCTAGCACGTTCGTTCCGCGTCTGTACCGCGTCTTTGCCGCGTGTACCACGTGTACCACGTGTACCGCCCGCGATTACCCGCGGTCTAAATTTTTGGGCAGCCCAAAACTTTTTCGCGCGGCCAACCGCGTGTGAATTTCTTACCGCGTGTAACGACGGGTAAAGTACGGCTGTATCGCGTCTTTATCGCGACCTCATAGCGTCCAACAGCGTCTGCTTCACGGGCAGAAATTTTTGGCCGTGATTCGGCCGCGATACGCCCGTGGAGGGCTGTGTGACCGGGCCTTCACTTGTGGTTTGGAGGGGGAAATAACACTGAATCACCGCGACCCTCGGGTCCCTCCTCAAGGTATAACTAATAGTTGGGATATGTGCAAGTGGAATAGAACACACCGCCCCCCCCCTCTCTCTCTCTCTCTCTCTCTCCTCTCTCTCTCTCTCTCTCTCTCTCTTTGCATTTCGTTTAACCTGAGTACCACAGGTATAACCAATGGCAGCACTTACGGACTGGGTAAATATTTCCTTCTTCTTCTTCTTCTTCTGATCCTCCGTTCTCTATCGAGTGTTTTATTTTAATCTTATTTTGTCTTTTATAACATGTTTAACCTTTTTTTTATGGACCTATTATTTCATTTTTCCATTCTCTCCATTTCCTTTACCTTCATCTCTCTCTCTCTCCAATTATCCTCTTTCACCCCTCCCCTCTCTCTCTCTCTCTCTCTCTCCCTCTCTTCTAAGTATCACCCACATTTTATCTTCACTCTCAATTCCTTTTATTTTCTCTCTCTTTTTTCCTTCTCCCTTATTCCCCTTTCTCTTCTCAATAAGTCTTTTCATAGCTCATCTCTGACACATTCAATATCAATATTTCATGATATAATAATAACAAATTGAGCGTAAAAGCACTCTGTGAGATAAAAATATTTAGCAATATATTATCTAGCAATAAACAACAAGATACAACAAAAATGGTCTTGGTTTAATATTCTGATTTATTTTCGTTTCGTTAAACATTTCTATCTTACTTTATTTTAGAATAACATTTATTAAAAGGATGTTTTATATTTCAGAAATATTTATATATCTATTCATTTAATGCGTAGCTAAATACCCATTATACAATATATCTTATCATTATTCACTTAGCGTTCAAAAGGCTTAACTCATAGATTTTGCCTTATCGCTCGATCAGTTATTCAAATCACATTCGCAATTTTCCGCAGAGTACATTTATGTAATATATAAATATATCACATGTATAAATTATATTCATATATCATTCAATCTAACCCTTGTTCTGATTTGTTTAGAATGAGATTAGTTTTCTTTTCTTTTTATTTAAAAAGGCGTGGGTTCTTATTCGATGGAAATTTGATGTTTTGTGTGATGGGGTATTGACTTTAGATTTCATTCATTTAAATTCCTATTATCTCTGATATCCAAAAGCCAGGTCACTTATAATATGATAACCTATTCAAAACATTGTTAAATATCTAAGAGTTTCCATATTATTCATTTGTACTGAAGGAGAAAATACGTCTATGGATATGCGTTTCGTTATGGTCAAAATAAAAACGCGAGTGCGTGCGTGTGAGTTCAGCTTTCGTTATTTGCTGGTGAAAGAACAAGTTTGTAGGCCTACTTATCTACGTATGCCTTTGTAGTAACTTAATATTTTATTGAGGTTGTTCTCTTTATCTTCCAACTTTTACTGCACTGAATGGATTATAAATATGTCATGATATTTGAATTAATTGTATTTCTAAGAATTTCTGAAGATACTTGTAACCACTTCTTTATGTATTATTTAGTTTCACGAAAATCATAGATGTTATTATGTATATTAAAGCAAACATGGTTTATGTTTATTCTTAAAAATGGTGGAAGTTTCTAAAACTTTGGAGGCATTATAACTTAAGTGAGCAAGCTACTTTTATGATAAATGTAATATTTGCACATCACGTTTTAAAACTCTGCACACTATAATGTCCCTCGAAATTTTTGCTTTTCTATTAACATGATTAAGGAGACTTTTTGAAAGGAAGGTATCAATAAGAAACAAGCCTAATGATTGTTCGGTTTTATTAACTATACTTATTTCTCAACTTCACAAAGATTCCCTTTCTATATAGAGAACGATTGTGAAGTACGACCCGTTCCTCATACTCGATTTCTTATGAGAAAAGGAGGTGACATTCTCCAAATCTCGACATTAAATTAAAATAGACGAATTAAAATAGGCGTACGTTTGGTTTCCATCATGTTTATTGGATGTTAATGCTGAGTATATCACCACTGTCTTAAAAGGATATGTGGAATGGTAATTTAATTTACCATCTAGCCCTGTACAGTGTGAGTCAAAAAAAAAGTTTACACCTCGAAAATTGCTAATTATTAAAAAAAATCATTGATGAACATTAAACTGTTATATGTCTTATGAAAGAGTGTTTTATCCCAAATCATTTGGTACCATTTTTGTGTGGTATGTGTTCACGCTTGGATGAACAGGAGACATTGTTTGTGACAGTGCAAAAATCAACTTGCGCGAAAGTTGCCTATGTGATGTTTGGATAAAACAATTTGGAATTGGGTATTAATTCGGTCTTTGCAGATCCAAATAACATTCCTAACAAAATTAATCATGCCACACATATCAAATATCGAATATCAAATATCAACGAACATTTGTGCGCGTGTGTGTGGGTGTGTGTGACTTTGCCCTTTGAAAAGAACATATGCAATGCATTTCATTTGATACATTCAATCCATTCTCTCACTCCGCTATTCCCAACATAATACGTACTGTAGGCATCACTTTGGCGCAAGTCGATTTTTGCACTCTCGCAAACAATGCCACCTGTTCATCCAAGCGTGAACACATACCACACAAATATGGTACCAAATTATTTGGGATAAAACACTCTTTCATAAGATGTATAATAATTTACTGTTCATAGATGATTCTAAAAATAATTAGCAATTATCTAGGTGTAAACTTTTTTTTTGACTCACACGGTACCGTGCACACAAATGGCGTTAGGTTAATTTGTTTGGACTATTCTCGGTCTTATGTATTTACTGTGGCTAATACTGTCGTAAGTTATTAGAAGCCCGCTTGTCAGTAACTTCAGATCCTCTCTACTATGCCCTTCATTACTAGTGTTACGTGCTGCTTTTAATTCTGTAAACTTTAGATTTCAACAGAAAATACCGAGTTTAAAAAGTTTATACAATAGATAGAATAGGCATACAAACTTCATCTTGTGGGCAATGGTGGCGGTTGTCGTATGTATCAAGCCCCTAGTAAGCTAAAACTTCATTCTACAATTTACCTCAAATACAAAGCATTTCACGACATCAACCTAATGTTAGTTTCAACACCATTTGTATTCATTATATAAATAATTACAGTATATGATACACATTTCGTTGGCTTTTCGCATACTTAAATAGGTGACTATTGACAGAAGACTATTGAAATTGCGTTACATTGATTTCTGGAAAGTGTTTGCGATCGTGTTTTCATTTTGTACACCTATTTTTTTAGAGTTCCTAACTGTAATCAATCTAATCCAATATTTAGACGATTTAATGAAATCTATGCTGAGTTTAGATTACAAACACACACACACACCTCAGCTTATTAAGTTTATTCCATAGATATAAAACTAAAATACTCTTGTCCACGATCAGAAAAAAATATACAACCCGAGAGGACCAACATATAAAATCACATTTCATTTCCTTCTTTCTTTGGATCTCAATAGACACTGATCCATAAATATTTTTTTTTTTTTTTTTTTTACTAATAATGCTTAAATTAAGAATCGTATCAGGAAAGCAGGGGCGGCTTTCCAAAGGTTAAATAACATATGGACATCAAAAAGCATTAGTAGCCACACGAAGATGCAACTGTACCAATCACTCATCCTCTCTATACTGCTTTATGGGGCAGAATCCTGGACAGTTAAAATAGAAGATAGCAACAGACTTCAAGTGTTTGAAATGGCATGCCTTCGTCGCATAATGGGGGTAACAAGACTAGATAAGATTCGTAACACACATCAAAGAATCCCTCAACCTCGATCAAGATGTTATGGACAAAGTCTCCACTAAATGACTCAAATATTTCGGCTACGGAAGGAAAGGACACAGGAAATCGACCCAGAGGCCGTCCACCCAAAAGATGGCTTGACTGCATCTCAGAGGACTGCAAAGCAAGATCCATATACCAAGGCTGACAAATGCATCAAGACTGCCTGCGGACAGAAAAACTTGGCATACCATCACCATACCGAAGCCATCACGAGGCCCCTGGCCTGCGTGGACGGCATAAATCAAGTAAGTCAATGCTTAAATGGGACAATCATGAGTTACAATGGCACTTTGTATTTTGATCGTTGTTGATATCACAGAAAGAAATGATAAGGCATAGGTTATTTTTAAATAAAGTCCCTTTTGAAATCACTAAAGCAAATTATATTGATCAGTGAGTGAGCAAAAATAAAAGGAAATTTGT